CTAGTCACATATGGCGGCCACCTATTGTCATCTGTGCACTCTTCTATGGTTGACATCGGGATGGCACGCCATTAGAGGTCGATGTGCGGGACACAGTGTAGCGGGCATACGACCGAATATCCTTGCACTACTCAGTATTTGCGACTAGAGGTTAAGCAAGGGGCTTCCTCAATCCAGATCTTATAGATTGCGGGTTGATCGAAGCAATCTTGGCCAAGCTAGCTTTAGAGCAAAGCCAAGCCAAGTCTTAGCTTAGGTCGGGCCCAGTCGATCCCAATCCAACGCAGATTCCCCCTAGTTTTTCTCACGACGATTGAGTTCCAGGAGGAGCTTTCCACACCGGAAGCAAGCACTACTGTGTTGCCCGGCAGGTTTAGTTTCCAATCGGAACTCAGTCCGAATTCAGACTTTTTTATTTTTCCGAGCAGTTCATATTTGCCTTGTTAGATCTTCGGATCCAGGAACGGTGTATATTTTACGCTGCCCTGGAAGACGGGATACTACAAGGATAAATTTCTCGTTGGGCTTTCAACCCATCGAGCTCAGAACTGGAATTTTTTTTTGGGCTAGAACCGAACTCAGAGAGAAGGAGCAACAACTATCGCAGACCTTCTTCTTCTCAGATGACTACGTCATCGACCACGCGGCCGCCTCGGAAGCCACTTCATGGTCAACAACAGCCATGATAGGATGTGACCAGGCAGAAGAGGAGCGGCATAAGGGCCATTCAGAAGAATCGTCAGCGATATCCAGACCTGATTCTCGGTTGCTACCTTGTGGCACCGAGTTGAGAAAGCAGACTCCTTCCCCTCTTTCGCTCGGTTCAGGCCGAATTCCAAATTCCCTTTCCCCCAGAGCAGGAAATGAGCAAAGCCGTAAGGTTGAGCTTATTTCTTCTCAAGTCGCCCATCGCAAGGTGTGTGCGACTTGATTTCACCTTCCACTCAGAACCCCAGTGGTGCTGCAAGCTTGCCTTCCAGTATCATTGGTGGTTGTATTCCCTTTCAAAGCAGAAAGCCCTGCAGTATTTTACTCAGGCAACTCCCTAGTTTGCCCAATGAGATTCCGATCTTGGCGGTCAGACTTTGTGAGTATAATCTTATGCAGACCTTCTCTTCAGCCCCAAAGAGACGCTCTTCCATAGACGTCATCTGGAACAAGAAGTGAATATTCCTAGGCTGACTCGAACTTTGTTCGGGGAAGCTGCATATCAGAACTCGGGCAACTTGTTGCTCGGTGGTCGAATGGATAGACACCCGGCCTCAGAAATTTTCTTTGGCGCTGGGACCCGTCAATTCATTCGACAAGCAGGGTTTTCTTTCGCGGGCTTCTGCTCATAGTTCAGACAACAACGTCCTTGGTTTGCCGAAGCAACTTAGCTAAGCAACGATCAAATTGATCGGAACCACAGACGTCATCTTTCTATAAAGCAGTAGTTTCGGCTAATTTTCGTCTCTGTCGCTGACATAGCTCCAGGGTGCCTATATAGGCAGTTCTACTTTATCAGATCTTCTGGCATAGTAGATACGATTGTCGAGAAGAAGACAGGATCTCTCGGTTCAAAGGCGCGCCAGGGCGAACCGGAACTTTGGGCCTTTGCTCCGATCGGAGTATGATCCAAGAGTTCGGCTAGCTTGCAGAGCATTTACCATTGATTCCAGATCGACTTCAAGACGTCCACTTGGACAAAGCAGATTTTTTTCTTCTTATCCCAGAAATGGATGGCACACAGTCTGCTCAGTTGTGCGCGCTTTATGCCCCAACTGTGCAGTGTGAGTTCATTACGAAGATAGACCAGATCGTCAGCAAGATTGCGATGCCGAGTACCGAGTTCTAGCTTTCGAGCCTATGAATCCTCGAACTTGACGGAGCAGTTCCAGCCTCACGGCCCAGACTTAGCAAAAGACGGTCTCCGTCTATCACAGGTCCTCCTCAGGCCGTCCAGATTCTGTAGATATATAAAGCAGATAACTAGGAGGGCTTCGTGGTAGATTTTTTCTCCACCTAGTCCCCCGCAACCAGGCCAGTCCAAATTTAGTAGAGTGTCTTCGTGAATTCCAGAGGAATATTTAGTTTTCGTTCCTCTGGATAGCGATTACACGCACAGGTCAGAATAAGAATGCTTTTGTGGGCTCAAAAGCATTTCTTTATTCTTAGCCCTAAGCAGTCCCTGGTCTTCACCTCAAGCAGATCGGTTCATCACTGCCCTTGGCCGCCGCTGTCAAGCCTGTTGCCGCTCCACTCGTTCCGCGCCTTCCGCCGGCCCAAGTCAAGCGCACCAAGTCCATCAACAGTCAAGCAGCCAAAGCCATAAAATGTGAGTCCCCAGTTGTTCGGCAGGAGTACGGGCTCCTTAGCGCCGTTCAGCCCCCCCCCCGTTTTTCATTTGTCCCTATTGAGCCCCAACCCCTAGGAGTCTAACCTTATTTTTGGCCCTCCCGCCCCCATACCGAGATTCCTTGTAATACCCAGTCGGTCCACTACCTCTATTGGTTTGCGCTAGTTCGCCCCTCCACTATCTGTGTACCACTCTGGGTTTAGGAGTCTTTTTTTCTTTTGCTGTGGGCGGAGGTCCCACTCGCCCTCCTAGTTTTGACCTATAACCTCGTGCGGCCCCCTAAACTGACCCGGAAACTGCAGAACTACACTAGTTCTCCACCCCAAGCAGACCCGCAGTTTCCGGTGTTCAGTAGGCAGAAGGTGGAACGCGAAATACTCTGGTCTATCTGAGATCAGTCCAGAAGCGTGAAACCCTAAGCCACCACCCAGACACGCACGCACTTTCGCCTTGGCCTCGGCCGGGCGGGAGTGTCGAAAGTTCTGTAGAAATCTTACGATTCTACAGGACTTACGAGGGTTTAATTAGGCGGACTTCGCGGGCGGCCAAATTCTCCCTGGGTCCCGGCGCGCGCCCCCTGCGGGCCACCGTATGGCGGCCGCCCTCGGCCCGGGGAAAGGGGGCATTTTCCCCAGTCGCTGCATTTTCTCCCTTCCTGGGAGAATTGCTGCCGGTCATTGCTATGACTGGTAGGGCGATTCGGTGTTGGTGTGATGTTTCCTGCATCCCCGATACCGGTGACCCCGGCGAGCTCCCAGACCAGAGTGTATTTCTCCAATCCTATCCAGACCTAGCGCATTCCCCTTAGCCCAGACCATCCCCGACTTGTGTATTCTATGTTCTCCGGTATTATTCTTGTATATAAATAAACTCTTATTCCACAAGAGTGTCCCTTATCCAGACAAATGCATTACACTACCGCTGATTAGCCGTTCGCGCGTCTTCTATTGGTTCAGGTCTTTATCCCAACAAGGGATGCGGGTGGCAAGCCTTCGCGTGGGCGCTATTCTAGTATTTATTGCTAGTCTAGCGTAGGCAGCCGCTTCCTTTTGTCAAACTCTTTGCTTTTTTGCTAATTAAAATTTTATGCACCGATAACGGGTTCATGAACCAAAAAGCAAGCGGTTAGCCAGCGCGAAGATTCGAACCCGAGGCAAAAAAATGTTAAAAAGTTGGTAGGCAAGCGCGCTACCAATACGCTAATGCAACCTGTGATGGAGGCATTGGCGGAGAGTTACGAATGGCGCCCTACCCAGCCCCGAAAACGACGTCACCGAGGAAATGAACCCGAAAACCAGAAAAAACGCAAACTTTAAATTAAATTTTCTAAAATTCCTTTATCGATCAGCACTTTTTGAAAACGGGATGTTGCTCAGAATTTTTTTCTCTATCGAACTAGCTAGGTCCCGTCCCGAAACTCCAAAAGCACCTAAAAGCGACTCCTTGTTAGGTTTGGTTTATTAGGTTGGCCCAGTGTTATAAGTTGTTGCCAAACAAAAATTTATGCGCAAAATTGGAGCGAGAGTGAGAGAGACCGGCGAGAGTGAGAGAGAGAGAGAGAGAAGGAGGGAGGGCGAGCGAAAGGCATTTCAACCTGAACCTCCCCACCTGAGCAACAGTCGTATCCGGCTGATTGGCGATGAGTCGGAGATCAACAGGTGATAATTGACAGTCATTTATCTCGAAGAAACACTTTAAAAAAGTCGAGAGAGAATTATCTATTACAGAAGTTCCGACCGTCCCGCTCACCCCCAAAAAAAGATTTTCACGCGCTGTGCGCGGAACACGGAAGCTCCTAGCAGAGTTCGGGAGAAATGATGGACAACCCACCAAAACGGGGAAAGATCGCCCAGAAAAGCGAAAAATGATGATCTTTATCGAAGGCCACGCACTTCACTTCACTTGTCAATTTATTCCCATGGTTGGGGAAGTCGTTTCCCAGTCTCCCCACTAACCATCACCCGACAATGGGTTTTTGGAAAAATCTATAAAATATTGGGAAATTTGGCGACTACCCGATAATGGAACAGTTCACGTTATAAGATAGATTTTTGGCTCCCCAAAATCATTGAAAGTTGAATAATCCTATGAGAATTAAATATGAAACCTAAAAACCTCAAACCCTTAAACTTAAAACTTAGATTTAATTAGTAACGGATAGTACCCCTTTCTCTTTATCTCGCGCGCTCTCTCTCTTCTCTGCTCTCCCACCTCCTCATTTCTCCTCTCTTTCCTCTCTCTCTCTCTCTCTCTCTCTCTCTCTCTCTCTTGATAGCCTTGAATGCAGATATTTTTCAGCTATACGTAGCCCTATACATTGTCTCTGTACTGTGCTCTCCATCAGGGGCAAATTTACGGCCTTCGCCCCCGGATATTGGACTGCTGCGTAGTCGCTTGCTTGGCTGCAAAAGGTCGTGATAGCCGACCAGAAAACTTGTGAACACACGGCTTCACGTTGCAGCCAATTCATTCCGACGGTTTGTACATGGATATTTGGGATCAGGCGAGAGGGGGAAAGAGCGGAGGAGAGAGAGAGAGAGAGAGAGAGAGAGAGAGAGAGAGAGAGAGAGATAGAGAGCCAGACAGCAAGAGATAACCTGACAATGACAAAGTATTATGCGTAATGTACAGAGGATCGTTGTGGATTTTTGGGCGGCGCCTAGAGCTCGTCGTGGCTTTTGGATGGGCGAAACTGAACATGAAATGTGAAATGCATAGTTATCAAAAATGGCCTACCAATCCAATTTTATAAGTGGGCAACCCGGTACGGTAGTAGGGGCAATCTTCGAAGATGTCCGGGACAAAGCAATAGCCGACGGATTGGCAGAACTTGGACGAGGACGTTTCCAGCGGATCAAACTGCAAACAGCGGAAATGCCGAAGTCTCAGCCTAAGCCAAGTCAAAGCCTATGCCCAAGCCAATCCTGAACCCAAGCCTACGCCTAAGCCTTTCAGACAACCTTCCCAGCACCAACCTCACTCTTCAGCTGATCGCTCACTTTCCGCAGGTGCTCAAGGGCTCGAAGACAACTCTTTTTGAAAAGCCCGGCCCTTGGGCAGAGATCATTTAGCAGATAGGAATGCGCAAATTCCTAGATATATTGGTGCATTAATGGAATGTTTAATTTTCCTTACCCGTCCTTTTAACAGGATCATCGAAGAATATTTGATACATAGGGCACAATAGAACGAAATGGCCGGCGACGGGTTTGGGTTGTCAAACGGCGGAGTAGAAGAAGACGAGGGAGACGCTGAAATTGGAGGCTTTTTTCGTGAAATACTTTTAGGAAAAAGCAGACAATTTCTGAGATCGAAAACGTGAAACTTTTGAATAAGCGACCACACGATCCCGGGGAATGCGAAAACCGGATATCACCTGAAGTTGTGGGGTGCATTGTTGTACTGTGGAATGGGCGGGGGGAGGGAGAAGGGCGGCGATGTCCTCCTACCGCCAACGATGTCGCCAGGAGCATGGAGAGGATGAGAACGCTGAAAAAGAGGCCTATGCTTAGGCTGGCTTAGGCTTAGGCTGGCTTAGGTTTGGGTTGAGTCTTATGACTAGGCTTAAGTTTAGGTATAGCCGACGGACGTCGATCTTAGTCTTTGCTTAGGCTTAGTTGTATGCTTAGGCTTAGGCTTCACGTAGGCTTCGTTTTAGATTAAGCTTAGGCTCTGGGTCCGCCGGAACCTCAAAATTCCTCAAAAAGTCTCTGCTAGCCTGCCACCAAAGTCGTTTCATTTTTGAACCTGAATAGCCTGTGCTCAAAACGAATCAAGGTGCAAATAATAGTTGCAAATAATGTCGAAAAAATCGATTCCGCAATGGACTCTGCTACCTGGCCAAAGATCCAAACCCGCTAGAAACCAATTCCTAAATATTCTCGGCTAGCCTGCCCTCCCTCTCAATAAACCGACCGCATCGAGAAGGCATTGAAGGCGTGCGGGACCGTGAATGGGTTCGACGACGTGTCGTAGGCGTTGGCAGGCCGCCCGTTCCACCAAATAAAATTCGGCGAATAAAATGGAGGATGGGAAGAGAGAGCAGAAACCCTGGTTGAGTAGAGCTATCAATTAAATGGGGGGCTTATCACGGAGGGCAGAAGCCGACGGCAGCCAGGTATGCTCCCGTTTTTCCGGGTGGCCCGCCCATCTCACACGCCTGGCCCGCTGAAAAACACACATCAAATGATCGGGGCTTGGATTTATGGGTGGTAGGAATAGCCGATTATTTGCGATTAAGCCCTTCAATGCCAAAAATCTAAATTGGGTTTCGAGATGCGCATATTTTTACATTCCAGTCGATAAGTCGATACTTTAAAACTTCGGGCTACGGCTAAGCCTAAGCACAACCTGAGCTAAGCTTAATAAGCTTGAGCTAAGCCTAAGCCTAATACCAAAGTAAGCCTTAGCTTAGGCCAAGCTCAAGGTAAGCCTAAGCCTAAGCTACAACCTAAGCCGAGCTTCAGTCGGGCCTAAGCCCTACTGAAGCCCTACTGAACTGCCTTAAGCCAATCCTCAGCCGAATCGAAATTTGAGCTAACTAGTAAGCCTAAGCGCTGCCTAACCATGAGCCAAGCCAAGTCTAAACCAAGCCTAAGCCAAGCTTCAGACAAGCCTAAGCCCAGTCCAAGCCAAGACGAATTCTTTTGTTTACCGTACGTCGATCGCAACATAGATACCGTATTACCATAACCCGATAATGTATGAAATGGATAATCCCCCCTCTAACTCCTAGGCCCTGATTTGTTGCCCTCTTGCCGTCAACCGCCGATTTAACGGCTTATCACCCCCCTCTGATTCCTCTCAAAAGACGCCGGCTGCGCCAGTTCACACGGGATTTTCCACCCTCAATCTGTTCTCTCCTTTTTGCCAAGGGAAAAAAAAAATCGGGATTTGGGGTGTCGCGGGCTTCTGAATCGGAAGTTTAAGGTGACTCAGGGCCTCTCGGCGAGCTTAGCTTAAACCAGGCTTAGGCTAAGGCTCAGGCTCAGGCTTAGGCTTAGCTTAGGTTAGGCTTAGACTTAGGCTTCGGCTTCGGGTTATGCTTAGGCTTGAGTCTAGGCTTAGGGATAGGTTAGGCTTAGGCATGGGCTTGAGTCGAGGCCTTGGCTTGAACTTGCGCGTATGCTACGCTTCTGTTTGGGCTTGGGCTTGGGCTTAGTTGGGCTTCGGGTGGAGCTTAGGTTTAGGCCTAGGCTTAGGCTTAGTGTCATGTCGGCTTAGACTTAGGCTTGAGTCTCGGCTTGGGCTTAGGCGGGGCTTAGGCTTAGGCCTGAGCTCTGCGTTGACTTAGGCTTGAGCTTCACGTTAAATATATTTATTCAACAAACAATCATCGGCTGTTGATCCACGTATGTACAACAGAAAAGAATGGAGAATCATAAATCGGAACCAGAAAGACGGTGGCAGGGTTGATATGGCAAACGATATTTGTGTGTGCACTGTGTATTGTGAAGGGGTGGAGAAGACAGAGAATTAGAGAGAGAGAAAGAGAGAGAGAGAGAGAGAGAGAGAGAGAGAGAGAGAGAGAGGACGTTAGGGGACTGCGATGACCCGTTTCAACCCAAATTGGGTACTGTGTGCAAAAATAAAGTGAGGAAAATAAACGAAAAGCGAAAACGCTCTATTTTAACGGCACCCGCTTCTGCATCCATTTGACATAGACGGCATTGTACTCGGAGGCGTGGTGGCGCATCAGATGTCGCATAAAATTCGAGGAGCACGGCGACTTGACGACACCGCCGCAGATTGAGCACTGGGCATTCCCGTCTAGGGTTCGCTGAAAGGTTGTCTTTCGTAGTTTCCGGGTTGTTACAGTAACCAAATTAGAGGGCAAACTAGCAGAAACGGCGTGGGAATTTTTTGAACTTTGGCGAAAATCCGATTTTTTTATCCACATTGTGCCTCGGGGCTGATACGTCGGAAAGTTTTATGGCGCTTGGGCATTATCGGGGGAGACGATTTTTCCTGGTCCTGGTGGTCGAGAAATCGATGTTTTTATTTTTTTTTACGTTTAGTAATGGCAAAAAATAGTGCAAAAGCACTTCTGTCATGTAGACTGTCGCGGACTCACCTTAAAAAATTCCCATACGGGATGCTCCGTTTTGCGGTTTCGTTTCAGCATCGGTTTGTCGTGTTGTGATTGCATTGGCTGGGTCGGATCGGTGGGGACGGCCGAGTGGCCCCATGCTGAAACCGGCTGCTGCTACCGTAGAGTTTGCAATGGGAAATTGGTTCGAAGAATGCGTTTTTGAATTTTTAAAGATCCAGTATTGGAAAAATTCAGGGTTGCCTGTTCCTTTAAAAGACCTACCATCAGCCATTGTTGACGGGGCAGCTTCGTTTGCCCATCCGTCGAAGCCGCTCCATCCCCGGGTATTGTTGTTACGGTTCCAGGGGAGCTGAAAATCGATATTTGCTTGGGCTTACTGTAAAGTGTTTTTATTCAACTTGGAGTTTCGATTGGGAACCAAGTGCATCCTGTACAGAATTTTTCGCTGAGTCCGAATTCGTTTTCCAAATTTGCTACGTACTTTTATTTTAAAAGTCATTGTTGGTAACATTTAAGCCGAAAAAAGTAAAAAAATTTGGATGCTGGCCCACTATTCCCTGCTTGGGTCTATAGCTCCCGATGGCCCTGAAGTACGCTCTGACAGCCGAGAACCTAGTTGGCACCATGGTGCATTGACAAAGAACTGCTTGCCAGGCGCGGGGCGCCGGTTCGAACCCCGCCCCGCACCACTTTTTCAGCTTTTTGCATAATTGACCTGCAGGACGCTTGTCTAGCCAATGTCTAGTCAGTTTTGACGTTGAAGTTAACCAAGAAAATCGAAAACCACAACGACACCTTCATTCTGGTGAAACCCGGGTCATAATAGCTGTATAATTTTCAAAATAACAGTCCGTAGCAAATTTGGAAAACGGATTCGGGATCAGCGGAAAAATTCTGCACACCTAGCGGGATTTTCAACACTTCCAGACCCCTTATGTTCTCCATAATCCCCACCTGATGCCCATTGACATCGACATAATTCCGCAACAACGCATCCGGACAGTCGAACTGTTGCTGCGAGTAGATGTCTTGGATGTACGGGTTTTCGCCCTATAATGGATAAGTTCATGCAGCTCAATATCAATTTCTATTTTCAAGTCGTAATTTATTGAGTCTCGTTCGCTATACCCTGACCCCGATACCGTAGTCCCCTCACAAACCTTAACAAAATGGGCGGTGGCCGTGCCGGGGAGTAAACAGCCATTGGATCCGGGTGGTAGGATGACGCTTTGCGGCACCTTTTGCTGCCTAAAATTGCATACTGATCTGGGAATTGTCGAATTAAGTCAAGCTTAGCCTCGCCTAAGCTAAGCCTAAGCCTAGGCTTAAGCTCACCTGTACTGCTTGATCTGGATGATCAGATGCTGGTAGTCATTCTGGTGATGCCGCTCCAGGTGCTTCGTCATATTCGTCGCGCATGCCGATTTCACCACCTACAAATCTCAATATTTTTGTTGTTTTCCTAAAGGGTCTTTGTTAGCTTGCCTAGAGCTTAGAAAGCTAAAAAATCGTAAAGGTTTTGCCAGAAACCTTTGCCCAGTTACTCGTTGCAAAATTTGGTTGTAGGAGAATGGTGTGGCAAACCGAACTTCTGCAAAAATCTCTGGTAGCCTGCCCAGCTTAGAATTACGCTTTTTCCGTCATTCCCCCATCTAGCTTGTCACATTTCGAGAAAGCCACAAAATGTCGGCGCAGCCAGCTGTCCTTTTCCGCGCGCTAATCGACCCAAATTCGCGCGCGGCGGGAAATGACTGGATAGATGTTGGAATGGAAAAAGGGCTGCGAAGGAAGGACAAGACAAGTCGAGTCTGATAGTTATCTCTGTACTTTCTCTCTCTCTCTCTCTCTCTCTCTCTCTCTCGTTCCCTCTCTCGCTCTCTATATACCCTAGCTATCTCAAGGACAAAACTTGCAAGAGTTGAGGATTTGCTGGAAATTTTTTCGAGTTCATACTCAAAAATTCATGCGTCAGTAGGAAAGTCGCGTAAAGTATAAAATGGCAAGAATCCAGAAGAAAAGCTCCTTGGAAGGTCCGGAAAATTTCTTGCAAAGCTCCCTAAGCTTTCCAAGTTTGCTAAGCTTTCTAAGTTAGGCAATCTACCAATGCCCACAAAAATATCATACTTACCTTGCTACAAATGCGACATCGCACATTCTGGTCGTCGAGTCGGATGAAATAATTCCAACATGGGTTCTCGGTTGGCCGGCCTCGCTTGGCTGGGGTGGCACCGTCTCCCTAAAGGGTGGATTAGCGAGGATACGGTAGCCGGTGTAGGGATTTGTCTTTTAAGGGAGTACTGAAGGGAGAGACAGAGAGAGAAAGAGAGAGAGAGAGAGAGAGAGAGAGAGAGAGCGAGAGAGAGAAAGAGAGAGTTTTCGCCAATAAATTCCTACCTTAGCATTCGCTTCTGCGCTTTTCCGCGTTTCGATGACCGACGGGGCCTGGAGTTGTATCTGGTGGTGTTGCTGCTGGGCGAGGGAATGTTGGAGCTGTTGGGTACTGTTGAGGACTTGCTCACGGAGAAGCTCATTTCTGAAAAATACGTGTTTTGAATAAGTAGCATAGGCTTTTAGCAAAGCTTATACTTAGGCTTAGGCGTTGCTTAGGTTTAGCTTTAGGCTTAGGCTTAAGCTTTCTCTCAAGCTTTTCGGTGGCCTAGACGTCAGGTCAGGCTTCAATAAAGGCCTAGGCTGGCTTAGGCTTAGGCATAGGTTTATGCTTTTGATCGACTAGCCTACGCAACGCTCCGATACACACCCGACTTTTGTGTGCTAGCCGCAATTTCCCAAAAAATCAACTCACCCGAGCGCGAGTTGCCCATTTAAATGGTGATGATCAAGGTGTGAATGTGTAGATTGATTCAAAAGATCCTGAGCCCCAAGTGACGCCGTGGTCGTCGAGGGGAATGCCGTAGGAAATGTTGATTGGGCAGTGGAGAGCGTAGGGTGAAATGAGAAGGGCGTTCGGAGTATCCCCGTGTCCACCATATCACTCCCAGTGCCCATTGGGGCCACCAGAATATGGGGATGCGGGTCGAAGGGCTTTTCCTCTGTCTTGAGCACTACCGTATCGTCGGCGAATACCTAGGATGTGCCGGGTAATTGTAGCAAAGGGGAGTCAAACCTTTGCGACGCCATCGTAGGATGCGGCCAGAGTATAATCGTACGGTTTGTGGCCGTCGTATTGTTGTTTGTGGTGTTGTTGCAGTTGATCAACAAAAAGATCGTACCCATTGGCAGCTGATGGACGGAGATCGGGGACCTTAAAATGTTTGTAATCGGGTTTAATCATGTCGCTGGTAGCTGTAAGGGTGGCTGAACAGTTATTTTTGTCAGAAAAAAAGAGAAGAGAAAACGAGAGAGAGAGAGAGAGAGAGAGAGCAAAAGCACGAAAAACTAGTAAAAATGAGTTGCTAAAGCTTTAAAGGTATCTAACTCTCTCGCTCTCTCTCTCTATCTATCTCTCTCTCTTCTCTTCTTTTAGGGGGGTAATATAGTCAGGCCCTAATCCTGTCATGCCGTGGCCCAGTGTACTCCGTACTGGATCGGACTCAAAAAGTGAAAGCAAGGAGAGAGCGGGAGAGCGAGAGAGAGAACGAGAGAAAACGAGAGAAAACTGGCAAGGTCACCGACCTGATAGGCGGCCTGAAGTCCAGCGGACGCATGGGACAACGTCCAAGACGATCCGGCCGTAAGCGGAAGCGGTACGGGGCGAAGGGCAAGCGGGCGATGCTGATGGGATGCAGTATCCCCATCCATGGGTACGGTAGATGACGGGTGTGGAATAGAAGGGAGGGGCAACCCAGAGCAAGAGGCGGGCGCTGACGAGCAACGCTGGATCGCCCCGGGGAGACCGGGGAGGCGGATCTCTTCCCCGATACCTCCCAGCCCTGTTTTTGAGCGTCGATTGGAGTGGGATGGAGCGGAGGGACTATTGTTTCTTCGTACTGCTTGGGCATGGTCTGGAAGACGTACAAGCACCGAGCTTCGGTCAGGAAGTTGCGAACTAGTCGAGCCTTCTGCCGTACTTCCGGAAGGTGTACACTCGCGGAAATCTTCCGGAAACAAACCCAGCAGTCGGGCGTCGGCTTCAACTTCGGGTTCATGGCCTTGAATTTTTGGCATCGTTGCGGCTTCATCATCGACTTGGGCTAAAGCTCCCTCAGAAGCGCTTCTCCGCATCCGCTTCGGCGTCCAGGATTCGGGATCGACTTCCGGAAGTCCCAGCTTATCCCTGGGTTCATCAGGCTGGGTCTGGTGATCCGAGAAATCCCACGCCATACGGACTGTAGCTCTACGGCGGGCTTGGCGGGCTTGAACCTGAAGATTCAGATAATTTAAGCTTAGGCGTAGCTTCAATCTTAGACTTAGGCTTCGCTTAAGCTTAGGCTTAGGCTGAGGCTTAGATTTCTGCTAAGGATTAGACTTAGCCTTCGCTTAGGTTGGGCTTGCTTAAGCTTAAGCTTAGGTATATGATTAATTTTTGGATTACCTGCATGGATTGAACCGGATGATGTCGGCTGAGATGTCGACACAAGTTCGTCGAACACGCCGACCGTACCCTCATCCGACACACCAGACACATCGCGTCAAAGCTAAAAAAGCAAAGTTGCCCGTGAAAGTATGACCAACCGATCGATACGCTCAAAAAACGACCAGCACGGGTGGCCCAGCTTTCCGCTTCTGTGTTGTGGAGGCGGTTGGGTCGGCTGGGGGCGCAAGCTTGATTTTTCTTGTTGGTTGAGGACGAGCTGGAAAAAAACGGAATTAAAGGGTTTGTGAAAGCAAGGTTAAAAATCCTAAATTCCTCAATAATCACTGCCTGCCCACCCTTAAATATTGATTGACAACATCATCTGAATGGCGTCCCCTGATGTGTGCCTCTAATTCGGCTGAACTTGCATAGCTTGATGGGCAGATGTTGCATCTAGGAATTTTTTACTTTAAAAGCGATGGCTGTCACACTTGAAGATGTGCCGCTCGAAGACGGCCTTCAGGAGCCGGAGGTCGGCTAGGAGTTGGGCCTCATCGGGTTGCTGCTCACGTTGCCCTTGCTCTGTATCATCATCGTCCAGGCTGATGATCTCCGGTTTAATGTACACGTTGGCCATCTGAAAATGAGAATTGAGGATCAGGATTGGGCTTAGGCTTAGGCTTGGACTTGCGCTTAGCCCTAGACTTGGGCTTTGGCTTAAACTTGGGCTCAGCTTAGTCTTTTACGATCCAACATACGCCATTTCACCGCTTCAACGAAAAGGCAGAAAAAAAAATTGAGGCACAAAAATTACCGTAGCCCCAAAATCAATAGTACAGAATTTGACGCATAACTCGACATTTTAGCGAATAAATCGAGAGCACAAAAATCTGCCGTGCTGAGGAGCGTGGAGTACGCGGAAAATGCGGTAGGGGTGGACTCTGTGGAGACAGTGGAGGGGACGAAGGAGTTCGAGTCCGGCCCCCGACCCCAAAACAGAACCCACAACACCAACGAACTGAATATCCCCCCGGAAGAGGGCGGAAGAACTCGAGAACCGTTCGCTTTTTAGAGATGGGAGGGGAAAGGGCAACAGCACTTTCGGTCTATTAGTCATAGAGGATGGGCTAGCAGAGAGTATTTGGGAATTGGGGTCGAGGAGCGGACGATATGACTCTACGACGTGGTAAGCTAGCGAAGATTATTGGGGAACATGAGATAGAGCGAGAGAGAGAGAGAGAGAGAGAGAGAGAGAGAGCGAGAGAGTGATGATAGAGAGGCTGAGAGAGAGACAATAGCTAATAAACTGAAAGTAGCGGGGCAGCTAGCGGAGATTCTTTGAGAAATGGCCGGCTGGCAGGCTAGCAGAAACCCCTGTGGAGTATGATTGCTCTCCCTTTATTTCCTGCTCATCATCTCTCGCCCACTCACCCTCACTCTCTCGCTCTCACTCTCTCATTCTCTCTTGCTCACTCTCCCCCTCTGTTTCTCGATCGCGATCTCTCTCCATCTCTCTCTCTCTCTCTCTCTCTCTCTCTCTCTCTCTTTCTCTCTCTCTCTCGCTCTCCATGCTTTCCTTTTAGCTTAGGGAACGCTTAAAGAACCCTCGAAGCCCCTTTCGCCTACACAATCCCTGCATCATTCCAAACCTCTTGGCACTCTGCCATCCAGCCTGTCGACTCAAATACCGTACCCCTCTCCCCCTCCGGTAACGTCAATAATACATCACATGGGCAGAAAAACGGCTCCTCCTCCCCCATTTCTCTTCTTTTTGCCGTTTTGTCGCGATTTTGGGGGGCGATTCCGGGGGGCTTCACCCGCGCCGTCAGAACCCCCGAACATCATGGAGAAGGCTGCTAGAGGTGGCCGGGGAAGGGGGCGATTTTCAGTTTTCTTGTATCAACCTCTCGTGCTTTGGTAGAAGCAGAAGAAGAGGAGGAAGGAGGGGGCGGGCGGGCGCCGTGGGTGGGGCATTTTTCCGGTATGCAGCGATGTAAATTGCAAAAAGTCATCTGAAACGCGTTTTTTCGCAATTTGCATCGCTGCATACCGGAAAATCCCACCAGCCCGCCGGCCACCCAGACGCCCCAAAGGCCCTCGCAGGGGCATTTGGCGGCGCCCCCAGGCCCCGACCCATATATACTTTAGTGTACCTTTAAGAGGGTACTGTAATTCAGAGTGTACCGCACTGTTGCATCGTTTTGACTACTACATATACGTAGGAGTAGACTTGGCTGCGGTTTAGACTTCAGCTTAGCTTAGGCTTCGCTTAGCTTACGATTATATCAGCCTTATGATTAAGCTTAAGTTTAAGCTTAGGCTCAGTTTCAAGCATTTTCTTAAAGCGCAAGTATCGCTACTGCTTTGCTTAAGTCTGGCTCAGGCTTATCTTGTGCTTAAGCCTGGCTTAGCTTTTTCTTAGGCTCAGCCTAGGCTTAACTGCACTTTTACCATATCCCGGGGTAACGAGCGCACACCATTTGCCCCCCCCCCCCCATTGCCATCCGATCATCGCCAGGGTAAGCATCTCCTTACGGCCGAAGAAGAAGAAGCAGGCGAAAATGGGCTGAGCACAACCGTCTTGCTCCTCTCTTCCATCCCGCCATATCCTGCCCATCCATCGCTCTCTTTACCCACCCCCCGGCACCACGCAAAAACGGACGGTGAACGGCATTCGGCACAGGCTGGCAAACCAACCCTGCTCGGCCCTTCTACCGGACGGGGAAAAGCCTAGGGGATGGGCTTTAAAGGAAGAGGACTTAGGCTTAGCTTTGGTTGGCAAACATGGCTTAGGCTTGGGCCTAGGCTTAGGTTGGGCTTAGGCTTAGGCTAAGCTTAAGTTTAGGTTTAGGCTTATGCTTAGGTTAGGCATTGATTAAGCTTAGATGACGCATATGCTCAGATTTAGGCATAGAATGAGGTCAGGTTTAGCTTCGCGCTCAGAATTATGCATAAGCCCCAACTTTCCTCTGATTCGGGGGTCACAACACATCCTCCCGGTATTCCCATCAATCAGTCCCATTTCAGGCACCCTAAAACGGAGGGTCTCGCGGATCAACCATTAAAAGCTCATGGGGGGGGGAAGAGGAGGTCAATCTCACCACGACAAATCCCAAAAAAAGGTCGGTCTTTGCTGGGGGGGGGGGTCTCTTGTCTTTTTAGGGGCTGTGGCGAATGCCAGCCGGTACGCGGTTTTTTAAGGGTAAAGCGTTTTGCGAAAAAATGCTCCAAATACCGTAAGCCGGCACTCTCTCAGTCTCTCTCTCGCTCTCTCTCGCGATCCTACTCGCTCTCTCTCTCTCGCAATCCCTCTGGACCGCTCTCTCTCTCTCTCTCTCTCTCTCTCTCTCTCTCTCTTTACCACCAATTCCAGGTCACCCTCCGCAATTGGGTCGTTCTGATTTCCCCCTGTACTTTCTCCGCCCCATCCCGCAAAAAACCCATTTTTTCCGGATTTTCCGGTCGACTCCTCGCTACGCCGTGTCCGCAAAGAGAAGCCGCTAGGAGTGGGTGGAAGGGGGCGGGTCCGAGGGGTTTCGTTCGTTCGGCTCGGTCGGATGGGGTGGGGGTGGACGAAATTTATCTCCCGGCCACATCTACTCGCCGCAAATGTTTCACGCCACAGACTGTTTTGGGGGGAATTTCCCCCTCAACCGGGGAAATTCGGGTCAACCGCCCCCCAAAAAGGGGCGCACTCAAAAACCTGGAGGGCAGATGGAAGAGGCCGGAAAGATTGGGGCTACTGATTTTATTGGGAGCAAATTGGGAGGGGAGGTGTTTCGAATTTCATGGGTCCAGCTGATTTCGAAGAAAGGGAAATTACCTTTTTTGGTATTGTTGTATTTCGAAGGAAAAAAATACGGCGGATATCTTAATGCCAATTTCGTGGCAGCTGGAGAGAGAGAGAGAGAGTGAGGGAGAGAGAGAGAGAGAAAGAGAGAGAGAAAAGAGAGAGCGCGAGAGAGAAAGACGGTGATTTGTTAATTTCTGGTGTACTGTAGCTTTTCCGAAAATTCATCAAAAAGTGAGTTTCTTGGAAGCAAGAAGAAGATAATGAGAGAAAAAGAAATACAGAGAGAGCGAGATAGGGAGAGTTAGAAAGAGAGAGAGAGAGAGAGAGAGAGAGAGAGAGAGAGCGACTCGGAAGACCTTAAGAATTTCGAAATCGATGTGAAGTTAGACAAAACGGTATACTGTACCTTAGCTAAAAACATTATGAAAGGCCCTCATAAACCTTAACAAAAACCATCAAACCACTAATAAAATGAACCAAAAACCGACAAATCAATAAGCCACGCTAGGCGGACTGCGGCGTACCGCGAGAATGGACAAAACCGAAATTCGGCCATTCCCCCTAGCGAGTACGAGAGACAACTACTGTTGACAAGGAAAAACGGGCGTAACATACAGAATTAATGAAAGGTTGGGGAGTACTGTCGATAGGAATATGGCGGACTTGAGAGGGGGGATGGGTGGAGAGACTGTTTTCTAGGGATCGGATCGAGTACGGTGGATCGGATCGGAGTTTAGGCAGTTCAGTTCCGGGGGGCGCTCCCAAATACCCTATTTCAGTTCACTTTTTGGGAACCTTTTAGTCTAAAATGATCGACCGCGCCGGGGAAATAGATTTCTTACGGTCTTCTGGTACTTTTCATTATCTCTCTTTCTCACTCACTCTCTCGCAGTCTGATTCTCACTCCCTCTCTCTTTCTCTCGCTTTCTCTCGCTCCCTTTCGCTCTCTCACTCTCACTCTGTCTCTCGCACTTTCTCTCTCTCTCTCTCTCTCTCTCTCTCTCTCTCTCTGTCTCTCGAGCTTTCTCGCTTTTCCAAACTGAAATTCGTAAATTCAGCTTCTCAGGCGTACTGTAATTCTTGTTTCTGCATTTTCAACAAACGTACATCTTTATACAGGTATGGTAATTGGCGGTGGGGGGATACGGTAGAATAATTGAGCGGGGAGGGCGGGTATTTAGAGGCATACAAAACGAGCAACGAGAATCGTGGCAATAAGGGTGAGGGAGAGGGAAACAGAATTCGGGGCTGAATTGCAGAGATCTCCCGAGCAGCAGCAGACCTTGTTCGAGCCGGGGCCAGAGCAGCCCGTGTCCTGAACGGTTGGAAATTTCATGATGGAAATGAAAATTTGAAATGGAGAAATATTTAGGACTGAAAGGTTTTGTCGAGAGGATCTAAAGGGAGTGTGACAGTAAGGATTAGCTTTTAAGTCTCTTTATCTCTCTATAACCCACTCTCTCTTTCTCTTTTGCTCTCGCTCTCTCTATCTCTGTCTCTCTCTCGCTCTCTCTCTCTCCCCCACTTCCTGGCACGCTCCCTTTAAACGATTAGGAACCCTACCACCTCCCTGAAAATAAAACCCAAAAGAACCCAGGAAGCCTCTATAACCCAGAAATCAAATTAAAGGCGTTGAGAAGCCACAGAAAACACAGAAAAGACCACCCAGCCTACTCAGAACGTATTGCACAGATCGCCGGCACAGCAGCAGTCCCGATTATCCGACCCTCCCCAACACCCCGTGTCCTGAAGGAGGGACTAAGCTGTATCTCTATCTCAAGGCCCCCTCTCTCTCTCTGTCTATCTCTCTCTCTCTCGCTCTTTCTCTCTGGTTAAAACGCAAAATTATAGTTTTGTTGAGCCCTGGAAGTACCTGGAAGCACCGTCCAGAATTCGGATCGCCACAGTCCCTCGTCTCAGTGTGGGAATTGTCTCCATCATGGTCGCGACGTACATAGGATTTGAAGCACATCCTCACCTGAGGGCCACAGTCCCCTGAAAGTCTGGGTTTCTCAATGATCTCTGCTTGCTAGTCCACATTCCCTCTCGATTTAGTCATGTGCTCGTTTTCGTTCTCTCACTCTTTCTCTCGCTCTCTCTCGCTCTCGCTTCAACTTACGAATGGACATTGCCGATTGGACGAGGGTTGACGAGAAGACGTCGCCCTTATTTGGCAATGTCTGCTGTCCGACGTAGCAAGTGACGCAGAACGCGATAGATACGCAGACGGAGATGAGGATGAGGTGTCGGAGCATCATCTCTGAGGTATTGCTATTTTAAAGGGGTTGTAAAGTCTAGGAAAGCATCGCAGAAAAAGCCTAACTGATAGCTTGCAAATTGGCTCAAAAAGCTATAGGCTCGATTTTACGTATGTTACGATTTGACGTGCGTAATTATCTCAGTCGCTTTAAAAGCCATAAAAACATGATTAATTGACAAAATATCGTAGCGCGCCGTACAAAATTTACAGCGCTGCCTTTCCAGCCCCTTGAAAATTCATCATAAATCCCCAAAAAATTTTTTTTTGAGAAAAACGGCTGATCCGGCCGCTGTCGCCATGCCTTTAAAAAAGAATAGACCGTTCGGAAATAGCCGTCGAAATGTTGAGACTGAAAGTGAGGGTGGGCCCCAAGCCAACGCTCAGTTTTGAGGGCCCAACAACCCCCCACTGACAGCACCCAAATAGATATCGAAGAAAAGAGGCCGGGCACGGCATCGACCCTCTCTGTATTTACCCGCCGATTCTCTCTCCCTTGGCGTTTGGCAGAGAGGGGAGAGAGAGAGAGAGGCGGAGAGAGAGAGAGAGTGAGCGAGATGAGAGAGGATGAGAAAGAAACACACAAAAAAAGGCTTGTTGGTAGTTTGTTTGTAAAAATTGGACAGAGTACGGCGGCGGAATCCTTTCGAAAAAGAGCGCGCGCGTGAGAAACAGAGATAGCGACGGAGAGAATGTCTAATTTTGCTTGGATCTTTTGCATTATCGGGGGGAAGATTCATCCCATAGCGACCAGATATGTCTAGATTGCGCGAATATTTTAATAGTGATTTTGGTAATAATCATCAATAATAACTTAGTAAAATGTTTTAGGCGAAAAGCTACCTCCTTGGTCAAAAATCTATTTAATTTTTGGCAGAATCTTGTAAATTTTTTACGTGATAAGCAGTGAGAAACTGTTTAGATACAGTTCTTGCACTTTTTGAAAAAAATTTGGGTCCCTAGGAAAAAGTCCATCCATTTTTGGAATCCCGCAACCCCGAGCGCCTAACAAAACAAAACACAACTTTCAGCTTCTCCCCCTAAAAAAGGGGAAGTAGTGCGTGCCCTCCAAACGGCAACATTAACGCACTCAACCGCGCCCTACTCTCCCGCCTTGCATAAAACATTATGGGGCACTTTTTAGGCAGTAACCCCCTATTCTGATGCATATCCGGTGGGGAAACGGGGAATAATTGTGGGTCGGCGAATAATTTGGGGTCGTGGATTCTTAGGGGTTTCCGAGGGGCACCTATTGACGAGAAGCTGGCGGAAGAGAAGAAGAAGACGAAGAAGCACCTTAACACCCCATGCAAACAATCAAGGGTACCCGGGGCTGACAACCTAAAAATGCGGGGGGCACCAAATAGCAAGGCGGGCTGTTGCACTCTCTTTTTCCCTCTCTCGCTCCCAAACTCTCCCGCTGGCAAACTAGCAAGCTTTCTTTAGGAATTTCCTGATGATACTGACCCCGCCCCATCAAAAAAGCTCACCAAAAGCTCAACCAAAGCTCATTACAGCCCCGTCTTGACTACAAAGCCAAACAGATGACACCCTCTACCGTAGATCTGTGTATTTTTGACCCAACCCCTTCTGGCTCTGTTGACATTCACTGTTCGGCAGCGAATTCTGTTTGGGGCTGTGCTCTTGCTCTCCCTCTTTCTCCCTCTGTCTCTCTCTTTCTCGCTCTTTCTTTCTCGTTCTCTCTCCTCTCTCTCTCTCTCTCGCTCTGTACTACAAGTAATCGGAATGTCGAAATGGTGTCACTCTGCATTCACCTCACAAAACAACATCAAAACGGGTCGCGTAGAAAATATTTATTCAGCAAGAACTGTGGCGGGACGAGTGTCGGAGCGGGAGAGAGAGTGAGAGGGAGAGAAATTCCTAGAATCCAATGTCCTTGGTGAAGATCTGCGGCTTGTTGGCCGGCTTTTGCGGGGTGGTCGGGGTGGAGTCGGCAGATGCGGCCGACGTCTTCTTGCCCTTTTTGGCATCTTTGGTCGTCTTCTTGGTGGCCTTCTTCTTTTTCGACGAGGACGACGACAAGCTGGCCGACATGTCGGGGTGATCTGAAAACGGAAGTAGGATTTTCTATTTGTACCTCTATTTTTTTTCGCTCGATATCTCCCCTTTCTCTCACTCATGCCGACTTCAAGCAGTTCAATACACGCGTCATACCTTCCCCACGACGCTCCTGAACCGTTCGCGCTTCACGCCGCTGCAGCTCCGCCTCCCCAACAATTGACGCATCTAAATCTCGAGAATTATGCCAGAACGTTGGTCATCTACTGATCATCCTCCGCAGTTTGCTCAGCCCGAGGCAGTCCAAGAAACAGGACAACGCCCCGAGGCCGGTGCTCAGCTAAATGAGAATGTAGAAGGTCCTGATCAACAATGCCTTTCCCGTCCAAAACATGGCCAGGGCCACGAAAAAGTAGATGAACACGAGTCCCGGGACGGCTCCTAGCGACACGAAACCGAGTAGGATAGCCGGAAATATCGATAGGATGCAGCGGACCGTTGCCTAAAACGAGCTACATGAACTGTTGCTCTCTCTCACTCTCTCTTGCCCCCCTTTTTCTCTCTCTCTCACTCTCTCTCCCTCCTGCCCCTACCTACCCTGAAACGAGCGGCCAACACCTCGGCCCTCATCAGGTCCTCCGTCTCGGCCATTCTAGCCTTTTGCATCTAAACAACGACCCAGGTACTGTAGCTCCCGGTTTTGTACCGTATTCCTGTAGACGGTCAGCGGCATGTAGAAACAGACGACGAGGGGGAGGACGAGCTGGAATAGAAGTCTTCATGATGTCACACTCCCTTTAAGCTAGCGTAATTAATTCCCAAGCTCTTCAAGTTCCCTTTAACATAGTCGTAATCAGTTATCAGACCTGTCACACCCCCTTTAAAACACCTACCGTAATCAAAACCGGCAAAAATGGGGTGAAGAATAGTGTGCCGATGCGCGATCCGCCGTTCATCCAGTGGTAGACCAGCGACCAACGTTCCAGATCGTCCGATCCCATACGGCATGGGCCACCTGTGGGTAGGAGAGCGTACGGTAGAGTACGGTAGTGTACGGTAGAGTACCCAAGTAGGGCGGCGGAACTAACCGCTGATAAAGTGCTGCAGCGAGTCGGTGATCAGACCGCAATCCCAGCAGAATCTTGTGCGACATCGGATCACAGGGCATTCCACCAGACGACAGCCTTCACGCTCTGCGTAGATGTTCTAGAATGGAAAGCTGTCGCTCACTCTCTCTCTCTCTCTCTCTCTCTCTCTCTCTCTCTCTCTCACTCTTTCCCTCTAACTCTCTCTCGCTCTCACTCACGCTCTCTATCTGGCTCTCTCGCTCTCTCATTGTCTCTCTGTCACCCTCTCTCGCTTGCTCTCTCTTTCTCTCTCTCTATCTCGCGCTCTCTCTCTCTTTCTCTCTCCCACCCACCCGGCATACAGGACACGGCTTTGCCAGCAGTGGCCCCCCGAATGCATCGATGATCTGTAGAGAGTGATGTAGATAGAGCAGCTTGATCCGTTGTTCCGGCCGTAGGTGCTGATCGTAGTCCCTCTAAAGGCACGTGGAAGGCAAGCGTCTATGGATTCGCTGTCTATCGAACCCGAAAAATTACCTCAATCGGTGAGAGAGCCATTTCGACATCATTCTCATGAATGTCCTGGGTGCAACCGTCCGTTGGGCACTTCAGAATTGGCTTTTTGTGAGTGACGGTTTGTTCCTGAAACGGCCGAGGCTCCGGCTTAGGCTTAGGCGGAGCTTAGGCTTGGGCTTGGGCTTAGCCACTGAAAACCGACCGTAATATAGCTGCAAAGACGTGCCACTTCCACGACATGCGTACAGTTGCGTAGCGTTAACTAAAAAACCCACCCGCTACGTGATACACCAGACTACGGTATTCACCTGTGGTGGAGCGCTCTGTTTTTCAGGTTCTGGTGGTGGAGCCTCTGAGGGTGACGCCATTTCAAATGGTCGTTTTTTCAACAACGCCATTTCAAATTGTAAAATTGAAATTTTCTAGATGCAAATCAAGCTCCGCTAAAATTAAACCATTGGCTTGAGTTAATTTTCCTAAATAACCAGGGTTTTCGCTTTCGCTCGCTTAGGAATTTTTTAAATACCGTATAACTGAATGTCTATTTTTTTTAAAGGAAAAATAATAAACAGAAAAAATAATTAAATACAGTATGCCCAACTCCTGATGGAAATTTCGATTCCTAAATAATCTCTGCTAGCTTGCCCAGGCTAAGTATCCTTTTGAATGCGGTTTATTATAAAGAAAATATCTTTTTATCACAAAATCGGGGGTCACAATCGAGTGTACAGCACTGTACGGGAGTACTGCTTATATCACAACCATACTGTCGGTCAATAGGAAAGGGCACAATATAGCAAAATGCATAGGCATCAAAAACTAAGTTACAGTAGCCAAATTACGGTAAATAAATATGACACAGGAAACGGCAGACAAAATTTCAATTCCATTTAAAAATTCAATTTGAGGATCACGTCGGCGATGTGAGAAAGAAATGTGGATCAGGAGGGGATTACGGTAGAAATGGCAGGCGGTAGGGAGTTGCTGTAGTTTGTAGTTTGTAGTCTATAGTTAAACAGCAAAATTCAGGAGGGGAAAACGCAAAAATGACAAATATAAAGCTTTGGAGGATTTGGACTAGTTGTAATCGTTAAAAATTTGGGCTATAATTTAAGTAGAGTATTTGGATACAGTAAGTGAAGGGCATGGGGCTGGGATCGTCTGAAAAATGAGTAGTTTCATATAAAAATTAAAAAGTTGGCTGAAATTCCGGGGCAATACTCTAGACGCTGGTGTTGAGGCCGAGCATGCCATTCTTCTCGTTATGGTGCGTCGACTCGGGGGTCGAGGCTTCCGCTGGCGAGGAGTACGGATCGATTCTGGAAACGGAACACGTTTTTTGCCTGAAAAGCTGAAAGACCGACCCTTGAAAGGGATCGTGCTAGCAATGAAAGGAAAAGTTAAATATATTGAGGTAGGATTAAAGGAAATCATGAAAAATGAGAAAAAAAGGTTACTCCAATATGGAGTTTGATTAAAGAAAGTAAATTATTTGGCCTGTTTCGACCCTTGTCCAAGACAGGCAATTTACACTAGGGTCGGGTCATCCTCAGTTGGAATCCCTAGCGAAGGAAATTAGATAAATTTTGATAGGAAAAGTTTGTTAGATGAAATGTAAAGGATAATGTAGTATTTGGTTGAGAAGGTTTAACTAGATTGTGGTGGGGAATTTTTGAGTTCCCGCGTGGGGGTAGGTATCATGGGGCAGAGAGAGGGGGCAGAGAAAAGAGATATACATGGCGTAATGGTCTGGCACGTTTGTTTAGAAAATGTGTTTATGGTTGAAAGAAGCCGAAAGTGAATCACGGCTCGTCAGCCCTTACCAAAAACGCACTTTGGGGGGGCGGCGGCTCTCTCCCCGCGAATAGTGGGTTAACTCCCCGGGCGAGCCCCCCCGTACCCCCCGGGTTCGATTCCTCTCGGGTACAAATCCCTCAATTTTCATGAAAATTCTTTTGAATTTTGCTCCAATAGTATCACAAAGACTCTGGGAGGCAGTAAGCCAAATCAAACTAGCGATTTACCGTTAGAATTCGGAAAATAGCGGCTAGAAGGATTTCTCCCGGAAAGGACCCCAAAACAATCGCGGATTCGCTATAAAATCAGTTTTTGAAGGCGGCGGGTCAATTTTTTACTAAATCTTGAAATGTATTCCCAGTTGGGGCCTTTACTTTAGTAGATTAGGACAGTTCTTACGAGGCTTACTCCTCTTTTTCAAAAAAACTTGGCGTTTGAACTCATTTCCAGAATCGACACTTGATAATTTAGTAATTCTCGATTCACGCTCTCTGATTTGACAAAATTATGTAGAAAATGGCCTTATAAAGCCCGATTATTCAAAGCTCCATATTATCGTTTATTAAATTTACTTTCGCTTTCCAAAAGCTTTGATATTGAGTCAGAATAGTACATTTGTACGTCGCGTAACTCATTAGCAACTTATTGACGGTATCTTATGCCTAGAGGACGAAAAGCTCGTTGTAAAACCACGGTTTTTGAAATTTGTGAAACTTTAGGCTCGAATAACTCCTTATTTCCTTGAGAACGCCCTATGAAACCGTCACCGTTCGATAGAGAATTTTTTTTCTCTATCGATTCGTCAAGCCTCCCAAATTTTCGAAATCATGCCAAAAAAGTTATGGCAAGAAAACTACAAACTTTGCTTTTTCTAATATGGGCGGCGCCGCGGCACAGGGACCAGTGGCAAAAGGCGCGCCCCGTACTAAAGTGCGCTTTGACGAGCCGTGGAATGGAAAAGGATAAAGTGAATGGTAAAGTGATAAAATATAGAAAGTGTATCTTTTTAAATTTATCTAATAGGGTTTATATTCGACTATTTTAGTAAATGCACTATGTTTTTTGGGTTGCATTCGTGTTTGAGACTAAGTACCGGGTATTTAGTGAAAACTTTTTTGCAAAGGGCATATAAAACTTGCGTAGGGTAACTATTATTTTGTAGATGAGTTAGTAAAAGTTTTATGTGTTTAATTAAATCTTTTTGCTGGGAGCATTTTCGAGCTATTCTGATAATTTCTCCTTCCACACACCCGTGTTTGATAGAGTAGGAGATGTTTGAGCAATAGTTTGGTAAGCGTGTGACCTTAAATTTATAATCATCTACTTTATTATATAATTCGGTATGTGTTATATTGTTTTGAATGTAGATTTTTAGGTCTAGAAAATTTCCGCAATCATTTCTAGAGTTTGTTCTTTCTAATGTAAGGTCTTTGGGGTAAATTTCGGAAAGATATTTTTCAATATCAATGGAGTTTTTGTAAAGTATAAGTATATCATCCATGTATCTGTATCCTACAATGTTGCTATCAGCTTTTTCTTTGAGATAAATGTATTCGTAATATGTTAAAGTTAGGTCTGCTAGCATAGGGCTGCAGTTTTGTCCTTGTGGGATACCTTGTTTTTGTTGGAAAAGTATTTGTTTATAGGTTACAAAACTGTTACTTAGTAAGTAGTTAACTAGGTACATGATTTCGTTTTTACCGAAGATATTATTACCAAGGTTGTCGTTTGTATAATAGCAGGATTTGTATCCCATTTTAATATATTTCTTTTGAGAATTTTTAAAACAAATTTCTAGGATACCGTCAATGGCTTGTGTCACGATAGAATGTGGAAGATTAGTAAAAAGACTACTAAAATCTGCAATATAAATATTATTTTTATCGTGATTTTCTAGCAAATTGACTTGGTTGGAGTTATTAATAGACCAATATACTAATTTGTTCGTATTATTTGCTATTACTGAGCAGTATCGCTGTAAGTGTTGGCGTATAAAGTTAAGTAAACGGTGTAAAGTGATAGAAATGGGTTTGATTGAGCTGTTATATGCACCAGTAATAAATCTGAATTTAATAGGGTTTTTATGGAATTTAGGTAGTCCGTATATTTTGGGTAGGCTTGGCGTCTCTGGTGGGCTAATTTTAAATAAAATATGTGTGTTGAGATGCCTTTTAATTATGTTTTCTTGGTTCTCAATCATATATGGTATATAAGTTTCGTTACCATTAGGAAGTCCATTTTGTATTCCCATTTCTTTGTCAATAAATTGCTGGTAAAGAAATGGGCAAATTATTGCAAAGTTAGAAGTGGCTTTATCTACGCTAGTAATTATGAATTTTCTCTGCAATAATCTTATCTCATTCCAGTCTAGCTTAGTTGTCTCATTATTACTACAATAATTAGTAATTAAATTGATTAGATCACTACTGATTTGTTGGAAATTAACGTTTTTAGTTATTTTAGAGATTTCTTTACCAAATTGTGTAATCATTTTATATTTTACATCTTCTTGAGTGTAATTCAAACTAGGTCGGAACTTAGTGCCTAATTTGAGTATTTCAGAGGTGTTTGGGAAGTGTTTAGAAAGTGAATTACTATCGCCTGTAAGCACGTGTGTTCGTCCATTGTAGTTAACACTATTATTTTGATTCTGGAAATCGAAACAATTATTACAATGTGTAGAATTACGGTTAATATGATTGTTTCCAAGTTTATTGAGAAATTTATTATAGTTAAATAACAATTGACCTAAAGTTGGGTTATATTCATAAGTGATTTGGAAGTCAGTGTTGAATTCTATTTTTGATTTATTCAGGTATTCTTTAATAATTCTTTTACAATTAATTCGTTCTATACTTGGTTCTAGATAAGGGACTTTTATACGTATTTTAGGATGTTTCTTTTTTGGTTTTACTTGGTTTTCGATTTGGCTGTACTTATGGATAGAGGCTTTTGCAAAAGCTTTGACAATTGGGTTATGATGTTCTAAGTAAGGTGTTAATTTTCCGTACATTTTTTTAGGTAAATTGTGTGTAATACTTCTAATTTCGTTAGTTTTTAAGTTTGTTAGTTTGAATTGATTGAAATCAAAATTATAGGACTTAGTCTTACGTTTGTTTTTGCGTATACCTCTGTTACGTGGTGGTGGTTTAACTTTAAGTGAGAAATATGGCGATTGGGTGGATAATTTTCGATTTGGATTAGATATAACTCCGTAACCTTTAATTTTATCATTCAGTCCAAATGGATAGGCAGTATTTAAAAGTTTTATCCAGTATAGTTCTTTGTCTGTACGTATTTGGTTATCTTCATTTTCTATATGATCATCCAAGATGTGTATATGAAACATATTATCTGTTTGTCCATTTGGAAAATGAGTACGATAATGATCGTATATGAATCCAGATTTTCTCTTTTTGATGGAATATTTGTGACCATACATGCGTTGGGTGACTTTTCGAGATGTTTCGCCTACGTATTGTAGATTACAGATTTTGCAAGTAAGACAGTATACCACATTTTTTGTTTGGCAATTAGGTTGATTATATTGGTTGGTTCTGGTATAATAGTTAGTGGAGTTACTATGTATAATAGGCTGATCGTCGGACCCACCTCGGCTTGTTTGGCGTATGTACCCGAGGGCTATCCATCAGCCGGGCCTTCGGATTGAGCGGTTCCGCTTCTCGTGAGTACGGCGGGTCATTCCATTTCCGTGCTGTTGACGGTGTTCGGACGCTGTTCTGCTCCTTCTCCTCGTCAAACTTCTTGCGGTGGTCTTGCTTCTTGATCCAGCACATTAGATAGATCAGGATCAACACCTGAAAGGGGTTGTTGGTCTGAGCAAGCGGGCTTAGGGTTTAAGCTTAGGCTTAGGCTTAGCTTAGGCTTCCACTTAAGATTACGCGGAGTTGAGCTTAGGCTTAGGCTTAGGCTTAGACTTAGCTGAGGATTAGGCTTAGGCTTGAGATTAGGCGGAGACTAGGGTAGGCTTAGACTTGGCTTAAGCTTAGGCTTAGCTTAGCTTAGGCTTATGTTTAGGCTTAAGCTTAGACTCAACCGTAGGATTAAGGCTTAGGCTTAGACTTCGGTCTAGGCTTAGGCTTAGGCTCAGGCTCAGCTTAGTTTGGCAAAAAATCTAACGCATAAGAATAAATAACTAACGATAATAATTCCAGCAGATCCCAAAATCGCGGCCAACCAAATGAAGAAATTCTCCTTCTCACGCGACCGGCACCACGGTTGGTCTCCCTAAACGAGGCCGTGGTTACCGTATTCCCTAACTACCGTACCTTATTCCACTCGAATCGATAGGTACCGTATTGATAGTTGAGGGGCTCTTGCTCGCGGGTCCGGCTGTCCCGATAGTAGTCTCGATTCGCCACCATTCCGCCTGGAATTGTTGCAGTTTGTAGTTTTCCTTTTAGAGGCGGGGTAGCAGAGATCTTTTAGGAAAAGGGCATATTTTGCGGGTCTCGAAAGGTTTCCGGCATGTCGCCATCCCTCTAAATTCGATATAGAGACTTTTTAGGTGGCTGTTTAAAGCCGAGGCAAACTGGCAGAGGTTCTTTAATGTCAAGAACAAGAGTTTCCTTAAGACTTTGGGCAAGCTAGCAGAGATTTTTTAGGACAACAGGAAACTAGCAGGGAGACTTTAGCGTATCGTGCAAGCTAGCAGAAATTTTTTGAGGAATCGGCAAGCTAGCAGAGATTCCTTGAGGCTGTGGGCAAGCTAGCAGAAATTCTTTAGGACAGCAAGCAAGCAGAGTTTATTGTGGAAGGAAGAGGCTCCATAAAGATACAACTTACACTTGTACTCATGGGTTCCCTTGGTCCAATGGCTCTGGAAACACTCGAATTGTGCGACATCCCCCTCCAGATAAGCGCTGTGCATGCTGCCGATTTTCATCAGATATTCCGGGTACTCGATGTTGATCGGGCCGCATGAGTTGTCTAAAAAATATTAAGAATGAAAAATGGAGATAAATAGTCGGATAGAAAATTGTTCTACCGTATCGCAGCAATTTCGTACCGTACTGGGCGTATTAATTCGGAAAAATTGAAATAAAAGCTACCTACGGTGCTCGCGGCGTTCATTAATGCTCGTTAAACCCCTAAGGTAAAAAGCAAAAAATGTACCCCCGCGCGGATCCGAACCCGGACCCTTCGCCTGGTAACCGCGCCCACAACCACTGCGCCATAGGGAAGATTCCCTAAAAATCGGACTTACACTGCCGCATCGCTTGAAGTCGGAGGGCGATATGGGAATTCCATGCCTCCTTGCTCTCCTGGCCGATGACCTTTGAGTTGAGGAGGGTATAGTCGTAGAGACACGCCCAATTGTCCCCACAATCGGCCAACACTTCTGAGGGTTTATTCGGGCATACCGACATCCCGTACTGCTCCATCACCGACGAGATTTGCGGCTGCAGGTTGTCTGCAAGTTCAAGCTTGAATTTTTGTTGTTTTAAAGGAACTTGGAAGGCAAAAAATACGCAAGTTTTGCAGGTTAAAGTTCTTAGAATTGCGCTTAATTTTCTTGAACGCTTAATTATTTAAAGGAGCGGCGAAGTCAAAAATATCGATTCCAAAATATCGAAAAAGCCATTTTAAAGGACCATTGAAGGCAAATCCGAAGACTCACAATTCGGGTTCTGCTCCATATCGCGGCAGTGGTTCAGTATTTGGATCAACACCGTCCCGGTGATCGGATAGAAGCGGTTGGTGCCCCTAAAAAATTTTGTAAAATTTTTATGAAGCCAGCCGTACGTCTCAAACTCGGCGGCCGCTTTGTAGATGGGCCCTCGCATCGATGCCTCGGGAAACACCTGGAAATTTGAGTTTTTTTACATTGTGTATAAAATCTTTTGCACTTTCCGGAACCATTCACCCACCTCAAACTTCCTGTCCTCGTCGCGGCTGGTGGTGAACATATTTTCCGAGGGGATCTCCGAGTTGTACTGGACGTTCAGATTCTGATCCGAGCCACTCTCGCCACTGCCGGCAATTTTGTCTAAACGAGGCAAATTTGATCGACTACGAGAATGGCGCGCACAATTCTGTACAATCTGCTGCCTGTACTGCTCGGAGTTGACGTCTTGCATTTGGAGGTCACGCTGGTATTGGCTGCTCATCGTTTGGTCGGGGAATGGGCGCATTAGGCCGGCGACCTGGAGGAGGATGGGTTAGAGAGAGAGAGAGAGAGAGAGAGAGAGAGAGAGAGAGTGAGAGAGAGAGATGAACATCGAGAATTCATCCGAACATACCTTTGGCAAATTATAGCGCTGTCGGATCTCGTTCTCGCGTGCCTTATCTCCATCGGGTCTCTAAAATACGGTAGCCTAAAATTCCGCTCAAAATCCTCTCACCACTCCATACTGTGGCGGCACAGAAAGAGCAACGTTTAGAATCCCGAAGCTCTCCTGGTAGTTCAGCAATCGATCGATATCTCGGTTGAATGATTCGCTGAATTGCGGATTAGAATCAGTAATCCGGAGACCGTTACCGTATCCTGATGCCGATCTGGGCCTCCTCAAGCACAACATAGATCTCGGCTTGGCCACGCTCCACATTGTTCACGTAGACGAGCACACCTAGAATATTTGAATATTTTACTGTAAGGCAGCTGATGTTTTTGTACGATACTGTACAACTCGTTACGCTATTGTACGCTATCTTAAGCTACGGTACGATACTCTACTGCACCTTGCGCACCTGTATGTTACTGTACGAGACATACTGTCTTACTTGCGACGCACCACCTTGTGGTACGATACTGTACGGCGCATTACGGAACTTTAGTACGGTAATGTACGGCGCATTACGGAACCGTAGTACGATACTGTAAGTGACCTGGCCGGTTTATGATGTTTTAGGCCCCTTACGCTATAGTACGATCGTTGTACTCACCCCACGTTGATGCTGTACGAGAATGTACGGCAATTTATGCCATTGGACGATACTGTAAGTTACCTTACGATACTATACGTTACTTTACGCTAAAGTATGAGAAGCAAATAGCACGAGAATGATATTTCGGGAAAACTATACTATGGTACAGTACGAGACTAAACGACACCTTACGATCATTTTGGCACGGTACACCTACGTGCGTACCAGACTGTACGATACCGTACGCGAATCCCAAGGCGTTCCATTCCCATTAAAACGTACCCTTGAAGCGTTGGATGACCATCGTATCGAAATAGCGCAGAATGTTGCCGACAATGATGCTGGTACGGTAGCGGAAGCGGCGAGTATCTTTCCGAGCAAGTACGTGAATGCTGTAAGGGTACGGTAGATGGATCCGACTCTATAGAAAATCAAAGGCATAAACCACCACTGTATTTAAGAGAGGTACTGTACGTTAACCTCAGTGATAAACTACGTAACCCTACCCTAACCCGAAACCAAAAACCCACCGATCGGTTCCTGTAGCCTCAATGGCAATTCCAGTGATGACGGTGGCATTTGAGGGCTGAACAAGGTCCTTCTGCGGCATCCAACGACCAAGGTAACCTAGAAAATACTGGTCTCTTCTGAGTAGATAAAACTCACTGAAGTCGACCTTCCGGTTCGGATATCGCTCCAGCCGGACTTGGATCTTCACTTCCGGGGTGGTCAACGTCTTCGGGATGTAGAGAAGGGTGTACACGCCCGGCTCGTTGAACACAAACTTGTCGTTGTCGATCGTGTTGAAGACGCCGGCGCCGATGGCTTCGCCTGAAGGGGTGACGTGACGGATTGGCAAGGCAAATTTGGTTGGCCTTTGGCTCTTTGGCATTATCGGGGGGGGGGGACTAAACAGGGGTAGAGGGCAAAGGATTTTGTATATGGCCTGTTAGTGTAATAATAAATGCCCTAATGGTTTTTTTTGCAAAATTTGTACACTATTTCGACAGCAAAATTAGTCAAAAATTCGAATGTTCGGTCGAAGAAACCATTTTTTTCGAAAAAATGTTTTTTTTTTGTTTATTTTAGCAAAAGATCGGCCTCCGCATAAATCTTGCCATTAATGCGCCATCCAATCCCGCTTACCGTATGCTGCCGGCTGATACTCCTGACAACCGCTAGACGGCCGCCGCCAGTAGAACATTTGGCAACGAAAATCGGCATATTTGCAGCAGAGGAAATATGGCATGTAGTCGTTGTGAAAGGCTGATAGACCCGGCACCTAAAGAAATATATCGTGTTTCGATTCAATGGTCCTTTAGAAGGCCTAGGCTTAAGCTTAAGTATCGGCTTTGATTTTGGCTTAAGCATATGCTTAGGTTTTGGCTTATGCTGTGGCCGATCCTCTCATCGACACTCACCTCAAACTGCCCCATATACGGTGATGACCCAAACTCGTAGGCGCGTAACGGGAACCCGGGGTTATACGGCACTTCCGGTGTCACCTAGATTTTAAAGGAGCGTTGAAGGCCTTGCGTCACAGCACCTTTATAACAGGTTGATAACTGGTCTGCATCAGATGGCCGTCAGAATCGTAGCAGCACACTTGTCCGTAGTGGGTGGGGATTCGGCTGAAACGGGTTTGGGTTAGGCTTAGACTCAGGCTTAGGCTTAAGCTTACACTCACCGTTGCTTTTAGGCAAAAGCTACAAACTACAAACCCGGTGGTATGCGAGTTGTCCGTCCTGCCCGATCCGGCATACGACCCGTAGACGTTTTGGGCCGACATGTAGCAATTTCGGGCACCGATCGATTGGGTGCAGGTGATATCACGGAAGATCTGGAAATTTGGGAGGTGTGGAGGACAAGCGGCCGCAACGAGCCAGAGCTAGGCTTAGGGGCTTAAAGTGAAGTTCCGGAGCTGACACATTTTCCCAGCCACCGGTTTTTATAAGCCAAGCTTAGGCTTGGGCTTAGGCTTAGACTTAGGCTTGGGCTTAGCTTAGGTTTAGGCTTAGGTCAAGGCTTGGTTTTTGGATTGGGTTTAAGCCTAGGTCCAGGCTTATGTTTAGGCTTAGGTTTAGGCTTAGGCTAAAATCAAAGCTTGCTTAGGCTTAAGTTCCGCTTAGGCTTAGGCTTAGATCCCCCAAAGATACCCATTCTTACCTGTGAGCATCGTGGATGTGGCATAAACCGTCCAAGATCGGCCATCGCCTGCCTCTCAACGCACGGGCACGAAGCGTTCGTCTCGGTGTCGCGGATGAAGTTGGCCTGGGCACCATCTTCGTTGTACCTTAACAGACTACGTTAGACAAATCACCTTTTAGCCCTCACCAGTCATGACACATCTGTGTCGCCTTCTTCTTCACAAATTCCACCCTCGACTTCTCGTCCTGGGCGCTGTAGGTGGTGGTGGCGAACTCTTGATTGTTCGTCGTCCACATCCAATGCAGGGAGATCGGGTGGGAGACCAATCTAAAGTCAAAATAAAGGTTATAATTTGTGCATTAAAAGGAGTTTACCCGGCTGGAAGTTGTGTGGGGCGTTGCTGATCAACATTCATAATTGGCGCGAGTTTAAGGTAGCCGAAGCGGTAGGTGTACAGCTCGTTCATTCTTTCCCAATCGGTCATGTACCATTGTTCGACCTAAGGAGGTATTTTGAGAGAGGGAGAACGCGAGAAATAGAGAGACAGAGAAGGACAGAGAGAGAGTGAGCGAGAGCGAAAGAGAGATAGAGTTAAAGAGCTACTAACAGAGAGCGAGAGAGAGAGAGAGCAAGGGGGAGAGAGCGTGAGTGAGTCTGCGGTAGAGAGAACGAAGTCGACAAGATTGATAGAGATAGAAAGCCAAACGGCTAGCAGACAGAAAGAGAGAGGGAGACGGAGAGGAGAGAGAGAGAGAGAGGAGAGAGAGAGAGAGAGATGAGAGAGAGATAAAACTTCGTACCTGATTAATATTGATCCGTTCCTCCTGCGGTCTCCACCGGAACTCATATTGATTCTTATTTGCATACGAGCCAAGCCGCGCGATAATCCGATGCTCAGGCCGGAATTTTTTGATCTGAAACCCCAAGAATTAGCCTGAAATAATGCCACTACCTCGTCGTCCTTAAATTCCTTATACCCGATCACATACAATCCGAGTTGTACTGAATACATCGAGTCGTCACTGAAAAAGAAGTAAAATATCTAAAATGAAGGCTATACCTAATTCTGACCCCGCCGGAGTCGAGGCGGTTGTTGATGTCGGGGTTGGTGAAATTTCGGGGATACCTGGAACAAGAGTGTAGGATTTAGAATTGAGCATCTACCATGAGAGGGGCATCACTTGGTAGGGGATCGGGTTTTTGAACCAATCGTAGATGTTGCCAATTTCGAGACGTTGAGGGTCGAGGGTTGGAGGGACTGAAAATGGGTACGATAGAACGAGATAAAGAGAGAGATAAAGAGAGATAAACAGAGTGAGAGAGAGAGAGAGAGTGAGAGCGAGAGAGAAAGAGCGAGTGAGAGGGTGAGCGAGAGTGCGCGAGAAACATAGCGTGAGCTACAAAGACAGAGAGCGCGATAGATAGATAGATAGAGAGTGAGAGAGCGAGCGCGAGAGCAAGAGAGATGGTGATAAACACCGAAAAACTCACCAAAATAAATATAGCCCACGAAAGCCTTCTCATCATCCCCACTTCCGCCTCTCGGTTGAAAATATACGGTACGCGTGCCCCAGTCAAAGATTTTCGGAAGTGCACATCTCGCTATCGACGGATTCAACACTGTGCACGTGGCTATCTGAAACGCACAGGCTTTGACTTGGCTTGGCTTTACTTATTCGTAGAATTAGCTTATCCTAACTTACCTGTCTCTGCTCTATCATCAGAATATAACTCTTTGCCCGATCCAGACACATCGCATTCACATCGACCGTCGTCTCGCCCAACATGTTGACAATGTTCGGGTATATCATCATCGGGACTAAATTGAAATTATTCGGCGTCTCCCTGCTGTCACCATCCCTTTAAAGATCGTAAAAACTTACAAGTGCCTCCAGTTTTGTTGGAACAGCCGCCTGGGCGGACGACGTCATCAACACGGAACATGTATCTGAAGGTGATGGTGTGATAGAACGAAGAACGAAGGACGAGAGAGTGGAGAGAGAGAGAGAGAGAGAGAAAGCGAGAGAGCTATAGAGAGAAAATCCTACTTACCGGCCGCGAACAATATGGGGCACTCCGGACTGTGAAGCCAACACCTTGGGTGTATTCTTGTACATCTGCGTCGGGTCGACCGGCACGATTCCGGTGTGGTTACCGCCGTTGAAGAGCGCCTAAAATGCGCAGGTTAAGCTTCGTATTAGCTTAGGCTTTGGCCTTGGCTTAAGCTTCGAACCCACCTGACACCTTCCAGTCCTTGAATTCCCGCGGAAATCCGTTGCATCGAAGCCGAGCTTGTCGTAGTTGAAGATGACGTAGGAGAGGCGTGCATTCTAAAGGTTGTCCGTGACTTCGGTACCCAAAAAACATACACTATCGGTCAGCCAGATCAGCTGGTAGGTTGACAACTGGCCGGCGTCGACGTCGGAGCGGCCCGAGATTGCGGAGGCCGAGTTGAACCACGTGACCACCAGGGCCGCGTCGGCGCGGAACATTTGTGCACCGGCAATGCCCTCTGAACGTGATGGTTTTGTGGTATATTGGCGCTAGTGGTAGGCGGTATGCTAAGGGTTACCGTGGTTAGAGCGTAGTTTACCCCCCCCAGCCGGCACCCAACTTTTATATCTCGGCTCTCTGTTTATCTACAGGTGTGTAAGATATACGAAAATGTTCGTCTTGCTCTGGTGAGTATTTTGGTACTCTTTACACACCTGTAGATGAACAGGGAGCTGAGATACGGTAGGTGGGGGTCGGCTGGGGGGGGGGACTGCACTTGAGCCGTTACTGTATCCGCCCACTCACCCTGCAACCAGTTCATCCACTCGTTCAGTTGATAGTCACTTTCCTGGTTACACCTCGCATAGTGATTCGGGGTTGCCGGGCAAGCCTAGATGGTGGAATAAATACAGTATCCCAGCCTAGAATTACCAGTCGAGCTGCCTGTCCAAAGAATCCAGACGGCATACTGCCACCCATATTCATGTTACTGTCGGATTGGCGGCCGAATAGGGATTGGCGGAGGAGGAGACGGTAGAAGACGCCCGTTTTCAGTCCGGGTCCATGGTTGCGCGGGATCTATCATTATTTTAAATCGTAGTTTTTGAGCATTAAAGGGACGGACAAGGTATGCCGTAATTTGGCCAGGTTTTCGAGTTTTTATACCAACGGAAGTGTCCTCCACAGCTGGTTAAAATTGTTGCTCACCAACCTGCTGCTTGCACAAATACGGCGCAATCATGGCCGGATCCTGGACGGTCGGCCAATCCGTATCGGTCGGGCCGACGTTGATCACGGGGCCCTGGTCGAACACGGTGGCGAAGCTGATGTAGCCATTCCCGGAGATCTGAACTTGTTGATATTGGTCCGTTTTTATACATATTTCCGTGGCCTTAAATTGTTGTTTTATCGAATTCAGAATTTCTGAAAGTCAGCATTTCGACATTTGGAAGTTTATTTCGAGTTTTAGATTTATCCTAGAAGCAATGGTCTTAGAAAAAATGATCATCCCCCGAAAATTGTAGGTTTCGGTGATTTCTACCATTCCCCTACTTTTTCCTGTGACTTCTACCACCAGAATTGAGGTCCCCGCGGCGGGGTGTGACCGTACAAGGCGTCAGATCAATGCCGTCCCGCACCAGCACGCACACACACCCAAATGCCCCGTTATTTGTATGCAGATTAGAGGCGTTCGAAGAGGGGGGCTGGAAACCCTCGGCAAATAGGGCGACCGATCAGGCTTGGCACTCGCATTGGAACGCATAGCAAACCACAAATAAATACATGACCGGTTAGGGGAGGTTATGCTCCTTTCTTTTTTGGTGCAAGAAATAGCTTAGGCTCTGACATAGCTTAAGCTCATGCTTCGCTTTGGGCTTAGGCTTAGGCTAGGCTTGCACTTAGAAAGGCTTAATTCTTGGCTTAGGTTTGTGGCTTAGGCTTCGGATTGACTTAGGTTTAGACGATGCAGAAGCCGAGGCTTAGGTTTAAGATCGCGGCTTAAGTTACATTTAGGCTTAGGCTCAGGCTTAAAATAAGGCTTACAGGCTAGGCTTGGCTTGGGCTCAGACTTGCCTCCTTTAGGCGTTAGCTTTGGCTTAAATAGCGACCGGCTTTGGCTTCCCATTTGCTTAGGCTTTTCTTATGCTTCAACCCCCCCCCCCCCAAATCCTCACCGATGTGTAATTGTAGAGTCCACCATAAAACGGGAAAAACAGATGCAAATCAATCGTCTGCCCTCCCGTCAGCATTTCGTCGTTCACACGCATGTCGCCCGCGTCCGGCCCGAACGGCACGAGGTTCACTGAAAAATGTTAGATTACAGTAATTTAAAGGGGTTGACAAGTCGGGGCATTACGGCATGTAGTCGTCGCAAAAATTCTTAGGGCTCTTGTTCTAGCTTCGACCCACCTCCATAGTACGGTGTAATGCCCTGGCCGGTGATGAGGTTTGTGCCTTGGCCCTGGTCGGGGTTGATGTTTTGGCCTTGCTGATTGAGTGGCTGTTGTCCATTTATGGACCACACCACTAGGCCGAGCGCGTAGACTACGCGCCACGCCATGGAACGCGGTGAGGATGGAGGCCCAGGGATACGGTGGATGCCGGGGGGTAAAGCTGAGCCACTGAAAAAAGCATTTGAAAGGAGAGAGAAACAGTGAGAGAGAGAGAGAGAGCAAGCGAGGGAGAGACAGCGAGAGAGAGGGATATGAGCATTCCACAAATATGCAATTCACGAAAAAGAAGTACGGTAAATGAATGAAAGAGAGATCGAGAGAAAGTGTGAGCTACATAGCATTATGGGTGAGCAGGAGAGAGAGAGAGAGAGTGAGAGAGAGAGAGAGAGAGAGCAACAGGTACCAAGCTGTGGAGTGAGACCAAGTCAATTAAAGGATTCAGGTGCTCACTGGATCATCGCGAAGTCGGAGCTCGTGTACTCGCCGTTCCAAAAAACGCGTGATACCGTGCGCTCGCGGAATTAGACTTTAAAGACACCATAAGGGCCCGAATCAATAGTCAATAGCTTGCAAAACCTTCCAAAAAATGATTCACAACCCTTTTTTGGCCGGTTGCCCAATCTAGTGAAAAGCAGGCCGTACATGGGAATGGAAAGGAAAGGAGGGGACTGGCAAGGGGGAGCATCGTTACGAATCGATGGCTCAAGCCGTTATCAGAATGGGCGGAAGGGGGTGGCTGAATCACCATTTCTACAGCCTGAACAGCTTATTCTGACCTGATGCACAAATATTTTCGAAAAACAGGAAAAATTGTGGGTCATGAAAGGGACGGGCAAGACACGGGTATGGATTTTGTTCTATGGATTTTCTAGAAATCATGCTCGGACCGCGACACGCAGCTCGAAGCTAGCATTTCCGCTTCGCCGGCCTAGTCTAGATTTGGGCTTAGGCTTCAGCTTGGCTTAGGATCAGGCTTAGGCTTAGGCTGAGATTTGGCTTAGGCTTGGGACCGAGCTTAGCAAGCTAGAAAAAAGTGCTATTTCAAGAGGGCATGCTAGCAGGAATTCTTTAGGAAGATTGCCAAAGATGACGCTCCACTTTATCAGTGTCAGTTTGGATGCGCTTAGAATATTATTCATATGTCGAACCGGAAGGTTGAAGAGGGTGAAGAGGAGAGAGAGAGAGAGAGAGAGAGAGAGCGAGCGAACGAGAGAGAGAGAGAAAGAACAACAGATAGCTATCCCCCTTTTCCTATGCTTATGAATCATAGAATTGGGGCCCACGGCCAGGACCCCGATGACTCACTATGCAAATATTGCCCTGGCATGGCGAGGGGTTGGATTTCGCGGACCGCCGAAAACAACAAAGGAATGTTAACGAGACACGACATTACCTAGAAGGGAAAGTACTGTATCAATAGCTTCGTTTGGAACAAAAGTCACCTCGAAATGCCGCTTTCCCCCGGGCGGGCGGATGATACGAAATCGAAGCTACGCCCTGAATTCGGGCCGACACATACAACCGCCACACCGCGTTCTCTTCACACGGCCCCCCACACACAACGCTGAATCATATGCCCCAAATCGAATATGGAGATCGACGGTGGGGGGGGTGGTGGATGTTTTTGGAGCAATAATTAAGGAGCTAGGGAGGGGGGCTTAGGCTCAGGCTTGGCTTCCGCTTAGCTTAGGCTTCTCTAGGGCTTGACTTAGGCTTACTGGGGCTTGAAAGGGTTAGGCTTAGGTTTCGGCTTAGACCTGGCTTAGACTTGGCTTAGGCTTGTATAGGCTTGGCTTGGGCTTGGCTTAGGCTTGGCCTTGAGCTTAGCCTTGAGGCTTGGCTTGTTAGGCTACTGACTGAGTTAGGCATACATCGGCTTAGGCTTAGGCTTGGGCGGATGTGAGTTGGAAATCAAAGTCAAACTACCTTTCCTAGGGCTATCTAGGCCCTTTCTACGGTCTTAGTCTTTAACGGCTTAAACCTCAGGATCCTCTGGCTTGGCTTCTCGACAGCTACGCACCGCTTGGATCGGGAAGACATTTGGCTTAATTCCGAGGGTATGGCCTAGTAATTTCCCAGATCGGCTTGCTATCATGCTATGCACCTCGCGCTTTAGCATGTCAAGAGCCTCAAGGACCAAGGGGTCAATTCTGGAGGTGAGTGGCCTCTTTCAGGTATGGGAATCGTGGGCAATGTGCCAACCTTAAGTGTGATGTCACGAAATCATCTTTGTATCATTCCGAGCCCCCACAATTTCCATACGATGCCGCTTTCGATCCGTTCTCGTTCCCAAGCCACAATCCTTCCCCGGGCCCCGAACAACCCATCGATCCCTCCTCATGCATCGGCTATTTACGGCGATTCGCGATGGGAAGAAAGGTCCGCCATGATTCCGAATACGGAGCGGACCGGGCAACGGGGTGCCACGATAAGACTCACTGCCAAACCGCCGGCTCTCTGATTCATCTTTGCGCCCGCAAATGAGAACGAGAGAGAGAGAGAGAGAGAGAGAGAGAGAGAGAGAGAGAGAGAGAGAGAGAGGGAGAGAGAGAGAGAAAACAGAGGATGAGAGAATCAGAGTAAGCAATTCCGGACTCTGGCTAACTGTTGTATAGTCGACGGCAGACTGGGGGTCAAATTTTAGCTGGTCGAGTAGCAAGATGGCAGAGACAGGAGGTCGTGCTTGTTTCCTAGCTGAGACTATCCCTTTAGCTTATGACAGGTAGAGAGAGAGAGCAGGAGGGTGAGAGACGAGAGGGAGAGAGAGATAGAGAGAGCGAGAGAGCGAGAGAGTGCGAGAGTACGAAAGCGAGAGGGAGATAAAGAGGGCGAGAGATGAGGAGAGAGAGAGAGAGAGAGCGAGAGAGCGTGAGAGAGATACAGAGCGAGCGACAGAACTAGAGAGCGAGAGGGAGATGAATGAGACGGAGCGGCAGAGAGAGAAAGAGCGAGAGAGAGAGAGAGAGAGAGATTTTGCCAAATTTTGCTAAAAGACAATTAAATTTTTTAACTTTGAAAAATCCATAGAGGTTAGCAACGCTGCGATACCATCGACACTCAACAAAGTAAGGACACAGATAGACATTTATGAATTTAGCGATAAAGCCACACCGTCCCCCCCCTTGGTGACCAATAAATTAGCACATTGTGCCAGGAGGGGGGATGGAGGGGGTGTTGGTGGGGTCGTTGAGCCGAGCGCCCCGTTTTGTTTGTCTCGGCTGATGGCCGGCCATAAATGTGTAGGACTCGGGGGAGGGGAAAAGACCCGATAAAGGACTATCAAGCTTCGCCAAATTTGGCTTGCAGTCATGGGCTGGGGAGCCTGAATTAATCGCCGAGGTGCAAGGATTAGGGGCTTTCCGGCTATCAGGGAGGGCTTCTTGGGGGGCCCACACGGGGGCAAACGTTCGAATTTTGAAATGATGCCGGGGCGCGACTTTTTGAAACTAACGGATTCAAGCAGGCTTAGATTTAGTGTGTAGGGGCTTACGGTAAGCGTAGGCATCTGGCTTAGCTGAGGTATCCGGCTTAGGCGCTTGCTTTGGCTGAGCTCTGACTTCGGCACTTTGGCATTGGCATTTTTGTGGAGATAACCTAAAGCTGAAGCGTAGATTTACGCCTAGGCTGCAGCTAAATTTCCTAGCTTATAAGGCTTGGCCTAGGCTGCATCTAGCACTATTAAGTTCTCTAAAAGCTAAATATCTTTAAAATATTGGCAAAAATTAACGTCCGTCATCAAGCCAACACGGCGCAGGACCGATTTCCAGCGAAAAATGAAAGCTTCATGAGCACAAAATTGAAAAATCCACTCAAAATAAATATTTTCCGGCAAACCACAAGATCCAGCACAAAAGCAGACGCCGGCTACACGGGGCCAATTTTTTGTACCTCGCCGCTGGTCGGCAAACACAGTCAGTTGTGGAGGTGGAAAGGCGGTGGGTCACGGAAACAAAAAAATACAGCACCTCGAACAGCGCCCAAATCGATTTCCCCGATTTTCGCATTGTTTTTGCGAGGGGAAGCTGCTAACTTATCAGGCTTTTTGGGGGGCGGCCCATAAGAAGCGGGCAGGTGGGCTAGTGGGGGAGGCTGGGTGGCTGGTGGGGCAAGACGGTACATGGGAATGGAAAGAAATGGAAGGGAATGGGCTTGTAAATGGTTGTAAAGGAACGGGCAAACTGGGGCCTCCTTATTGATATAGCGAGGGCCACACGGCTTCACGGGCGATAAACAAGAGATGATTTTCGACAGACTGGGGCGGGTCGCGTTTGAAAAATATTAAAAAAATAAGAAAATGGTTGGTTAGTTTTTTACTATATGAAAAAATATATTATAACCCCTCAAAGGATTATCCTTGAAGAAAACAAACCACATTCTAAATGCGCTGGATGGCGATTTTGAAAGAACCCGAGGGTCAGGTGAACGGGCAAAAAGAGACCCAGCGCCCGTCTGGCACCAGGAAAACGAGCGCAAACATTGCTCATCCAGGTGAGAGAGAGAGAGAGAGAGAGAGAGAGAGAGAGAGCGCGACAGAGGCAGATACTGTTTTATCGAGTATCCAGGTATCGAGCAGAGGCTAGGAAAAGATATAACCCAAAACCTACCTCAGAATCCTAGATGAAACCTGAGAACCCAGAAGAAAAATGTAGGCCCTACGCCCGGGCTTCCGCTACTCTCACCGTCTTCTAGTAAGCAAATTCTAAACCCTCATGTAAGACAATCTCAGAAACCTTGAGCCAGAATCACGCGGAAATACAAAAATAAAAAACATATTAGTAGAAATTTCGGGGATAAAATCCTCCAAACAGCACTCAATTCCAACGTTTTTACCCTGACAACCTCGGATTACGCCGCCACTCATCAAAGCAAATAACAAGTAGGCACCCCGGAGGGAACCAAGCAAAGCAAAGTAGCCAATGTCAACACCCATCTCGGCACAGCGTGCCTGTTCCTGGCCCGAATCGAAGAGTTCATCTCGATTCGCGTAACGACGCGAATTCGCGTCGTCAGAGTTTCGCCCTGGACTCATTCGAACCAGCTTGAAGCGCGGATTTCGGGATCCTAATTGGCCTTCCCAGTGTAGAAATGATAAATAGAAAGTTATTCACGGCCTTCAGAATGCAACGAGGAATCTTCGGACGAAAACGCAAAAATAAAAATCGCGAGTGATACGAACCCTCGTCAAATTCCCCAGACGCTGCCAACTACGCCACTACGCCAACAGACCTCGGTGGAGCGGGCGTGCGGAGCGCTTATGCAGGTAGGTCAAAAACTTTAAACGCTTATAACTTTGCTTAAATTGGGTATCTGCTGCTGAAAGTTGCATCAATAGATTCATCTCGGCGAGATGTACAAAAGGAGCTAACTTGCGAAGCGCAATTCGATTCCGAGCAGAGACCATCCCTTTGTTAGCCAACGCTACGATATCTACAGACCCCTATCCGTTAAGTGGAGCATCTCGTAGCCTCCTGTCGAAAAAAAGAAAGTTTTTTTCGCTTTTCTTGCTAGGTTTTTGAAATTTGAATCAATCTGTATAAATCAGTGTATTGAATTAAATTTTCATTCCTTTTCACCTACAAAACAGAAAACGTAAGAATGTCCGATTGATGGCATTCTTCCGCCCGGCTTCCCGCCTGCTTCCAACTTTGGCCCGTCGTCGAAGCCGGTGCGCAGTTGTGGTCTCTTTACATAGATGTTAGGCGAACTGCACTCACCAAGGCCCTTCCTTTCGAGTTTCTTTGCAAACGCCGTACTTTGTGAATATTCATCGCGTTCCTAGTCTCATCATTCTCATTTTCTTTTGCACCCTCCCCCCCGTCAAGAGAGTCCAATCTTCTTTTGCTTTTTCTTGAAACTGGAACGCTTCTCTTGTTTCAGACGGGTCACTGGTGGTTGCCGGATGAGAAATCGAACGAAGCATGCCATCCACTGCCTACTCTTCATCTCCTGGGTCGCTGTTTTTGTCGCCGTCACTCGTCCCGAATTCCCGAAGAATATCACAATTGATGAGCAAGAAAGGTATGCGGCTTTTCTCTCTCGCTACATTATTATTTAGAAGCTGGTACAATGCCTTTTTGATCCCAATCGACATAATCCGCATGACCTCGCACCTCTTGCTCCTCCCTCAACTGATTTTCGGATGTATCGGATTACTCGCCTACAGTGCTTTCCAACGTTCGGTATCGCGTTTTTCTTCGGTTATCGCGTGATTTAGGTGAAATTGAAAAATAGCCCTTGCGTCGCGCCGTTTATCTGCTTCCGTGTCGTCACCCGCGGCACATATCCGAAGCTTCTAAAGGTTCATATCTTTTTTTTACCAAATTTCTTTAGGAAACATTAAGCAAGAATGTGCGCACTTGTCAGCAAACTGGGATCGAGAATTATTGGTTCGAGGTAATCAGGCTCTTTTGGGTGCACGTATCGTTAGGTGGTGACCGACAACCAGCTGAACCTCAAGCCGCAGTCTCGCCTTGTGCGCGAGATCGTCGTCCCGGGCTCTTATCAGTAAGCGATCGGATAATTTGCGACTTTGCTTTCAGAACATTGAAAGGATCGCTTTACAAGGCTCGAGCTCTTCAATATTGCCTGGAGGACGGCGTATCTCCTGTAACGAAGGGGCAATGGATCGTGCATTTGGACGAGGAGTCGTTGCTCACACCTGACGCAGTATGCGAGTTCTCCCCAAAATCCAACTTTTCTCTTAGGTTCGTGGAATTCTAAACTTCTGTTCTGCGGGCACGTCGGATTTTGGGCAGGGAATGATTACATACGCGTCTGACACGATCGTCAGCTGGTTTTGCACGTTCGCCGATTCCCTGCGGTAAATTTGCTGTTCTGGCATATTTTTTTTTGTTTTTCAGGGTGGCAGACGATCTTGGAAAATTACGCGCCAGTTTCAACCTACTACGCCGCCCCTATTTCAGCTGGAAGGGCTCGTATGTCGTGGCGCGGGTGAGGTTGACTGTTTCCGTTTGTAATGTTTTTTAGTATTCGGCCGAAAAGTTGGTGGGCTTTGATCACGGGTTCGAGGGCTCGATTGCTGAGGACTGCTTCTTCGCCATGGTATCGATGCGATACGGCCTGAGCTACGGATACATTGATGGTTTGTATACTTTCGGAAAGTCTGATATCCCAGCCAGGTGTTGTGCACGAAAAGAGCCCATTCTCCGTTGACGACCTCATCAAGCAAAGACGGCGGTGGTTCCAAGGCATCTGGATGACCATCCACTCAAATGCCATCCCTTACAAGCACAAGGTTCATTTGAAACTTTTAACAATTTCGTTTCTTTTTAGGCGTTGCTGACCGCTTGCGTCTATGGTTGGGCGGCCCTTCCCGTGCTCATCTTTTGCTTCATGCTGCCCTCGGTATCAACTTTCCGCTAACACATTGTATTTTCTTGCAGAGTGGATACTTTGGATCACTGACTACCTACGACATGTTCCTCAATCAAATATTCATCGCGATTAACGTCTATCAATATGCGTACGGGGCATTCATCTCTTTCAAGGAAAAATACAGGTTGCCTTGATACCCTTATACAAAATATACATTTTTGCAGCTCGGACAGACGGATGCTGTTGCTGTGCGTGATTGGCGCTGTCTGTGTGCTTCCGTTCAACGCCCTCGTTGAAGCGACAGCTGTGCTCTACGGCCTGATAAGCCGCAAGATCGGGTTCCACATCATCCAGAAGTCCATCTCGTCCACAATGCTCGACCAAAAAGAACCCCGTGCCAGCATATTCGCATGTTACCGTCGCTTTAATAATATTCGTTTCCTTTGATATCATCCTTTTCTGTCTCTAGGAATATCTGCTCTTACGTTTGTAAGGCTGTGTGTATTCAATAAATATACTTCTCACGTTGTCGACAAATCAAACCACCGATACTCGATACAATAGACGTTTCCCGCGTTTACTATCTGTCGTCATCAAAATTATCTTTGTTAACTGACGCAGAATGTTGTTTTAGCGTGTTTGAGCCACGATGCCCGAGCATGGCTTCCCGAAATCACTGAATAGCAAAGTCGGGCAGTCCTTGGCTATAAATTTGAGATTTGTTTAGGCCATGTCGTACTTCAAGGGCGATCGGAAGTATTTTCACGACTTGAATAAAGGATCATTACACGAGCTTCGCGTTCAACTCGTATCTGAGAAAACGTCCCACAAGAATTGCGCGCTGAAGCGGATCATAGCAGGGATGACGATCGGAAAGGATGTTAGGTAATGTCGCTGGGCTTTCAGTGATGTCTCGATATAGCTCGCTCTTCCCGGAGGTCGTCAACTGCATGCAGACGGACAACATTGAGCTCAAGAAACTCGTCTACCTTTATTTAATGAACTACGCGCGAAGTCGACCCGATTTGGCGATTCTAGCTGTCAACACGTTCATCAAGGTGCGCTAATATTGCTAAAAGTCCAAATGTTTTATAGGACTCCGAGGACGCTAATCCTTTGATTCGAGCGCTCGCCATCCGCACAATGGGCTGTATTGACGTTGATGAGATCACGGAGTACTTAGCGGAACCCTTGCGTCGCTGCCTTCAGGTGATGCTCTATCAGTGGCTTCGAATTTTAATTTATAGGATGAGGATCCATATGTTCGAAAGACATCAGCAATCTGCGTGGCAAAATTGTACGAACTCCGGCCCGAGCAAGTCATTGATCTGGGTATGCGCCTAACGCCGATTTTCAACACCTGGTTCCAGGGTTTGTCGAATTGCTGCTTGGCTTACTGTCCGACGCGAATTCAATGGTCGTCGCAAATGCGGTTGCTGCCCTTTCTGAAATCAACGAAAAGCAGCCGGTGCTGACGGTAAAGTCGATCCTGTTATCGAACCTTTTCAGCTGACCACTCAATTGGTCAACAACCTCCTGACGGCGCTCAGCGACTGTCCAGAATGGGGCAAAGTGTTCATACTTGAAGCCGTTGCCACTTTCAAGACCACTGACGACTACGTTGCCCAAAATATTTGCGAACGCATCGCCAGCGAACTGTCTTCCACAAATGCTGCTATTGTGTTTCCGACACTTCGAGTAATAGGTTACTTAATTCAAGAAGTTCGTCTAGATTCTCCTAAACCATATGCATTTGTTGCGCACCAAATGCGAATTCACCGAACAACTCCCTCGGAAATTCACGGCGCCCTTGGTTTGTATGAATTTTGACAAAACCATTCCCGTTTAGGTCACTCTTCTCGCTGCCGAGCCGGAAATCCAGTTTGTAGCCCTTCGAATCATTCAATTGTTTGCTCGAAAATCTCCGGAACTTCTCAGGCGCGACCTGAAAGTAACTAAGGTTTTTATTTCTAACGTTTGCTTTGGGTCTTTTTCGTCAAATACAACGACCCGATATACGTTAAAATGGAGAAGCTGGACGTGCTTGTGCGCCTCGTGGATCAGACGAATATTGCGATGGTGCTCTCTGAGCTGAAAGAGTTTGTTGCAGTCTGAACACATTTATGCTATTTATAGGTACGCAACGGAGGTGGATGTTGATTTCGTCACTAAATCCGTCCGGGCAATCGGTCGTTGTGCCATCAAGGTATCGAGCGTTAAGAATTTATCAAATTTTTCTAGGTGGAGGAGAGTTCGGGTAATTGTGTCTCTACGCTGTTGGACCTGATCAAAACGAAGGTGAACTACATTGTGCAAGAAGCCATTCTCGTCGTCAAGGTATCTCATTTTCTCTTGTTTTGAAAAAACTAATGTTTAGGATATATTCCGCAAATATCCCGGCCGCTACGAATCCATCATTGGGATTTTATGCGAAAACCTCGAATCTTTGGATAAACCGTCAGCGAAGGCTTCGATGATTTGGATCATTGGTATTTCCCCTGTAATCATGTGACCACGTCATTTAGGAGAGTACGCCGAGCGCATCGATAACGCCGACGAATTGCTGAACGGCTTCCTGGAGGCGTTCAATGACGAAGCGCCCTCGGTAACAACTTTTTGGGCTATTACTCACCGGTCTTTAGGTGCAACTGCAGCTTTTGACGGCCGTGGTCAAGCTGTTTCTGAAGTGCCCCAGTGATACCCAGCACTTGGTCCAGAAAGTGCTGGCCTTGTCCACCGAGACGAGCTACAACCCGGACCTACGTGACCGAGCGTGAGATCTGGCAGATTTTTCTGGAGCCCCAAATTTTAGTTACATCTACTGGCGTCTGCTTTCCTCGGACCCGGAAATTGCCCGCCAAGTCGTCCTCGCCGAGCGACCCCTCATCAGCGAGGTACGATTTTGTATCAAAAGAAAGAAAAATGGAATTACAGCCATCCGACCTGCTTGAACCCAGCCTTCTCGATGAGCTGCTGCAGCAGATCGGCTCATTGGCGTCCGTCTACCACAAGCCGGCTCACAGCTTCGTCGATACAACTCGGCGACCTCGTGAAGCTACGGTCGATCTTAGTCTCGAAGAGATCAACGCCGACGAGATCCCCAACGACTGTCCCCTCTTTACCCTCTAGTTTATGATCATTGTAAAATACCATCAAGCACTATGTTTTTTTTAACGAGTTAGCTGTGATTACCTTAATCGACTCGTACTGTGTCTCTTTTTGTGATGTCATTCCTAGGTCGCTCCATTCTCCTTGTCCTGTATACGGCTGTGGTGGTTCCGGATTAAATTAAGCTTTATGGTGTTTTTTATTTCTTCATCGGACCACAGAATGCCTGTGCCTCGGTAGCGCAATCGGCCACACTCCATTGGTGGCTGAAAACGTCGGCGGTTAAACAGTTGCCGGCGTTGGATGGCTGTCCTAAAAATATATTGACTTTGGTGAGCTTTTGCTCTCTTCTTTGATTGCAGGAAAACTAACCGGGTGCCCAGTTGGTGTAGTCCATCGCGCTGCCATCAATCCACTTCCACGAATCACCCGATCGAGTAGCGCCAAGGTAGTACATGTAGATGAAATCTGGGAAAATTTTCATACATTTCAGGCGTAAATGCCGACTTACACATGCGTGCCTCACCCACCAGCGCATCATTGCTGTTCTGGTCGTGAACGGAGAATAGGGCACCTTGCGCCTTCGTGCAGATATCGCTGCTTTGTTGGTAAGTGTTGTCTAAAATAATACGAGTGAATATTCAGATTTTGAACCTACAGTTTTGAACGGGCATGACACACGTGTTCAGCTTGCCATTCCAGTGATACCCATCCGCACACTGATCGGCCAGTGCACTCACCAGCAAAGAACAAAAGAATATTAGAACAGCTGATCGCATCGTTCAAGCTCTCGGACTGAGTGCGTGAACTGCAGAAATGGGCTTTTTTTAATCTGTGTACTTATCTGGGGAAGCGGTGATGTGATGGGGGAAGCTTTTCAGGTGCACCCCTTTCCCCCGCTTATCGCCACTTTCAGAAACTACAAGCCAAGGGTTGGGATTTTCCAGGATCGTGCTCCTTTGGAAGCGAGGGGTGATAATGTTGTTTGCGAATGGTAAGCTCACGAAAACACGGTGGACACATCCGCAATGGCTAGAATGCCTCTGTTACACGCACCAGATTCAAAATATACAGAAAGCTTTGATTGTCGTCGGCAAATTAGGCTGGGAAATTAGCATTACAGCAATCCGGATGCGAATTCACGCTCAAATACTCATTCTCAAGCTCAACACGACCCGCAATGGCCGAGCAAGATGTGGAGGTAAGCTTTTTCATTAAGTTTTCGACGTTCAACTTTTTCAGGCTCCCGATCCCGAGGCGAACGAGCCGCAGGGACCCCAGGCCTGGCAGGTGCCCTACTACGAGCTGGCCAATGAGCTGTGGCACCGCGAGATGGAGAACTGGCCCGGCAAAGCCCTCGACGCCAACGGCCACCTTCAAGCCTTCAAGGAGGCCGACGGCGAAGACAAAAGCCAGGCACCCACCACCACCACCACCACCGTCGGCAAAAAGAAACCTAAGCAGGTTCGTAATTTTTGACACATTTTTTTAGATATAAAAGTTACATTAAAACAATTTAAAATTCTTGAAAGCTTGAAAATTTTTGAGGCTCTAATTTTTTTATTTTCAGACCAAATTATATAAGGTAGGATATTTTAGATTGCTTTCTAGCAATCAAAATTACTAAAAACACTGTAAGAATACATTATAAACAGGTACTAGGAAGATAAGAGTTACTTCCCCCTGATAAAAATCTCCATCCCCCCGCTAACAGCCCAGTACCGATTTTTGTATATTTTTTTAGAGATTTCTTCACATTTTGCCACCTTATTTCCCTAGGAGCGGAAGCTAGACAACGGCGAGTGCCAGCTGATCGGCGACTTTGTGAATCCGTGGGACCAGCGGACGTGGCGTGTCCTGGGAATGCGCATCAAGCGCCTCGGCGACGGCCTTTACACAGGTATTATCGAGGTTAACGTCTAGCGCCATGATGACCTTTAGAATACGACGTCATCCGTATGCCCCACAACTTTAAGAACCTGGCCGGCGAGACGGTGGAGGAGGTTTGGGGGTTTTGTTACGTTGTAAAGTGTTTTCCAGCCGGCCACCCATGAGAGGGTTGAACACGTTCTGCGCCTGTGCCGGGAGGACGACAAGGCTATTCATGATCGGTGTGGAATGGGTTTTTTTATAAAACTACCGTAGCTAGCACGGCGTTACTTTGAGTTTTAAGTCCTTTGTCGTTAATAACAGCAATCTTTGTACCTATTTCTTAGCTTTATACGGCGTTTGCTTAGTTTAAAAAGTGATTTTAGGTCTAGTGTTAGTTGTAGCTTATAGCTATGAACCTGCGTATTTTTATAGCTTCTACCACGAGGCGAAGGTGATGATGGAAATGCGTGAGCGTTATCACAACTACCGGTAACTTATTTTGGTACTTTCGTGTTATCGGGGGGGGGGTCGATTTAGCCAAGAAGTCCAGAAATCACGAGTAATTTAATGCTCTTTTTAAGAGCGTTTTAGTAAAAGGCTTGATTCAAGTTTACGGTACTCTCCCAAAATGCGGTTTTTTGTGTTCAAATCGCTAAATAAAGGTCAGAAACGGACTCAGCGACAAAAATTAGGTGGCGGAAGGCACTTTTTAAGGGAGAAAACCTCATTTTAGTTTTGAGATCGGGTACCGTAAAGTAGTATACGGGGGTGACTACTTTACGGTACTCGCCCAAAATGTTCCTTTTTCTGCACGAATAGAAGCAGCAAGGTCTGAAACGTATTAATCAGCAAGAATAAGTGGGCGGAAAGGCCTATAAAGGGATGATTCGGACACAGATTCCATCTCTCAATCACACCCAGTTTAAGCCTAAAAATAAGGCTTCGTGCCACCCGGGGCCTAGTCGCTTCGGATGGGTGCGAGCTCGTACAGTGTTTCGAAATCGGGGCGCCCGAGGAGCGCGCAGCGCCCAGGCGCCCTGATTTCGAAAGAGTGGAGCGGCAGCCCATCCGAAGCGACGGCCCACCTTGCGCGACATGTCATAAGCGTCAAACTTCGAAGTCTCAAATCCCTCATTTTAGGCCTTTCCGCCAAATTATTTTTGCTGCTTCATTCGTTTCAGCCCTTACTGCTTCTTTTCGTGCAGAAAAACTAATATTTTGGGCGAGTACCGTAAAGTAGTCACCCCCGTATACTACTTTACGGTACCCGATCTCAAAACTAAAATGAGGTTTCTCCCCTAAAAAGTGCCTTCCGCCACCTAATTTTTGTCGATGAGTCCGTTTCTGACCTTTATTTAGCGATTTGAACACAAAAAACCGCATTTTGGGAGAGTACCGTAAACCTGAATTTTCCCTAGTAAAATTTAGGGCGAAAGTTTAGCTGAACTTTGGTCAAAATTTACATTTTTGTTGGGAGAAATCGAATTTTTTTTGTATTCGTTTGACCAGAGATTTGTAAAGTCCTCTTTTTTGTATGTAAATTTCTCTTTTTTACTCAGGAGCATTGGATAGTTAGCAAAAAAATTTCGTTATTTTAGGCAGTCGCGCCACTTCCCGGCCGTGATGGGCATGGGCCGCTTCCAGGAGACGTGCTGGCGCGGTTCCGACCGCTGGGCCCAGCGCTTTGTGACCGTGCAGATGGACGTGCCCCGGCCGTGGTTCATCATGGTACGCGAATTTCTGGCTGTCTAAATTAGCCCACCTTAGGAGCGGCTCGACCCGACGCTCGACCACGTGATCAAGGCCCACCCGAACAACCTGGTGTCGCTGGCCACCGCCTGCTACATGACCATCGGCATGCTGAAAGCGCTTCGCCTACTGCACGAGGCCGGCTATTGTCACCGCCGCGTCAGCCCGCAGGCCTTCGGACTGCGTCTTCCGCTCCATCAAATGCTCAATCGGTGAGGCCCATTCCTCGGATATTTTTGAGCTTCCAGCAACGAGGCCGAGCTGTCGAACTACGTGGTGCTGACCGATCTCGGCGTGGCCAGGAAGTACCAGGAATTGCCGCCTCGCCGCTTGCCGCCCTTCACCGGCACGATCAAATACAGGTAGATGACATTCAGCAATCCGCGCCACTGTGCAGCTCCCCAAACGCCATGGAGATGAACGAGCAGACGGCGGTGGATGATGTCATCTCGGTGTTCTACATCCTGCGCCAGATGGTCACCACCACGCTGCCCTGGGTCAACCAGTTGAACCTCACGCACACGCGGGATGTGGGTTTTCGAGGTTTTTAAAGTGGTGTTTACGGTTTGATGGGACGTTTGGGTTCGAAATTTCGTCGGCATAATTTGTTTTTAACTATTCCTAGGCAGAATAACTGCATATTTTTACATGCATTAACTTTTTAACTTAAAGTTTTACATGAACATGTAAAAAAATAAGATAAGGCCGAAAGATTACTTTTTCGACTCAAAATGACCAATGCCGACTTTTTCTTAACGTTTTTCGAGGTTTTTTAAACATCTTAATAAGAACCGAATTGAAATAGTGTCATACAGCGTTCAAAACATTTCCAGGAGGTCATCAAGCTGAAGCGCATGTCGCACGCCGACCAGACGCTGCAGCGCGAGCTGACCAACGAGGACCGCGCCCGTCAGGCCTTCATCAAAGAAGTGGGGCCCATGCTAGCGTATTTTTGCGTTTTTTACAATTCTAACTTTTTTATGTATACAACTTTTCAAAAATACCAAAAAATCTAGCTTCTCGACTAGAATTTACAAATTGAACTAATTTTCTACGCGTTCTAAATGGGTTTACCATTTGAAAAATAGCTAAACCAAAGTGAAATGAAAAATATAAAAATCTACTCGTGAATACTCAAAATTCTCCCAGGAGGCGCCGCCGGAGGAGGACAGCGGCAAGGAAAGTGAAAAGGACAAGGTGACCAAAAAATCCCTGATTTACACTATATTTTTTTCTTGTAGAAAAAGGCCAATCGTCGCGGGCCCGAGAAGCTGGAGCCGTACAACCGGCTGTTCGAGCTGCTCACCCCCTGCAATGGATTGTGGGTGAATCGAAAAATTTCTTTCTATAAATAGAGGAACCCAAATCTTGGCCACTTCCGACCAGTTTTCCGCCTGTAGCTAATTATAAACCTTTTTCTAGCATTTGACACGTTTGCTTTATATAAAAGTTCATAAAATCATTATAAAAACCCTACAAAATTAAATCTTTTTGATCAAAAATGATGTTTGAAAAATACCCGAAAAAGGGCAAAATTTTCGAATTTTCGAAAATTCTTAGACTTTTTTTATAATGTCCTAGTAATCAAAAACTGCTAAAAACGATAAAAGAATACGATTTATTATGTACAGTTTATTATTAATAAGCAGAAAATAAAATTAGCTACACGCGTCAGCGATTTTCAAATTTTCTAGGTTCATCCTGCCCCCGTACGAGGCGCTGATCTGCCTGCTGCGCCAGATGACCGACCGGGGCAACTTTGAGTTCACCGTGTTTGGCATCCAAAAGTGGGCTTCACCAGCAGCACACCAATTACCGCGATTCCAGGACCATCGACAAGCAGCGCCTCAAGCTGCTCCACCACCAGAAGGACAAGATGGCCCATGGCGGGGCGAAGAACAGCAAGACCCCAGCGGGCAAGTAGCAGCTGATCAACGCCCCCAAGCAGCCGCCCGCCCTTCATTAATTCACAAACACACTTCTACCGTCATTTGGGAACATGATTCGTCATTGCTTATCGCTTGCTTTTGCTGTGGATATGGTGGCACAATAAATCGTTTCAAGCGTTTCCGAGTCGGCTGTGCCCTCAAATATATCACAAAAAAAATTGTTTTTCAATCTTTGTCTTTTGCATTATCGGTGGGGCAAAAACTATCTTAAAAACCTTAAAAAACTTGAAATATTGGTTGAAAAATTTTTTCTATGTTTTAAACAAAAATGTTCTTTTTTTCGATAAGTTACGATAGTAAAAATGAATCTCGGAACGTTTTTCTCTTTATAGTATAAAACTCTACTATAAACTTTTTCTCCGCCCCCCCCGCTAACAGTCCAGTACCCCATGTACCACCTAGTCGTCTACCTTCCCACCAAAAAAACTAACCCCTTTGTGCCGAGATGCAAAATCCATTGTGTGGGCCCCGTACCCCAACATCCCCTCCCCCGGCCCGCAATCCGTGAAATTGCGGCTATCGGCGGGTTGGTAGCGCGGGGGGCCGCCCGCCTCGACCAAATGATTGCAAATTCATGGCGTTTTCCAAAGCTCTCCCCCCTTTCCATCCACCTCCGCCCTCAACCCCGACCACAACCACCACCTGGTCAACAAAAAAAAGCTTTTTTGTCTACTCTCTTTGACTAGGCTATATTGGTTTGGTAGTCAATAACCTAGTCAACCTTAATTTAACCATATCAGCCAACCTAGACGATTTTGGGCGGTAGAAATCGTGGGTTTGGATTGGTTTAAAGGGAAGGGACGTTGGATTTTGGGTATTGCCCTTTTAGCGGGGGGATAACGCTTAGTTTTCCGGCTTAAACCGAGCTATTATGATAGTATTTTTTGTAGTTTTTGATCGCTAGGAACTAAAAAACATTTAACATTTCAAAAAATTGATTTGAAAAATCAAAACGTTTCGACACTTTGTGCAATTTTTTATGAGCTCTAAGCTTTTTATTTCTAAAAACTGTGCAACATGCTAAAAATTGGTTTATGTTTCATTCTAGCGCGAGACGGGAATACTGGGACAATTCGGCGACACGCAACGCGAGCGCCGGATGCGCGTTGCGTGTCGTCGTTGAGCTCAAATCCTTTCATAATCGAGGGACATGGTTTGGAAAAAAGCGGATTTGGATAAAAACCCAAGCTAATTATTACATTAGCGCGCAGCGTACGCGCGTCTTTTGGAACAGGCCGTAGCCCCACTGTAACGACGGGCCACTCCTATTTACGCGGCGAAACCAGCCCCTTCAACGCGATTTTAACCCCTTTTTGGTGTAGACAGTAGAAAAATTTGAAGCCTTTTTTTGGTTTAGCTGTCTGTCTGTCTTTCGGATATTTCTCGAATGTCAATCGCAACGGTCGGATACGATGACGAGCTCACTCAACCGGGACGACGTTCGTTCCGCCCGCCGGCTTCTCATTCTCCTTTTTCTCCTTCTCAATGCTCATTCTCCAAAAGATGATGCCCCCAGGGACCAGACCTTGCTCCCCGGCTGGAATTGGCTGTTTTCGCCCGCTGGCCTTTTACTCCAGTTTACCCGCCGCCCGTCCCCTTTTAACCCAACTACCCCCACCACCATAATTTGGACGCTCTGACACTGGGCGGAAACGTTTCGGTTCGGTATTAGTAACATTTTTGGGCGCATAAAGCTGATTTTGAAGGGACCGGCAAGGCGTGACTAATTAGAACTCAGAATTCCGAAATTGTCATATGTGTCAAATGTCATAATTACGGGTGCTTTCGCATTATCGGGGGGATCGGGGGGATTTTTACATATAGATCGAGAAATGTCTAATAACGTAATACTAACGTAATTGATAGCGTTTTTGCTAACATTTATCGATTTTTAAGTGGAAAACCTAACGAAAATCTTTCAAAATTTTTTAAAAAACCTGAAAAACCTGGTCGTCGAAACCGATTTTTACTAAAACTTACAGAAATAGAAATTTGTAAATTTTTAGCACTTAGAAATAGAAAATAACATTTTCAATATTTCTGGATTTATCTTAGAAAAAAATTGGATCCTGAGGAAAAAGTTGCTCCCCCCCCGATAATGCGAAAGCACCTAATTTACAGCGTTCGGCGCTCAGTTCCTTACATTTACTTACTACAATTCAAGCTACTTTCTTGTCTTGTTTTTGCTGTAGCTTTCCTGTCTATTTTTTGCGTATCGCCGACAGCTGATCGGCGGAGGAAACGGTAATCTGATCCGCGTCACCGGCCTCTAACGGATTTTCCTGGTTTTCGACTGATTTTTTGGGAGGTTTTAACTTCCATTCAGCAAAATTCGAGTTTATTTTATGTTTTACTCAACGAATTTATAAATTTTAAGTTAGGATTTCTTAATTTTAAAAAGTTAGAAAAATTTGTTGCAAAATTGAATATTTTAGATTCGTTAACTAATTTAATGCGCTTAATAAGGGATTTTGGTAGCTAGTAATTTGAAAAATCTAAACTTGGAGCCAGATTCCTGCCTTTCCGGTCCCTTTAAAACCCGGGCACCTTCAAAAAAACCCCGAGAAAACAGCGGTGAAATCGATGGAGGCCCTGCTTGCGATTCCATCTGGCTGAACTCACGCCTCACCTCGATGCAAAGGAGGGATTTTTGGTGTAAATGGGCCCATTCCGGGGGTTCCCCTACCCTTTCTCTATCCTGGCCCTACTCAACGGATTTTACGCAAGATACACCTTACCTTTCCGAACGAATTTTCTAGCCATTCGCTTTTGAAAACCAAAATTTAGCCCAAAATTTATTTTATCGTAATTTAATTTTTTTTCGATGTCTATTTTGTCGATATTTTGGTTTGTCAAAATTTGCGTGTTTGAAAATCAGTTGTCTTTATTTCATTTGGATACAATCTACGTTCTCGAATCGGCTACGGTTTACTTTACCCCCCCTCCCCAGCCGGAAGTTTTTGGCTATAACTTTATTTTACATTATTGTAGTCTCAAATTAAAACTATTAGTATATTTTTCGACGCTCTATCGAATGGCGTTGCAAAAATCCCGCTCGAATCCGCGAAAATACCGAAAACTTTGAGACACTTCGGCTGGGGGGGGGGGGGGGAGGTAAAGTAAACTCTTACCCTCGAATCTTCTTTTTGTCGATATTTGAGCTTGCGAAACTTCACTTGCCGTAATTTCATTCTGTCCAAATTTCATAACACTGAAATTTCACAATTCCACATGTTTGAGAGGAAGAAATGTCGAAAAATTATTTTCGACGCGCCGATAGCAAATCGTAAAATTCTGATGCAAAAATAGATATATCTGGAACGAAGCGGGCCAATTAAGGGGCAAAGAGGTAACGGCAAAATCGAGTGGAGTGACCGCCCGCGCCGCGCGCCTGAATTACGTGCCCCCCCGCGGCATTTTGCCCAATTTCGAATTTCGATGCTGGACAATGGGGTTGAATTAAGGGCTGAAGGTTATGCAAAAAAGTATAGAAAACTTCTCCCGCTCTCTCGCTCTCTCTCGCTATTTCTCTCTCGCTCTCTCACTCGCTCACTCTCTCGCTCTCGATCTCTGACTCTCTCTCGCTCTATCTCGCGCTCACTCGCTCGCTCTCGCTCGCTCTCTCTCTCGCTCTGTCTCGCTCTCTCGCTCTCTCTCGCTCTCTCTCGCTCTCTCTCACTCTCTCTTGCTCTCTCTCTCTCTCGATCTCTGACTATCTCTCGCTCTCCCCTCGCTCTCTCTCTCTCTCTCTCTCTCCTTCCTGGAGTGGGCGTGTTGTGCGACCGGAAATTTGGGTTTCGACGCCCCCCCCCATTTCTAGACTCTATGCTTCAACGCCCTAACCCCTCCCCCTCCGGCCAATACACTTTATGCAATCATTTTCAACCGAGCAATGATTACTAGCCGTCTAGCTGGCTAGCACGATTCTTTGAACGTAAAAATTTAACATATTTTCCGAATTAAATCCGCTGCTTATAAAATTTATTTTGAGGAATTATTTCCGGGGTATGGTCATTACTTCTAAAATCATTACTTCTAAAGTCATTACTTCTAAAATCATTACTTCTAAAAGTCATTACTTCTAAAAGTCATTACTTCTAAAAGTCATTACTTCTAAAATCATTACTTCTAAAAGTCATTACTTCTAAAAGCCATTACTTCTAAAAATCATTACTTCTAAAAACGTTACTTCTAAAATTTGGTACGCCGGATTACCATATTTATGCCCAAAACGAGGCTTAGAATTTTAGAAGTAACGACTTTTAGAAGTAATGATTTTAGAAGTAATGATGGGTAGCCATTATTTCCTCGTTAATAGCTATTATTCCACTCGCCAGACATGACATGCCCATATGTGCTTTCCGGAAAAACAAAGCGCTCAATTTTTTTTGGGGGCGTCTCCCCCCATTTGCGGGGGAGCAGCAGGAACACTTCCCGCTCATTTTTTTGCTTTTCTGTTCCGCTAAATGGCTTTATAGGATAATTGAAGTGGGCTGTGATTAGGCTTAGGCTTAGGCTTCAGTTAGGCTTGGCTCAGGGCTTGCTCGTAGGCTTAGGTTTAGGCTTAGGTGATAACTTGTCACTTTCACCACCTAAACGCCCATAAAACCCCGCAGGACCGAATGCGAGGCGCGCCATTCGGGCCATTTTTGGGCCCCGACAATTACCCAGGACTCTCCAAAAATATGTGGCCAACCTGTGGAGTGAGAGAGAGAGAGCGAGCGAGCGAGAGAGAAAGAGCCATGAATGCTCGGCGTGGTGGCACAATGCATAATGGCCCGCTGCAAAATGGAACAAATTTTCAGGAAAAGAGCTTGAGGACTGGGGAATGGAGATAAAACTTTAAAGGGCGGCGGAAGTCTGTTTATGGATTTTATGGAGTTTTTCATGGCGTAATGAAATACAGTCTTTTCACAATCCCTGGCTTCTATTGAAAAATCAAAAAATTTTTGAAATCGCACGTGCAGAATTTAAATATTTTTCTTTTTCACGCTGTTATTTTCCAGACTGTATTTTTCCTACACCTTTTCTAACTGTTCCAGATGGGTGACAGTATGCGGGTGTGGTTGAGGCTGTGGATGAAGTTCGTCGGCCGATCATCGACCCTCCTCATCTTGTTCTCCCTCTTCAACGTCTCCAGTGCCAATCGTCAGTTGAAATTCCTGTCTTGGCACTTGTGCATCATCGGGGGGAGAGTGGCCCTAGCAGCCTATTTTGCTAATATAAATGAAGGCAGTGTTGCTACATGGTTTTTGCTATTAGTGAATGCAAAAATATCGATTTTTTCGATCAAAACACCCAAATTACAAATTTTTTCTGGTTATTGGATAGTTTTTCCAATTTAAATGTAGGTTTATGTTTATCAGAAACATCATTATAACACATTGCTGTTGTATCTGCATAGGCAAAAAAAATTGGTCCCCCACCCCCGAAAAAGTAAAAGAATTCAAAAACTACAAATTTTTAATTTTTTTTAAAGATTGAAACCTCTCATTGCTCATGCCCGGATATTTCTGGAATTTATGATCTTTGGATCAGACTTTGGGCTCACTTCAACTCAACAAAAAAAAATAAAAAAATTGGTGCCGACACTCGGGGGCTGAATAATTTAAATCCGAGCGCGCGAACCAAAAAAACTGATCTCATACGGCTGGCAAATTATTTGCGCTGTTTTTTCCCCCGCGGGCAAGCCAGCAGGAACCATTGAGGAAAATCCACCTGTGGAATTTTTACCACCCTAATTTCAGGCGAGGCGCTCATGGATGGAAACGGCGACTTTTTGCCTCATATCCGGTTGGCAAAGGATCTGATGGATGCGAGGAGGTTTGTCGAAGCCAGAAAAAAATCTGATTTAATCCTACAACGTGATATTTAACTACAGAATTACTAGGAAAGAAACGAATCTCATAAAATAATCCCCCTTACTAAATCTAGGCCTCCGGTGTCAAAGTACGAGCTTTTACTGCGTATTAAAAAAAATTCTGTTCCGCTTTTTTGGCTTTTTAAAGTGGAAATCAAAAGCTAACGCTAATTTTAACGCATTAATGATACTTAGAAATATATCGAAGGGCTGATTTTAAGATATGATTCGCGGGTGAGACCTGTGATGGACCACGCATCCTCCACAAAAGTCTACTTTTCAATGTCACTCTATCAGATACTTTCTGTGGTAAGGTGGCAATATCTCTCTCTCTCTCTCTATCGCTCTCTCTCCCTCTCTCTTTCCCTCTCTCTCTCCCTATCTCTCTCTGCTACGCCCAATTTCCCACGTTTTCTCACTACCTCTCTCTCCTGGTATCTCTCTCCCTTTCCATCTCTCTCCGTCGTTGTCTCGGTCTCTCTCACTCTCGCTATCTCTCCGTGTTTCTCTCCCTCTCACGCTCTCTCCAACCCACTCTCTCTCTCTCTCTCTCTCTCTCTCTCTGTATGTCTCTCTCTCTCTCTGTCTCTCTGTCTCTCTCTCTCTCTCTCTCTCACTAGCCTACCTTTCAGAACGAAAAGCAGCAAAGCATCGACCTAAACGTCTGGGTCATCCAGAAATGGAAGGACGACTTTTTGGGGTACGATCTGAGCTCTGAAGTGAGAAATTTATTCAGATGGAACCCGAATCTGTACGGCGGCATCAACGTGACAATTCTACCGTACCACGCCGTCTGGTTGCCCGATACGTATATTTATAACAGGTAAAACCTATGACGAATCCTAGGAGTTAAAGTGAAGACGGCGAAAGATAATGCTAGAAAGCTGCTCTTTGTCAGGCTCCTTTAAACCCAAATCTTTCCAGCGTGGTGATGAACCGCGAGGAGACGGAGCGCTACATAAACGTCGTGCTCACCTCAAATTATTACAAGGGCGAGCGGGGCTCCGAGATTAAATTCATGTATCCGGCATTGTATCGCACCAGCTGTCAGCTTGATATAAGGTAGGTGGGAGAGAGGGAGAGAGAGAGAGAGATAGAGAGAGATAAAAATTTCCCTCTAGATTCTTCCCCTACGATCAGCAGAATTGTACGATCGTCATCTCCTCGTGGACCTCGTCTAAATCGAGCATAGACTACTATCCGGAGGAGACGGTAAGGGCTTAATTTCCGTTGCACTACAAACTACACAATTTCAGGAAGTCAGTCTTCTCCATTATATCCCGAACGAGGAATGGGTGGTCGTATCTTTTAAGATTGACAGATTGGAGGTATGTTGGGAAGAAAGAGAGCGAGAGAGAGAGAGAGAGAGAGAGTTAGAGAGAGCGAGAGCAAAGAAAGAGAAAGAGAGATTCGCAAAAATTCCAGAAAAGCTTCCCGTGCTGCCCAGAGCCATGGGTACTGCTTCACGCCCATTTGGTGATCCGGAGAAAGCCGCTGTACTACATCGTGAACCTGGTCATTCCCACCTCGGTCATCACCATGGTCGCTGTCACGGGTGCATTTTTAATAGAATAATTTTAATTAATAGAACAAGGTAAGTAAAGCAATTTCGAAGTTCAAAAACCTATGTCTGTGCCGAACATTCAAATCTTGTTAAAAAAGCCTTTTCTCCGGGTGAAATGGAACCCGCGTGGTGTGGGCGGTAGGCTAGCGCTTACCCTGCTGAGCCATCCCTAAAATAACATTTTTTTTTGGATTATTTTTATGTGAAACGTTTTCCAGGCTTCTTCACAGCGGCTTCCACATCCTCCGAACGTCGTGAGAAGCTCTCTCTGGGTATCGATTCCCTTCTGGCCATGTCAATTCTGATGATGATGGTCTCCGAGCAGATGCCCACCACCTCAGATTATGTGCCGTTGTTTGGTGCGTTGTGGAAAATGGAGTCAAATAGCTACAAGCTACCATACAAGATACAAACCGCTTTCAGGTCTCTTCTACTTGACGATCATTTTTGTCATCTTTCTCGGCACGCTCTTCACCGCATTCATTCTTAATATACATCTTCAGGTGAGGGTTTGGGTACTGGGCTTTTAGCGGGGGGGCTTAACGCATGGAAATCGGGATTTTTCCGTACGTCTTTTTAAATTAACCATTTTCATAGCATATTTACAGTTGTTCAGGTATAAAATCTTTACAAAATTTCGGAGTAGCGACATTTTTTGTCAAAAATTTATTAAAAAATGCCAAAAAGATAAAATTATATTTTTATTTATGTTTTTAAAATATTAAACATATTAAATAAAATATATTTTATAAAATTTATTTTGTTCTTAAGTATTTTAAATTGAAAAATAATGCTTTTTATTGTTAAGATGCATAGGCGGAAAAATAAAAATAGTTTGGCTCTCTGAATAAGCATTTTCAGAAAATGTACTCTCGGCCCATCTCCCCGATCGTCACCTGGTTCTTCTTCCACAAAATTGCCAAATGGCTGAGTATACGGTAACAGAAGCAGACTTTGATAAATCAGAACCTTTTAGGCCGCCGACCACCTTGGTCGAGCTGTGGGCGGATACTGGTGTTCGGATAGACGGGGTCAAACCCAAGCCCAAGCCAAGCTACAATCGACATGCTGTACGTTTTTAGGGCTTACCGTGGCTCATATGGAGCGTTAAAAGCCGAGATTTATCTTATGCGTTTCTTTAAAGTACCTGAAGCTTTTAGAATAACAATGCCGCGGTAGCTGATCGGCTGATAAAACAGGTGGCCACTACCCCGGCATCGCCAATACGAAAACAGGCACCTGGGACGGCTAGGTGAGCAGAGGATTTCTTCCTCGCTATTTCTCTCTCTCTCTCTCTCTCTCTCTCTCGCTTAGGTATGTCTCTCTCAGTTCTCGTTTTCTCACTCTCTGACTGAGTCTCTTCTCGTTCTCCTTATCTTACTCGCCCGCTCTCTGGCTCTCGCGTTCGCTCTCTCGCTCTCTCTCTCTCTCTCTCTCTCTCTCTCTCTCTCTCTCTCTATCCGTCACTCTCTGTCTCTCTATCGCTATCTCTCTGTCTCTCTCTATCTCTCTCACTCTCGTTCTACCCACTTGAAAAATTATCATTTCAAGATCTGCCGAGGAATCAACGTACCGTAGCGCGATGGCTCGCTCAAATTGGCAGCGACTGGCCAGGACGGCCAGCCAAAGGAGTGAGTCCTATAACCTAAAAAAACTCTCACCCTCCTTGTAAATCTATCTTAATAACCTGTCCACTAACCCAACTATCTCCCCCACTACGAGCAGGATTCCGAACCCGTCTGACCAGTCTACCGTATACCGCGACTACGAGTCACAATTCTTCACGAAGGACCTCGGCCGGGATACGGTCATTGACACCCACATCCAGGAGACCATCCACCCTCCATGAAAATGAGCCGCTGTTGGAAATGGGTGCGCGGAATGACGCGGAATTTCTTATTTGCGTGTCGTTCTATGATTTTTTTAGTTTTGGCGATTTCATTATTCGTAACTTTTCCGAAAATTACGCTTGGAAAGGCCATTTTCTGAAGCGTGAAAATTCTTTCACAAAATTAAATAGATGCACCCCGACTGTCAATTGCGCGTCGTTCTATTATTTTTAGTTTTACTGCATGCTTATCTTCATTAAAGGCACTAGAAGCCAATGAAAGCCGCTTTCCCAATCGACTTAATGAATAGATTCTACGGTATTACAGGGCATTACCCAGCCTCGGCCATGCCATCCAATGCTTCGGATATTTCTCGAGGAGATGAGCATCGGTCCTCAATGGCCCTGGTGGCCGCCCAGCAGATGAATGAGTCGCTCGTCATTGAGAGCAAGCTCAAGCGCAGGTTCGATTTTTTATGTTACTTGATCAATGTTTGATCGCTCTAACAAAGGGAGAGAGGCCGAGAGGGCGAGACAGAGATTGAGTGATAGAGAGAGAAAGAAAGGAAGAGAGAGAGAGAGAGAGAGAGAGAGAGAAAGAGACAGAGGAAGAGAGAGTGAGAGTCAACCAAAGCTTGCCTCCCCTAAATAACCCTTTCCAGATATGCATTGGAATGGGAGTACCTGGCATCAGTGCTTGATCGTCTTCTGCTTCTCGTCTTTTCCCTCGTCGTCTTCATCGTCACCTTCCTGATGATTCTCGTCGGAGAGGCGATGCATCTCAGCTATGAACTCAACAATAACTAGTCAGCAGCTGGAATTTCTGACTAAATTTAACGGACTTTATCAACCTAGAAAACGGTTTGACGGCACCGTTCCTTTAAAGGAATGGGCAAGTTAGGTCTATGGATTTTGCCGCCGCCAAGACATGCAAAGCGCCACGCTTTTCGTTGCGCGAGAAAGTTGTATTTTGCGTGCATCGCGTACGCGTTGCGTATTTGTTCAAATTCATACGGCCTCCATAGCCGAAAATCCGTAACCGTCCCTGATCCCGTAAGTCCATTTTTGCTTGCTTTGCTTTTGTATTTGAATTACTTCTGTTCCAAATTCTACAAAGTTCCACCTTTCTATCCACTAACGCTTCCGCAAGTGCCAAATCGGGTCTTTCACTCCATAATTCCATAACTCATGCATTAATGACAGAATGCTAATCGTTACCGTACCCTCATAGCTGCATTTTTCTCACGCAATCCCCTCCCCCTCCCCCCAAAACGCCGCCTCGATCTGTGATTTTTTCGAGCCCACCCTTAACACCGCCCTGATCTCCAAGCTATTTTTTTTTACTTTTACTATTGAAAAATTCATTTTGTTGTCATTTTCGTGCCTTGGTTTTTGCAAAAATAAACGTATTGGATTCTGATTTATTGCAAGTTAGTCAGGGTCGATAGCTAATTTGCCGGCTTTTTGCAGACAAAGCGCGAGAAGGAGAATGTGGAGTCCCAGTCATCCCATCGGGTTTGGAGATAGGCCACGCAGTGCTGGTCGTTCATCATCTGAATTTCGGATTGTAGAGAGAGAGAGAGAGAGAGAGAGAGAGAGAGAGAGCGAGAGAGAGAGTGAGAGAGAGAGAGAGAGAGAGAGAGAAACAACCTACCGCATATGTCCCGCTGCAGCTCCCCTTCGTCAAGTCAAAATCAAAGGCACTCCCGTCGGTCCACGTCTTCCCGGTGGCATTACTGCACGAGGCGCCGATGACCACCTCCCAGTCGTGGCAAAGAATATCCTTTCGACTCGTCGCGATCAGATCTGTACGTTGTAGTCCATTGCTGATAGTATGTCAACGTACTGCGGATGAAGATGTCCTCCTGGTCGCTGTGAATCGAGACGAGATGGGCGCCCATCGATTTGCATAGGGTCTCGGCCTGGGCTTGAGTGTAGCTGGCGATCGGGCCCATTGGAGAGATTGTCTGGATATTATATGTTATCGGATCAAAGCGAGGGTGACAGCTAGGCTTGGCCTTACCTGTGCATAGTAGCAAGCGTCCGTTTTGTCGTTGTGCACCCAGCCACTTGGGCAACCTGGAAATGAGCTTAGGCGTAGACTTGACTTATACTTAGGCTTGGGCTTAGGCTCAGGCTTCACTTAGGCTTAGGCTTAGGCTTTAGTCTAGGCTAAGGTTGAGGCTTATGTCTGGCTAAGGCTTAGGCTTAGGTTTAGCCTTAGGTTTAGGCTTAGGCCTAGGTTTGGACTAAATGTAGAGGTTGTGGGGTCACAGACTCCAAAACGGCTCAAAATTGGTGGAAAAATCAAATAAAATACGGGGAAAACGATGTGATAAAAATTATCTGCCAATGGGCACTTTTGTTTAATAAACTTTTCATTTTAAGATTTTGTATGGAAAACTACCTAGAATCGCGACCTGGGTGGCCAAAACCGTAAGGCGCAGGGGAGAACTCTTGAAGTCTTCCCAAGCGCCCCATCCCGTTGGATTGGTGGTGTAGTGGTAAGGTGCAGGGGTGACATGCCAGGGGTCGAGGGTTCGGACCCCGTCAATATTTTTAATTTTTGCTTTTTGCTGTTTTCGCTTTTATTTTGCCGAGAGAGAGTCTAGAAAGTGTTTTCGAAAGTTTTTCGGTCCTATGAATCCCTAGAAGTTGCCTAGGCAGAAAAATAAAATTTCGAAAATTTTGAACTTTTTGTAAAAAAAGGTCTAGCTACCTATTCCAGCTGGATGGAAACCAACTGAATAGTTAATAATAATTATTTTTGAACCAGAATTGTAAAAATAGAATTATTCCGACAATCTGAAATATTTCGGTGCTCAGATTTGAAGCGCCTAGGAGCCAGAACCACCTATTTTAAGCAGTTTCCAATTCTGCCAGGATCCGGGGCCATAGGATAGGTCGGGAAATTTTTCATGAAAAAAATTTTTTCAGATCAATTTTTTTTCGGGTGTGGCGAGGTGTCTAGTGTCATGGCGGCTATGAAAATTCCATCAAAACATTTTTTTCCAAGCCGTAAGGCCCAATAAAGCGGCTAAAAGTGCATTTTAGGAGCACTTTTTTCCATTAAAATGAAAAGTTTATTAAACAAAAGTGCCCATTGGCAGATAATTTTTATCACATCCTGTTCCCCGTATTTTATTTGATTTTTCCACCAATTTCGAGCCGATTTGGAGTCTGTGACCTCACAACCTCTGTAAGGCTTAGATTAGGCTTTGGACCTAGCTTACTTAGACTTAGGTTTAGGCTCTGGCCTATGCGTAGAAACAATAGACGTTTAGGCCCATCTGAAACCCACTAATCTGATTCTGATCGCCCATCGTGCACAAGAAGGGCAACTCCGTCTGGCAATCCGTGGCGTACCACTTGAAGTCGGTGATGTTCAGCGCCGAGCAGTCGCTGATTTTCGCGTACTCATCACCTAAATTGGGTTCAAAATATTGGAATTCACCCCGAAATTCATCGTTTAGTTGTGCTTACCGGAAGCAAAATTGACGTAGTTGAGCGGCGTTCCATCAGCGTACACCCTGGTCGTGTTGTCGCGCAGCCTCACCCCGATGGTGATCAACGGCTGATCGGTGGAGACCACTGGCCAAATGTATGTTGTGTTAAACCACGGTCGAAAATTCAGGTCAATTTATTAAACTAAATTTAATTCACTCCTTGAATTTTCAATGCTAAAAATTTCAACTCTAAAAAATGACTTAAGCTACCGTACCATCCCAAGCTGTCAGCACGGCGAGCAGATTTTCGACGTCGTTATAAATCTGGGCGACACGCCCGCCGAGGGCATTGCACGTCGTCTGCGCCAAGTCGAAGATCGACGCTAGAAAGGTCGGGATAAATAGCAAGGCGTCTCTGCTAGATTGCCCTCCACGACAGGCAGGGGATCCGAAGAAAATAATCTCTGCTAGCTTCACTTCTTTGTTTCTGATTTCCGCAAAGGATCTCTGCTAGCTTACCCTAGAGTCTTAATTTCCTCAAAGAACCACTGCTAGCCTGTTCCTCGTGTCTCATCCTACGCAAAGGATCTCTGCTACCTTGCCCCTAGAAGAACATGCTCCTAATTTCTGCTAGTCTGCCTTAGACGCACGCACCTCAAAAAGCACTGCCAGTCTGCCCCTCGTGTCTGATTTCCGCAAAAAATCTTGCTAGCCTGCACCTAGAATCTCAGTTTCCGCAAAGAATAGCTGCTAGCCTGCCTTTAATGCGTCATTTCCACAATAAGGTCCTTTAATTCCACAAAACACCTACGGACGGGCACGGCCAATATACACTCTCCCACATCTCCATAGTCAATCGCTCCATTCGGACAATAGGTGGCCGATACGGTAGTCGTAGCGAGGAATAAAACAACCAAGACTCTCATTCCGAATCGATTTTTAAATAGCAACAATTCCCTGTGATTTTGTGCTCGATTAGAACCTCCCCGTATCAGCCCTAATTTTTCGCGTCGTAACCGGATTAAAATCTGGCGTGCATCTAGCGTGGTCGGTGAAATGTTTCGCGGCTTGGCTAATCAGTGTATAGTTCAACGGGCAATTTTTGAGGTGGGTAAGCTAGCAGAGAGCTTTGGGGGGAAACGAAAATTGAAAATTTGCCTCGGGCAATCTAGCAGAGACCCTTGAAGAGTTCTACCATGGCTTTTCCATGCTGTATTCTCTGTATGCGTTTGAGAGGCGGGCAGCGTAGCAGAGAACTTTGCGGAATTCGAGAAAAAATTTTTTTAGTGAATGAACTGCATGACCAGGGCAGGCTAGCACAAACTTTTAGGATTTATGGACAAACTCGGGCCAAATAGAAAGAGGAAGAGCTAAACGTCAAGGGCAAGCTAGCAGCAATCTTTGTGGAATTGAAGAGAAACTGTATAAGACAAAAAAATTTTAGTTGAGCAACTCAAGTGTCAAGGGCAAACCAGCAGTGACCTCTGAGGATTTCCATCTTCATTGTTTAGATTTAGATTTATTTGCGCAACGAGGCGCCATTGCACATGCAATGAGTCACAGTATAGGGGAAAGATGTCACAGAAAATGTGGGGCTTAAAAGAGGGAAGGATTTTATCCACCATGCTTGGCAAAGCGAGCTAGCAAAGTCCATGTGCGGAATTTTGTAAATTGTTCCATTTATCAATTACTCTAATGCTGTTTCATAAACTCCATGGCGATCCGCTCGCCGACTTCCGGCAGATGCAGCGCCGCTCGCTTGCAGATGAAACGCGAGAATTCGTTCTGCGCATACCAGCTCTGCCAATTCTGGCGTTGATCGACGGAGCAGTGGTAGTCGTTGATCATCTACAACGGCTTGTGGGTTTGAAAGGGCACGTAAACTCATATTTAGCTACCGCAACTCTGACAAGCCACTTTAAAATTTAAACCTACCGTGTACGCGTCGGTACATTGCCCATTTGTCAGATCGAAGTCGAATGGGGTCCCGTCACTCCACGTCGTCTGATTGTTCTTACACGACGCTCCAATTAACGCCTGCCAGTCTTGGCAATTTACATCCGGGTCCGAGGTTTGGATGAAGTCTGTAAGAGGTATGTCCTTAAACATAGTATGCGGGTGCTTAGGCTTCAGCCTATCTTAGGCTTGGCTTAGCTTAGGCTTAGCTTCGGCATAGCTTAGGCTTAGCTTAGGCTTAAGTTAACCGTATTGTCCAAAGGAACTGTGAAGTACCTACTTTTGACGAATGTATTCTCGGCGTCGGTGTGGATCGAAGCCAATTGCCCTCCGAGTTTAGCACATTGCGCGGCAGCCGCCGTTTGATTCAAGTGGAGGGCTTTGGTGGAGGAGATGACCTGCGTTTGGATTGGTAATTTTAGCGCGCTGCGTGTCGCGTCGCGTGTTTACATTCTCCACGCGTTCCGTGCCGCGCCGCGTATCCTTTTCCAGGGTTTTGTCAAGCGTTGCTGAATCCGCGGAGCATTCTTCTAGGCCTAGCTAGCTGCTCTGCTGCTCGTTGCGTAGCCTGTTGCGGGCGTGTCAGTTTTTAGGGTTTGCTAAATCGGTTCCGAAGGCGTGCGGGTTGCGTCGCGTACTCAGTGAGTAAAGCACAGCCAGTCCTTTCCTCTGCGTAGCGTGGCGCGTCGCGTGCAAGCTGTCCAGTTCTAGCTTACCCCCTCCTGTCACCATCCCTTTAAAAGCATCCCCCTCTGTTCACCTACATTTTGGATGTAATAACATGAAGAAGTTAGCTCGTAGTACTTCCACCCATCCGGGCACACTAAAAGATGTCGAATACCGTCTTTCCACTAGTTTGAAAGGGCCGATGAAGCGATACTCACTGAGCGTATTATCCAGATTCGAGTACTGGCATGCGAATGGATGAAGGGCATCGCAGGGGGTGGAATACCACTGTTGGGTACTTGGGTCAAGTGTCGTGCACGCATCGGCCGATGCCCAATCGGATTCTAGAGGGCAATTAAAGTCTTATAAAACTACCAGGTAAGCCTTACCGGAGTAAAAATTGTAGTACTGTAGCGGGGTACCATCGGCATATATCCGATCGACACGCCCATCGGCCCGTTTGATGCCAATGTGAACACGAGTGGTGGCGTTGACGGCTGGAAAATGAAGCTGACTTGACTTTACAGCAAAGAAACTCTGCTAGGCTGCCTCTGGATTCTCAATTACCCAAAGAATCTCTGCTAGCCCGCCCGCAGAGACTGACCGTTTGCAAAGAAACTCTGCTAGCTTGCCATCTTTTCCTAATTTTCTCAAAGAACTCGGCTATCCTGACCAGAAGTCGAATTTCAGCCAGGAATCTCGGCTAGAATGCCCTCTTTCTTCATTTCCTCAAAGAACTCTGCTACCTGGCCCTAGGGATCCAGCTCTTCGCTAAGAATCCCTGCTAGCTTGCCCCTGGATGCGATTTCCGCACGCAATCTCTGCTAGTTCCTGAAAAATCTTTGCTAGCCTGCCCTGCAATTTTCGTTTCGCCAAAGAACTCTGCTAGTCTTCTGGATTCGATCTCCGCAGGCAATCTCTGCTGGTTCCCACCGTACCACGATCTCCCAAAGTGCTTTGCTAGCCATGGATTCTAATTTTCCCCTGTGAACTCTGCTAGCTTGCCCTCTTTCTCCTCATTTCCGCAAAGAATCGCTGCCAGTTTTCTTCTACAATGCCTTCACAATCCCGTTAGCGTACTTCTCCTGGCCGCAATGGACGTCAACAAATTCTCGACCCGACTGATCGGCTGGGCCAGCTTTCCGGAAAGAGCACCGCACGTCTTTGAGGCAACGGCAAACGGAGCAGCTGGAAAATAATTTAAACATTGAAATTTGCGACTCCCGGCAGTGTCACCATCCTTTTAAACCCGCAACAAAACCTCACTTACCAACTTTAAAGACGAGCAGACATTGGCCGACTTCAATGTAGTCGACAGCCCCCGGGGCACAACTCCCCGAAAACACTCCATGTAGCCCCAGGCTACAAAGTACAGCTAGCAATAAATACTTCATTTGCAACAGTTCTTCGAGGATTAGCAAAGTATGGAAATTGCCGTGAAAATGAGCATTGATCGCTGGAGCGTCGCTTATCGCGATGAGCCGATTATCGAGTGCCCAACCATTTTTCGACAGGACGAAAATTTATAGCTTGGAAATGGGGATAAAATTTGGTATAAATTCAGCAATCTGGTTTCTACTTAAAACCAGACAGGTAGAGACTACAGCTATTGTTTGCGGCAAAAAGGCCCCAGGGGCAAGCTGGCCGAGATCTTTGGGGAATTTGAGCTTTCCCGGACAAGCTAGCAGAGACTCTTTACGGTAAGACATCATCTAGGGCAAGCTAGCAAAGATTTTTTACGAAAAGTAGAGCCCAAGGTCAGGTTAGCAGGGATTCTTTGAGAAAAGTAAGTCCCTAAAAGGCAAACTGGCAGAGATCTTTGCGGAATGGCACACTCTAGGGCAGGTTAGCAGCGATTCTTTACGGAAGTGGCACGCTAGGGTAAGCTAGCAGAGATCTTTGGGGAAAGTGACACTCCAGAGGCAGGCTAGCAGAGGCCATCTGCAAAAAGGAAATTCCAGGGGGGCTAGCAGAGATTCTTGGGGGAAAATGGCACTCTAGGGTCTGCAGTGATTTTTTTGGGGGAAATGAACTACGGCGTGTAAACTAGCAGAGATTTTTGCGGAATGTCTTCCTCTAACGCAGGCTAGCAGAGAGAATTCGGGGAATTTGATCGTCCCCAGGCAAGCCAGCGGAGATTCTTTGCAAAAGTAGCACTCTAGTGGCAAGCTAGCAGAGATCTTTGCGAAAAAACACACTCTAGGGCAAGCCAGCAAAGATTCTTTGCTACCAGAGACCTTTGCGGAAAGTCAGACTCTAGGTCGAGCCTAGCAGCGATTACCTGGGAAAATGAAATTCGATGGGCAGGCTAGCAGGGATTCTTAGGGAATTTGAGCTTCCCCGGACAGGCTAGCGGGGATTTTTTGCGAAATGTAAGACTCTAGGGGCAAGCTAGCAGAGATTCTTTGCGGTTACGGTCCCCCACCCTGGTAGCTGTGAATAGGCGTCCCAATTAGTGTGTTCCTTCCCATTTCTTTTCCGTTCCTTTCCCCCCTTTCTCGGATTCCCCCCAATGAGAAGCCTTTTGTGGGGGTTCGAGGAGAGCTCTGACTGACTGACTGACCCCAATCTACCGATCCGATCCCCCCGCATTGGCCCAGAAAAAAGGGTCGTTTCCTTTTTGGCTTCGCACACCTATATCTATCGGCTGCCGTGTTTTTGTGCATTCCTGAATTCTGCAAGAGGCTATTAAATTATCATTATAATTTATTAATTATAATGCACATATTTTTGCTGTTATTCGCTGGAGGATGGATCGTGGAGGCCGAGTTGAACGGTAGGGAATTTTTGCTGCTGATTTTTGTTTTGTGTGGGTTTTTTCAGATGCTATAATCGATAACTACTCAGCGTAGGATTAGGCTTAAGCTTGGCTAAAGCTTGGCTTCGGCTTGGCTTAGGCCTGGGCCTGGGCTTAAGCTTAGGTTAGGCTTGGCTTAGGCCTAAACTTTCCTTCGGCTTAGGCCTCGGCTTCGCCTCAGGTTTAGGCTTAGGCGTGGCTGAGGCTATAGCTTAACTTTGGTTTAGGCTTTGGCTTAGCTTAGGCTTCAGTTGCCTCTACATACCCATGCTTTCCGGCTTCTGAAGCAAATTGGTATTTCCCAAAAATTCCTTGCTAGCTTACCTCATCGTTTCTGAGCGTTCGATTGTCTTGGAACCACATTTTTTATTCCCCAAAAACTCTGCTAACTGCCCCAAGATATTGATCAAATTTAATCGAATATTCAATAAAAGCAATTTACAATATTTCCAGCGGATCCTTCTCTGACCTCCTCCCCCTCGTCGAACAGCTCCCGCAAATTCCAGCTGATCTCCGAGCCGGCAATCAGAAATCTACTACTAAGGCCGATCCCGAAAAAGCATGCCAACATGTAGAAATCCATTTTTACTTAAAATTTGCCACTTTCTAGGCTCCCAAATCTACAGCACACGATGGCCTTGCCGAAGTTGAGGGATGAAATGGTGATCGGGCAAGGTGGTTCTTAAAACGTAGAAGATAGCTGGTCAGCTAGCAGAGATCCTTGAGGCGTGCCAGCAGAGAAAATCAAGGAATTGCGTCTAAATTCGCATTCCAGACAGCTTCGCCTTTATGCGCGGCCGGGAAATTCGGCGAAAACCGGTGAAGGCAACGAAAAGTGAGGAATATTCTTCGGAGGAATCGATGGAAGAGGATCCGGTTTGTTAGAGAATGGCTCCAATACCGTAGTCACTTTTAGGAAATTACTCGAATTATGGCCGAGATGGGCGAGGCGAAGGCGGAGATACCGAAGGTTGGTATGATGTAGCGATTATGGAGAGAGAAAGGAGAGAGAGAGAACAAGAGAGAGAGAGAGAGAGAGAGAGAGAGAGAGACAGGGAGAGAGAGGGAGAGAGAGAGTGAGCGAGTGAGAGCGAGAGAGCGAGCGAGAAGAGAGAGACACGGACAGAGAAGGAGAGCGAAAACGAGAGAGAGAGAGAGAGCGAGAGAGAGAGAGAGAGACCGAGTGAGAGAAACGACCAATTTTCCACCATTTCCAGATTCCCGAAAATTTGATTGTACCCCATTTCGAGAAGCCTATCTACGACGTAAAAGCCCCGCTGGGCGGCTATAAAGTGCGTTTTTGTCCGTTTGGGTTACAGTATCTCTTGGTACAGATGGCATACCCATTGACGCTCCTCCCATTTGTCACCCAGCCCGGCGGTGAGGCCCCAATCTTCACTATCACCGAAGACCCAAGCCAGCTAATTCAAATTGGAAAGATCAGGCATAAACAGGTGGGGGTCAATGGGTGTATTGCGGAATTGAGTGATGCGGAGTTTCAGAAGGACTCGAAATCGATCACGTCGGTGGCGGTGGAATTGCGGTCTGGGGCGGAGTTGAAGGAGGAGGAGATGAAGGTGCGCAAAACGGAGGGCAAGCTAGCGGCGATCCTTTAGGAAATGGAAATGCTGTAGTAGGGCAGGCTAGCAGAGATCTCGCAGGAAATCTTTAGCAATATAAGCTCCATTCCAGGACGGCAAATACACATTCGGAATCAAGGGGCAACTTGGCGACCAGGAGGACACCACCATGGTTCGCCTTGGAGGGATTACGGTGGGGGAGGGTACTTTCAAAGGGTCAACAGCTCTTTCAGCCTCGACGGCCACCCGTCGATCCGGAATTCAACAAGGGTGTCGTCGAGATACCGACTCCAGGTGAGTTTTTAGCGAGTTCTCGCTGCCCCGCTAACAGTTCAGTACCCCATATCGGAAAGCCTGGCCGATCCCTTTAAACGGCCCTAAAACCCCCAAATTTTCAGTCCTCTCCTTCAAAGCGACCGGCGACACCAACGGTACCATATCCCTCGATGCCCTGCCAAACTTCGAGTTCACGGTCCAACGAGAAGGAGAGGTACATCCGGCTCCAAATTACGACCAAAATGTTCAGCAGCAAAATGACCCAATCAACCTGAGCATCAACTCGAAGCTGCTGCAGTTGACGGCGAAGCAAATCAGTCCCGGAGAGAAAGTGAGATTCCTGCTCAATCCTGGGGCTGAACTTGTTGAGGATGAGCTGGTGACGGTAGGTGAAAATTACTTGTTTTAAAAGCAAATCTCAGATATCTGCCGAGTTGTTTGGAGAGCGTATCACCCAGAAGCTGCTCGTGAAAGCTAGAGTTCAAGATGAGGCGGAGGGGTCTGGGAATTCGGTGGACGGAGGGGATTCTGGAGAAGAAGACTCCACCGAGACTACTGATGATCAACTCCTGCATTCCGAGCCGGAGGAGGCCAAGCAGGTCAGTTAGGCAATAGCAAATCAAAAGTTTTCGAATTCAGGTGGAAAACATGATAGAGACGACAAAACTTCGTGACGGGTCGACGTCGGAGGTTGTGGAGGTTTCGGGGATGAAGTCAGAGATGAAGGTTTGGATTCAGTTACGGTAGTAAATATGGAATTAGGAGTATGTTTTTACCGTCTCGGAGTCCGCGGAGGATGGGATGTTGGTCGGGGAGCTTGATGGGGATGCTGGATATAACTTGGTCGATGAAGGACCGTAGGTTCTCTATCTCTCTCTCTCTCTCTTTCTCTCTCTTTCTCCCTCCCTCCCTCCCTACGTATCATTTCAGATTCAAACTCGAAAACTCTCAAATTCTCCTGGATTGTCCCACCAAACCCTGCCTCGACTTTGAGCAGCAACGAAGCTACGACCTCCTTCTCCTTCCCATCGACGGTCCGTTTTTTATGTCCGAACCAGTCCACATTTTAGGTGAATACCACGAAGTTCCACGCCCGCTTCGAGTGATGATTAACGTCACCGACGAGGACGAGCACCCGCCCCGACTCGTCGTCCCAACCCACATGATCCGCATCAGCGACGGGGACCTGTTGTCGCCGTATGGAGTTGAGGTATTGTATCTTTATCTGGCTTTTTATTAATTTCTGTCAAGGTCGAAGATGATGACGGCAGCGACGAGAATATCGTAATTCTCGAGGGAGCGGCGGCCGATTTTCTCAGTTTGGAAAAGGTCGAGGACAAGCTTTATGAAATTAAGGTATGGCGTATTAAATTTTTAAATGCCATTTAAACCTTTAAATCGAGTTAATACACCCATTTTTAGTCAATCAAATCGGCACCAAGCGGCAAATTCGAGTTGCGCATCGTGGTGAAGGATCGGGCAGGGAAATTTGGAGATTCGGCGGAACGTGTCGTAGTCGAAGTGGCGGTAAGAGAATTTTTAAAGGCACTAGGAAGGGAAGCTTTTTTACCGGATTTTACCGCATTGATATGAACTATGCCTTTAAAGGTCCTTTCAAACCCCGCCAGGGCAAGCTGGCAAATTTCCGTTGGGAGCTTCCGAATGAAATTTACTCAAATTATCTTATGAATTCCCGGTTTTAGAACACAAAGCCAAATGCCCACTTCCGGAAACCCGAATACGTTCTGAGCGTCCAGGCCACCGAGTTGAAGAGGTACAACGCACCTTAAACTCCGTAGTAATCAACTTTTTTAGCGATCAGCGCTTAGCAGAACCCGAGCTCGAGGGAATCCCGATCGATATGGTCAAATTTGTCATTTTGGGGTTTGTAGTTTGTAGCTATCGACGATATCGAATTCAGACGTGCGCCATCGTTTGTTAAAATCGACGACTACCATGGGCATGTGTTGGTTGGAAATTTGCCAAGGTCGGGTTTTTTTAATTTTTAGAGGCTTTACCATTTTTTTAATGATTTTGACAAAATTTCACTTTATCAAAACCCGTTTTTCCCAAATTTTTTCCGAAAATTCAACTTTGTCGGTATTTTCAGAAAAAATGGAATTTCTATATGTTTGAACCGAATATTTATTGAAAATAAATTCCGGCACGCTCATTTTCGAAAAAATGAATTTCGACATCAAAAACCTCTGAAATCTCCGAATTTCAGCGAGGGCCTCCGCACAGCCACCCACAACATCTCGATCGGAGCCGTCAAACGCCATACCGGCGAGATTGTCGCTAGATGCGAATTTTTGTTGACGGTAGATTGCTGTCTCGAGTAGTGTACCGTACCCTACTTTTAGATTCTAAACGGCAACCCGGCACTTTCACCGTTTCCGGAGAAGGTCATCCACCAATCGTTTGACAGGGGTTCGTTTTGGAGGAAGGGGCAGGCTAGCAGAGATCCTTTGGGGATCCGGCGGATTTAATTTAAATTTTATCTAACATTTTAATTATTTAAAATCTTCCAGAATCACTAGACGAAATTCGGATACCGCTACTGATGGAAGATTTGGAGGATGCAAAAGTGGAGAAAATACTTGGAATCGATGAGGACGGATTTCAGAAGGAGATTGAGAATGTGGGTGAGAGAGAGGGGAGAGAGTGAGAGAGAGAGGGGGAGAGAGAGAAAGAGAGAGAGAGGGATAGAGAGGGAGCGAGAAAGAAAGAGAGAAAGAGCGGGAGAAAATGCGAGAGAGCGATCGAGAGAGAGAGTGAGAGAGAGAGAGAGAGAGAGAGAGAGAGAGAGAGAGAGAGAGAGAGGAGCAGGAGAGAGGGCGAGAGGGAGCGAGAAAGAAAGAGAGAAAGAGCGAGAGAGTGCGAGCGAGAGAGAAAGAGTGAGAGAGAGAGGGAGCGGGAGAGAGAGAGATAGAGTGAATTTATATTTTGCTCTTCAGAATTTCACCTCCGAACACTCCATCCGCATTCCCCGCTCAACATTTGCCAAACTCCGCCACCTCACCGTCGAGCTCTCCCACCGAAACCATTACGGTAACCACAACCCCCGATCTGCAGAACCCACTTTTTTAGCCTCTTTCCTCACCACCCTCACCTCAACCCCGGAATATATCGCCGAAAAACTGAAAGCGGAAAGCCAGCCCCTATTCATCCCGCCCTGGGCACCGAATAGCACACGAATTACGGTAGGTGGTCATCGCTATTCCGATAGAATCCGCGGTTTTCAGCGCGATCTGCATGAGGAGGCTCCGATTGGGTCAATTCTACTCGCCCTGCCGGCCAACAACCCGAAAAGCGGCGAGATGGTGACGGTGAAGATGTCCGGGAGGGATGCCGACAAGTTTTTGATCGATCAGAAGACTGGTAGGTGTAGGGGTTCGGCTTAGGCTTCGGCTTAGCTTTTAGGCTAGGATTTAGCTTTGGTTTAGGCTTAAGTTATATTTGGGCTGAGGCTTAGGCTTCAGATTATGTTCATGTCTGGCTTGGGTTTCGGTTTGGGCTAAGGCTTAGGCTTGGGTGTAGGCTTATCTGGCTTAGGCTTGGGCTTAAGCTTAGGATTAGGCCTTTGTCTGGCTTAGACTTGGGCTTGAACTTACTTTAGGTTTGGTTTGAGCTTGGCTTAGAAAGAGACAAGTACGTTTTTCCAGGTTCGATCACCATCAATTCCCGGCTAGACTACGACAGTCTGAAACCAACCCAACGCACCCTCGAGCTGATTCTCGAAGCCGGCGACCCAGGCTACGTCTCCAAAGCCGAGATTTTTGGTTTGAAATCGGATTCCCTAAAAGTTTGCCCTTTTTAGTGCACCTAAAAGATATCGATGACAATGCGCCAATGTTTATGACGAGCGGAGTGCCAAAAGAAGTGAGAGAAAAACAGGAATTCTGGACAAATTGTCAATTTCAGCTTGATCTCTCCGAAGACACGGCCCCCGGCACCGAGCTGTTCAAGCTGGAGGCCATCGATCTGGACGAGGTCTCGACGGGAAAACTACTGTATTCGCTGGCCGGCCACGGGCATGAACACTACGAAATAAAAGAGGTAGGATTTTGATACTTTGTTTGGTAAGGTAAGACAACTTGTGCGGAATTTTTTGCTGATTTAGGATCCTGTGCCAAAATTGCAAAAAATTTCGTTAAAAGTTATGGCCGTTTTTGCATTCCAGTCACCGAAAATTTGGCGTAAACTCAACCGCTGAACGTCATGCTCTTTTTAAACCACCTGGAGTGCCTAAAAAAATGGCAAAAATTTGTATGACAAACCTGTGAAAGTTAACTTCCCTAAGAATCTCTGCTAATTGCCGCTCAACTCGACCAGTAAATTCCAAATATTCCGTCAAAAACTCCAACAATTTCAGAAAAACGGCTCTATGGTCTTCCAAGTGGCCCCGAAAGCGGATTTGGATCGAGAAATGGGTGCTGAACACTATTTGGTGCTACGAGTCGAAGATCCCGCCGGAAATCGCGATGAGATTACGGTAATGCCCACAAAATACCGTAACCTACAGACACTCGTTTAGTTGACTCTGTCGCTCCTCGACGCCAACGACAATACCCCGGCCTTTGATGAGGGTCCCGACGGGTTTGAAGTTACGGTAAGAGCCTTACAATCTGCGCCAACTACCGTAACCCTTTTAGGTAGTGGAGAATTGGCCAATTGGAGCGTTTATCGATCGATTCGAGGCGAGAGACGCGGATCAGGGGCAGAGGATCAGCTATAGTCTCCAGGGTGATGGGGCGGAGAGTAAGTTGGGGACCCTTGAGTTTAAAAGGGAGTCGAGAATCTGTTCTTTCCTACAGTATGCTAAAAAGGCCATGTTTTAGAATTCGAGATCGATTCGGTCACGGGTGTGTTGAGGATTGGTGCGGATTTGGCGGGGATGGCCAGTCCGGAACCGTACTCCTTGCAGTTGGTGGCCGAGGATGACGGTAGAATTTTCAGAAGAGAGAGAGAGAGCGAGTGAGAGAGAGCGTTAGCATGAAATAGAGAGAGAGAGAGAGAGAGAGAGAGAGAGAAAGCTGATAGAAACCGCTACATTCCAAAGCCTTTTTAAACCTCACAGCCCCTTTAAGAGACCCCTATTTTCAGGAGAACCCTCCTTGAATACGACGGTACCCCTCCGCATCCGCATCCTCGTCCCACAGTATATTGCCAACTACGGACGCGACACCGTCGAGTACACCCGGCCAGCCAACGACTTTGTGCTCCGACTGCCGGAGGTAATCAGAAACTTTAGCGGTATGAGCATGAGCATGAGCTGGAGCGAGAGTGAGAGAGAGAGAGAGAGCTAGAAACGTTCAGATAAAAACGTTAGATATCCCCCCACATTTTAGAACACCCCGATCGGGAAGGTCGTCTACAACGTGATGGCCATCAGGCGAGCCGATGCCGGCAACTCGTCCGAGCGCATCAAGTACACGGCTACGGTACGTTCAATTTTTTTGGTAAAATTAAAGTCACTTTCCCCTTAAACTGCGAATTCGGCTGTCACTGTCCCTTTAAAAGTTGCTTCCAGCCCCTCTCATCCGCCGATGAGGGATATCTGGATGTGGACGAGCGAACGGGAGATATTTTCGTAACGGGGGCTCTCGATTACGAAAAGCTCCGTTTTATTACGGTAGGTAACTTCGGGGGAAAAAGCGATAGGGCGAACAGACGAACAAAAACGCCTCTAGTGTTCGATGTTTTGGGCATGGAATGTTGTTTTTCGAGCAGAAAAAAACGAGTGAGAAAGGGCGAGAGGGAGAACGAACGAGATAGAGAGCGAGAATGAGAGAGAGACAGAGGGGGAGAGATCGACAGACATACAGACAATAGGAATTCCATCTGGATCTACAGATCGCGGCGAGTGAGCATGACAAAGCTTCTCGGGTGAAGGATTCCAGATTGCTCCCGTCCGAAAAAGCCTACGTTCCGCTCCTAGAAACGAACAGACGAAAGCCAGAGGCTTGCTTATTTTTGCTCTCGTTTTTCTATCACATTTTTATAACGTATTTTGAATATCAACTTATTTTTATTGCCTTTTTGGTATGTTTTTCATGCTAATTTTGCCAGGCAATCGAGCAGCGATCATTTGGGAATCGGTGATTTCGTACAAATCCCGAATTTTTTTGGAAAAAAGCCGCAGTGACTCGATTTCTCTCTCTCTCCCTCACTCTTTCTCTCTCCCTCCCTCTCTCTCCCTCCCTGTCTTTCTCTTTCTCGCTCTCTCTCTCCCAGTCCAAAAACTCTACTAGAGTTCACCTACCGCTTTCAAAGAGATGTCCGTTCCATTCCTTGTCAACAGAATGTTCTACGTAGCGAAGCGCTTACCCAAGAGATCAACCCCTATTTTTTCGTCCCCCCCCAATAGTCCGGCTATAATCCGGAAAAACGTCTGTGGTTTTGCAAACGGTTTTCACGCGTCCCCCCCATCACTTTCTATTTGCCGCGCTGATTTGTGCGGAAAGGGGGAGGGTGACTGGGTATGTGTGAGGGGGGTGGCCATTAGAGGGGTATGGAGCCATTTTGTCATTTTTGAGGGGTAGTGGTCTAGGTTTATGGAAATGTATGGCGTATTGGTACGGTATCCTATACCTATCTCTCGTTTTCTGTGAATCACCCTCTCTCACTCTCACTTTTGCTCTCTCTCGCGCTCTCTCTTTCTCTCTCTCTCTCTCTCTCAAACGCTCTCTCTCTCTTTCGCTCTCTCACTCTCACTCCCTTTCACATTTTCTGCCTACCTCACGCACTCTTTAGAAAATTATATTTTACGAATTTTAACCCCCCCCCCCCACCCGTAATTCAGTTGCCATCCAAATCCCACCTAGCTCGACTACCCTACTACGCAACGTTACTGTTTCCACTTGATCGGGGGGATAAAGCCTGCCACCCACAGGCCGAAACGGGACTTTCGACCCGCCGCGCATGCCGGAGGACAAAAGCTATCCGCCGCTTTGGCTGCCAATCCCTCAACACAATGGGAGGCTAGCAGAATGGCTTTGGGAAAGGAAGGGGGGGGGGGGGGGGGGGAAGGGATGGGAATGACTGGATATTCCCACAATTATAGAGGATAGGGGGTAGAATATGCCCTCGGGACATAACAGGATAGCAGGGGAATTGTAATAATATTTATAATATTTATTCTCAACACAAGGTTCACAAAGTCAACTCTTACAGTGTGAGGAATCAGGTGTAAATAGAGTGGTGGAGAGGATAGATAAATAAGGGGAAAATTATGATTAATTGTAAATATTATGAAGATGTGAAAGAGGGGGAATGGAATAGAAGAGTAGAATGACGAGAACACCATTACAGTAGATAGGAGATGTGGATAAGTCGGGAAAGATGATTTTTAAAGACTTTAGACGGAATATAATGGCAGTTTGGGGACAAGAATTTAAGGGAGCATCTACGCGAGAGGAGAAGAAAGCTTTTGACAGAGGTTTTTTGAGCAAGTATAGGGCTGATTTTGGTTTTGGTTTTAGGACCACGGGTTCTAGAGGGGCAGCATTAAAGAAAGTATTTTCAGACATATGAGAAGGAATCTTGTGAAAGAAAAAAAAAAGAAAGTCCGCGGTTCTCCTATGGTTCAATGGTTCGAGATTGGATTGAGTACATGCCGAACAATAGGAGACCTACGCGACCGGTAGCATACACGTCGAGCGAAGTCTTGCTGAATTGTTTCTAGAGCAGAAATTTGGAATTTTGCCATGAAAATTTTTTTTAAATATAAAAAGAGCAGCGAACTGCTTTATTTGTCACCTCTACCTCTGGATTGGGTTGATCGGCAATTTTTTTTGGGTTGAGAGGGAGCGAGAGAAAGAGAGAGAGAGTGCGAGAGAGAGCGAGAGTGATATTCCATGGCCGTCTTGATTTTGTTTTTGGCTCCGTTTCTATGCTTCTGTTCCAATACCCCGAACGACCTGATAAAAACGATGGGTACCTTGGGTAAATATCGTCTTCATCTCTCTCTCCCTCTCTCTCTCTCTCTCTCTCTCTCTCTCTCTCTCTCTTTCTCTCTCTTTCTCTCTCTCTCTCACACACTCATAATCTCGTCTATCTCTCACTACACGCCCTTCCAATCAACATTTACCCCTCGGCTTTTAGCCACCCGCCCCGACACATGATTCCCCGGCTCGATCGCGCGGTTTAGAGGGATGGTCACTATCAAAATGGCCCTGAAGCATTATTCCCCAATGATCCCTGCTAGCCCCCTCGCTTTAATGCCTCAATGAGCATTCGCGAAACGCCACTCAATTTCCCGCCCATCGACATGACGGGGGTGAACTGTTTTGACGGGGCCGAAAATGGGCAGACTCCATTTTTCGGGCCGTTTCTGGGATGCGTTTTCGATATTCAGATATTTATGGCATGTAATTTTATCATTTTTTTGTGTCAAAACAATTCTCAGAGTTAATAAGCGTGTATTTCTACTTTATAAATTATTTTGATAAAGAATCAGAAGCGGAAAAATTTATTTTGGATTTTTACAGTCATTCAAAAAAAATATTTTGAAGCATTTATCCCCAGAAAAATGTTATTTTAACGGTTTTCCTAGGCAATTTGCCAACCCCACCACAAAAACCATTTATTTCCCCGCGCTTCTTGCCCCCCAAAAATTACCCTCCCCCTCAAACGGTCACTGTTTAGCGGGGAGCGGGGCGAAGGAGAGCTGCCCGAATTGTCCATCCCGTTCAGAAATCGAATTTTCTGGGGAAAAACTTCCATTTACCCGTTGCGAGATACCAGAATTTGGAGCAAGGAGGAGGAGGAGGAGGAGATGGAGAATTATTCCAGGGCCGCCTATTCCCTTTGATGCACCCAAATCGCCGGTTTCGAGCGGGGGCGCGGGGGCGATAGATTGAGCCATTTATGGCCATCATCACCAGTCCGATTTTTGAATAGTCGCTGCTGGGGTGAGGGCCTACGTGACTGTACACCGTATCGAAATAGACTATTCGCTCCTTGGACACGCGATTTTCATGTTGTAATCGATCAGACTCGGGTCAAGAATGCAATCTCAAAGCGTATGGTACACAGTACGTCGCAGTACTCCGCGTTTGCGCCCTCATTTATGTCGTAGCTCATTTTTACGTCTCCACTCATTTTTCGCGTGGCAAGATACATTTTGCGTCGTGGCGTACCGTAACGGAGCGTTGCGTACGCTAGTGCGTTCCAACGTACTGATGCGTACTGTGTCGGACTGCAGCTCATTCTGACCTGTTCCAGCGTACTCTGGCGTGATCTAGCCGATTTTCGCGTTGTATAGCGTATTTTTGCGTATCATTTCTTCCGGGTCTAACGTACGAACAAGGACATATGGTGGCATGCATTTCCCTGTCGTGACCGAGCGTACCGTAATTTATTTTAACGTACTGTAGCGTATCCTTGCGTACTGTGTCCAAATCTAGACTACTATGACTTCTTTGCGTATTGAAGTACGTAGTCTCGAACATACTCTAGCGTACAGTATCATCCTTATCTCTATCGCACCCAAGCGTAGCGTAATCTGGCATACTCTAACCTAGTCGGTGCCCATTTTTTTTCATTTTTCAGTTTTTCCGGAGCTTCCTACGCTCCAGCAAAAATCTATTAAAAGCTAGCAAACCCTAGGCCCAGCACAAAAACTCTGGTACGCAGAAAAAACAGAAAAATTTTGACCTACCGGCCGGGATAAGTGTTCGGGTTGTTGACCTAGCGGATACGAGATATCATGGAGATCACTCGATTAGATATCTACTGCCACGTCGAGAAGCTGTTTGTCCTCTTCTTCTTTCCCAAAAGAATCCACTCAACTGGGTGAGCCATGTTGGCAAATAGTGGTTCCGTGTCTCACCGGATATTCCATCCATCCTGCTATCCCCCCGACGATTTTGATTTTCTCATCTTTACTTATGTTTCTTTAACCTTTTTCCTTGGATTTGGCTTGAATATGCCTTGAGGCTGGTTGAAATTCGTCTGTTAGGTCAAAAGATGCGTATTCGCAACGTTAAGGCGTGGAAGGACAACTTTTTGGATCTCATGCATTATCGGGGGGGGGGTTTAGTATCCAATTTTTCTAATATAAACTACGGAAGTGCCTAAACCGTTTTTACTATCCCCTAAGCGTGAAAACGTTGCCTGTTTTAGGAAAAAATGCAAAATGGCGGTTTTTCGACCAAATTTCGATTCAAGGTTTTTAGCTCGTTTTAACACTGTAAATACAGTTAGAGTTTATTAATATCACTATTAAAACATTTTTTATACGTTTTTAGGAATTTTTGGATCTATAAAAAATTCAGGCTCTCGCCGAACCCCCCAAATAATGCCAAAGCGCCCAGAATCCATTGCGATTCTGCCCTTTCCCGGCCCTTTCAAACTCGGTTTTTTCGTTTTCCGTCGGTCAAAAGACGGCTGGGCGCACTCGATCGCGCCTCCAATCCAACACACGCAAAAAAACGTTTTCACGAAAAATAGGTGCGGGTGGAAATGGAGTATTTGCACAAGAGCCCCGGCCAAGAATTGGAACGTGTTGCCCATGTTCGGGTTTTTTTTGAAGGGATGGGATCTCTATTTTCCCCCGCAGATTCCTCAACGCCCATCTGCCCCCATTTTTTAGATGACAACCAAAAAAATTCGGGCGATTCGGATGGGATGGGTGGTATTTGCATGCCGGCAAAAAGGAGGCGCCCCGTTTTTGGGGGTGGAATCCTGGCGGGGTGTATTTGCCCTCCTCGGTGATGACGTCCATACTTTAGCAAAAAACGGCAAATACGAAGAATGGAATCGCAGGGCGCATAAAATTTCGTTTGGCATAATGCCAGTCCCGTTGAATTGGGCGGCACTTTTAGGTGTGAAAATTGGGGGCAGAGACGAAACCTACGCCTAAGCCCAAGTCTGGGCCTAAGCCGAAGCCGAAGCCTAAGCCTCCTAAGCCGAAGCCTAAACCTAAGCCTCATCTAAGCAAAAATTATACGGTTGCATGTGTCGTATTGAAGCGTACAATAGCGTACTATCGTGCAGCTTGGCGTACTGTTGCGTACTCTAGGCCTGTAAATCGTGCGGTAGCTACGGTAGCGGGCCTACGTAGCCGACAACGGCCTAGAATAGTGTACTATATCGTAGTGCATTGTGTAGTTTAGCGTACCGCAGCGTACGCCATCATACCGTATGATAACGTAGTGTAGCGTACTGTAGAATAATTATAACCCCAGTCTGAACAGAGAAATCCCCAAAAACCTCTGCTAGCCTCCCCCCCTCCCGCCTTGGCAACCCGGAAACAGCTTCCCACCACTAATGCGCGAAAATCCCCGCGTGTTTGGGGTGCTTTTCCCGTTTTGGGGGTGGCCTTTGAGCGCTACGGTAGGCGGGGCATCGGATAGGGAATAGAAAGAGAGAGAGAGAGAGAGAGAGAGAGAGAGATCGTAGAGAGTTGCCGATCGGAATTCGGGGATCCTCGGCCGGCCCCACCTCCTCCTAGCCTGCCATTCTGCCATTCTCTCTGCCTCAGCGCCGAGAACTGAACCTCCCCCCCCCGATCCATTTCTCTGCTCCATCTGGTTGCGGTAAGGTTTTAACGTTTTTTTTTGGATTATTTTTAATAGTCTGTGCTAGCCTCCCCGTGGCTGTAAATCAATCGCAAATGATCTCAGCTAGCCCCTCGTACGCCCAGCCATCAAAAATTTCCTCAAAGAACGCTGCTAGAATGTCAACTTTTTTTGTTTTTGCAGTTTCTTTCTGTGTTTTACAAATCCACGATTTAGATTCCATTTTCTTCATCCGCCGCGCTTAATAAGAAACAGAAGGCGGAGGTGGCGTGACTGGGATGGAGAAGCTGGAGAAACGGATCGGAAGAATATGGAGGAAGGTTCGAAGGGGAGGAAGAGATGATGAAGGGAGGAGGGGTGTTACGGTAGGTAATACGAGAATCGTATACGTTAATCGTCAGCGATCGAGTTCCCCAGGGATCTCTGCTAGATTACCTATTTCGCTTCCCGACTACCAAATCCCAACATCCGATATCTCGAAAAAATCCCGACGTATTCTTGCCGCTATTTTGATCCCGTTTCTCATTAAAAAGCTATTTAGCATGTCGGCATTTTGACTGTCAGGATTTTGAGTGTCGGCCTTTTGGCCGAATTTTCCATGCTAGGATTTCGAATGTCGTCATTTTGTGGTTTCCTTCCAAAAGGATCCCTGCTAGCCTGCCCTATGTTGCGAATTTTCCAAAATCTGCAAATAATCTTTGCTAGTTGTCATTGGAGAGTAGGAAGCGGTAAATTCTTTAAGAATCTCTGCTTGTTGCCTTTCGAGGTTCTGCGGTTACATGATAATTCCTCAAGGATCACTGCCAGTCCGCTGCTTTCCTCAATGATCCCTGCTAGCCTCCCAATTGTGACCTTTTTAGTTCAAAAGTGCGCGCGGCTCCAAAACACGGTAGTTTTCTATTTTTCTTACTTTTTTGGGATGCAAATCCTCTTGTTGCCTGAGGGTATGTTTGTCCTCCTTTGGTGAGTCATCTCTCTCTCTCTCTCTCTCTCACTCTCTCCCACTGAAGGACATAGCCCCCCATTTTGGACTTATGCCGGTCAGGAGACTAGTCTTTACGCAGTCAACTGTTCACTGCAAAAACGTGTTGAGGGATGGGAGGTAGCAGGGAGTAGCTGGTGAGTAAAAATAGACATATAGCCCTGGCCGGCTGCTGCTGGCTGCATGTTGAGTGGTCAGCAAAAAAGTGCGCAAAGAACCGGGTTAAAACGATTAGCCAATGTGGACTTTGGCCAACCGCCGCTAAAAACTGGCCAGCTGGCAGTGATCCTTTGAGGAAATTGAGAATGGGGAGGCAGGCTAACAGGGATTCTTTGAGAAGGTAGTGCTAAAAAGTTTTCTTGAAGAATTCTGGGTACGGGGCAAGCTAGCAGAGATCCTTGAGGAATACGTCAGACGGGACAAGCTAGCAGAAATTCTTTGGCAAATCTAACCTATATGAAGCAAACTAGCGGAGACCCTTTGAGCAATTCGACTGGTAGGCAAGCTGGCAGAGATTCTTTAAGACATTAGGGTGACGGGGACTAGCAGAGATCCTTTGAGGAATTCGACTGGAGGGGCAAGCAAGCAGAGATTTTTGAGGATTCCATAGGACACCCGATAACAGTCCCAATTCACTACCCTTTCAGTCGACCTCACGAACACCAAAGTTAATGGCCAATGACCCAAGCCCGGGGAGGTCAAAGAGTCCGGGCATCACCAACCGTATCGTCATCCATTTGCGCCAGAAACGTGACGGCGATTTTGATCAGGCGGATTTGCACAATGTTGTTCCAAAGGTTTGTTTGAGCATGCCCTTGAGCATGAGTTAGATAAGTCTAAGCTGAAGCTCATGTTCAGCTCGTCGCTTCCGAACTCGCCGCCCCGAACAAAAAACCCCAACGATCCTTGGAAACCAAACCGCCACGCCTCATCCGCGATTCGTCAGAGGAGCGAGAGAATAAAAAACCGCAAAAAAGGCAGGCGCAACCTAAATATTGATTTGATAATTCGCGTTTAGTGAATTCATAGAGGTGGAAAAGCGGAGCACCGGGATCCTCAGGAGGCAGAGCTCGAAACGCAGCGAGTACGTGACATGCTCGGATGACGGACCGGGGATACGAGACAAAACTATGAACATCTATCTGCCAGGCGGTGCCGGGCATACCGGAAGACAACCAGAATCGGGAGAAGCTGGAAAGGAACGAACCGGGATTCTGAAGAATGGGACCGGAAAGAAAAGAACATCCACCATGAGCTCCGGATCGTCGATGGGCAGCCCGCCGGGGAGGAAGTGGAGTGCAGGTTTGTATTGATTAAAGGCAAATTAGCAGAGATTCTTTGATCCTAAAGTCAAGCCTAAGCCAATCATTTTCAGGAAGTCAGACGGAGCTGCACATCCGAATCCCAGACTCTCCACCCTCCTCAGCCTCCCTATCGCTCCTCTCTTCTGGCCCTCGTCCATCGATTCGCATTGTCAGACAGGATCCAGATGATTCGAGTGGCTATGAATCGGGATATTTATCCCATATTGATCTCAATACTCCGGATCTACTTTCGAGGTGAGCAGCAATGGGATTATTTTCAAATGTCGATCCTTTGGGTCCCTAAAATGGCGAAATTTTGCAAGACCTAAAACGCAGCATCTCGATGTTCCGAGCGACGATGGAGAGAGAGCGAGAATGAGAGAGGGAGGGTACGAGAGAGAGCGAGAATGAGAGAGGGAGAGAGGGCGAGAGAGAGATGGAGAGACAGCTAGAGAAAGCGAGAGAGCGAGAAAAGGCGAGATTGCGAGAAAAAGCGAGAGAGCCACCTAGGGAGAGCGAGAGCGAGAGAGAGAGACGCATAGTTACAGGGAATTCCTCAAATCCAGTAAAAAAATGCCGACACTATGAATTTCGGCATTGTCAAGACTCGACACTCCGATATCGTTTTGTCTACCCCATTATTAGTCGCCATTTTGTCATCATCAACAATCCAAAAATTGGAACCAATTCTCCTCAAAGGAATCCATATGGCCGAAAGTTTCAGGCCCGGTTCGGAACTCCAGCGGCCAGAATCTCGCCAATTAAAGGAGCCGGGAAGGCGGCCATACCGGGCCGAGTCCCACGACGAGATACGGGCATTCCGGAGCCCGCCGGACGTGCCGGGGTCGCTCGCCCGTTCAGCCACCGCCTCGCATATTGGACTGAGCGAGCAGTTGGTGTCCGGGTTACGGTAAGTGGACTGTCATTTTTTAGCCTTTCTGAATCAAATATTCGATCAATTACACACGGTCTATTAATGCGCGAATGCATACCCAAACTACGCTACTGTACTTATTTTATCCTCTCAGCAACCGCATCGACAAGACCAAGTTCATCACGTGCACGTTCGAGGCGTCAAACGCGGGGCTGGATACGGTGCTGCCGGATGTGGTACAGGAATTGAAGAGGTACGTCGGGGACCAAAAGACAATTATTCAAGTTTTATGGCTATTTTAATGTTATATTAATAGGTGGATCGACGGGAGGGCACTGGGGGTTGCGTGTGAATTGCATTGGACGGTGCCCGAGAAGTTTAGAAGTCGAATGGATGAGTGCAGGTGAGATACATATATTTTTGTTTATAGGGACAGGCTTAGGCTTAGGTTTCGACTTAGGCTTAGGCCCAGGCTTCGGCTTGACTTCGGCGTTGGCTTCGCTTAGGCTTATGCTTAGGCTTCGGCTTGGCTTCGCCGTTGGCTTCGCTTAGGCTTAGTTTTAGGCTTATTCTAGGCTTAGTCCTCGGCTTCGATTGGCATTCGTAATCGATTCCCCCACCCTCTCCCTTTCAACCAGTTCCACTACGGGATCGGGGGCTGCCGTTCGAGTGGCCACTTCCACCGCGTGCAATGTTTTCCAGACGGGACCGAGACAGAGAGAGAGAGGGAGAGAGAGAGAGAGAGAGAGAGAGAGAGAGAGAGAGAGAGTAAGGGAGAGACTCTGTAATGTATACACTGGAAATCGAGCCATCGGGTCGCCCCCGTTTTGGGGCCGGTATTCACCCTTGAACCCCCAGTTGACGCACCACCGATTTTTGGGCAGCCGAATAATTGCCCGAAATTTTAAAGGGACTTGGAAGGCTTAAATCCATAAGGAATTATGATATCGAAAAATAGAGGGAGAAAAGAAATCAAAATCAAAAAATCACTCCCCCGTAGACTAAAAGAAGCTGTGCACGCCGTGCTCCGCGAGAACAACCGAGCCGTCCTCCGGGCCGAAGATGAGGCCGGCGACGTGAAGCTGTCCAGCGATCGCCTGGCCAAATCGAATACGCGGGAGAATCAGCGGAGAAATCAGAGGAGCGATAGTTTTGAAGGTGCGTTTCCCGAAGAATCTCTGCTAGCCAGCCCTCTCAAAATATCGCAGTAATTGCCGCCGAACTCCTCAAGGACAATGAGTCATGCTCAAATCCTGATGCTCAGATGAAGCTGGTTCTGCCAATAGGAAACGTGTATTTTAGGTGTCTACCAGCGGTGTTACATCCATCTTCTACCATATTGTCACCATGATACTGCACATTGGCATCATCCGTATTGGGATTGGGAGAGTCTCGATCGGAATATGCCGGTGGGTTCAGAAAACTGATGTTAGAACTTTTAAATGTTCTCTGCTAGCTTGCCTCAGACGTTGCTGAAATGTTGATTCTCAAATAAACCCAGCACTCGCTCCGTTTCCAGATTCTTCCTCACGCTGAACTCTTCGCCGCCCGGGACACCGACCCGAAGACGTCGACGATTCTAGCGCTGCACGTCGTCTCCCTTCGCCTCCGTCGCCCTCGCGCCAAGTCAATGCACCATCTCGCACAATCAACTTGACCTTAAAGGGACTGGGAAGTGCCGATTGTTGGCTTCTGAGTGCCTTTAATTACCGTATGACGCTTGTGATTGCAATAAGTCCCGTTTTGTGTTTTTACACCCATTTTGCTCTTTATGCTACGCAATTTAAAGGGCGTCAGAGATCGAGAGAGGGAGAGAGAGAGTGAGAGAACGAGTGAGAGAGAGTGAGAGGGAGGGGGGAGAGAGAGAGGGGGGAGAGAGAGAATCTTCTGCCCCTTTGAATCCCATTTTCCGGGTACAAAAATATTATAAATGCTTTGCTATCCCGTGCCCCACAAGATACCGTATCCACACAATACCATAGAAAGAAGCACAAAAATAATAAAAAACCCGATTTTAGTAGATTTTTTGGTATTTTAGCTGCTCCTCCGAGCCGAGCACCCCCTATTCGAAGACTCGGCCGATGAGCGTCTCCTTCGTGTCGATCTTGTTGACGCAGATGACAACCAGCCACAAATTATGCAGGTAATCCGTTTCTAAAGGGGGCTGGAAAGGTGAAATCTATTAATGCGCATTTATCTGGGAATCGGGCAAAACAATACTTCTCCATTAATGCGGGACCTTTCAGAGCCCGTACACCGTATTCCCAGTTCGTCTACCGGCCGGCGAAACGACGAAAATTGGGCGCATCGCGGCGTTCGACCTCGACGCCGAGCCGTTCAACCGCATCACCTACCATTTGATGCCGAAATGTTCGACCGGGGAGCTAGAGAATTCACCCACATTTTAGGCAATCAGCAATATTCTGACCTTGTTGAAGTTGACGCGGCCACTGGGGTGCTAGCCTTTACCAGAGAGGTGCCGAAGAGCGTCGCCGAGTTCGAGACGTTCTGCGTACTGGCCAGGTAGCTTAACAAGAAAAATGGCATCTATTCGGCTAGATAATCTACCAGATGCAGTTTTTTGCGCTGATTCTGAATCTGTACTCAAAAATTTCCTACAAACTATGGTTTTAAAGATACAGGCATTTTCATAGAAAAATTTCACGGCAACAAGCTAAAAACTCCAGAAAAATCTTGGAAACTATAGTTTTTACTAAAAATGGAATACGTATTCGAAACAAGCGCGAAAAACTGCGTAAAATACGTTATTTAACTAGACACGTTCCTCTTATTTCAGCCCATACGAAGCAGCGCACGTGTCCCGCCTCGAGTACTCGCCCACCAACTCCTCGATGCTCCGCTTTCGACTGCATTTTGTGGCCGATCACTTCCACTTCCCTCAGATGCCATTTAGGACTAACAATACGGTGTTGACAGTCGGTGCTGTACTTTTCAAGGGTTTGGTAATCGACTGAATAGACCCCGACTTCGAGGAGTTGCGCTTGCCGTTGGCCCCGCCCCATAATATTCCAGCAAATGTCAGCTTTTACTTCCGGGAATTCAGCTTTGAACCGTAAGTGTCGAGGGGTAGCAGGACAAGAGAGAAGGAAAGAGAGAGAGAGAGAGAGAGAGAGAGAGAGAGAGAGAGAGAGAGATAAGGAGTGAGCGCGAGAGGGCAAGAACACTATAACGAACTAACATCGAAAAGGAGAGAGCTAGAGAGAGAGAGAGAGATAGAGAGCGAGAAAGAGGGAGAGAGAGAGAGCGAGAGAGAGAAAGATATTCAAAAATCCTTTCAGGGCCACCTATTCCGCACCCACTTCCACCAATTCCACTCCAACCCTCTTTGCGGTTGACCCACAAACTGGCTCGCTGCGCATCTCCCCATTCTTCGGCGAGAGCGAGCAGGTAAACTTTTTCTCTTTTATTGATCTCAAAATTTTACGCTTTAAAGGGGCAACTGTAGGCCATTTCCTTGACTAAATTTAACCCATTTTTCCAACCTAGGGCATCTACACAATCCACACCGAGGCCATCGACGACAAATCCGGCAAACCGTTCGCCAGCTATTTGCAAAATGTGAGAAAATCCGGGGGTACGGTACCCGATCCATGCGATTTTAGGTGCACCTCGTCAGTGACACCCAAAAGGTTCGACTGGTCTCCGAGCTGGCCGTGCCCGAGCTCGCCTATAATGGGGAAAAGCTGTTGAGGTACGGTAGATCGGTCAGGTTTCAAAAAACTGGGAAATTTAGGCAATTGACAGCAGCGTTGCAGCACGAGGATCCGGATCGGGCTGTAGATGTGGTTGGAGATCGATTGGAGAAGTATCCGGGAGAGAAGGAGAGGTTGGAAAAACGAAATTAGGGGCGGCAGAGTTAGACTTATGCCTAGGTTTAAGCTTGGGGTTGGCTTAGGCTTAGGCTTAGGTTACGCTTAGGCTTAAGCTTAGACTCGGGCTTAGGCTTAGGCTTAGGCTCAGGTTTAGCTTAGGATTAGCTTGGGCATAGGCTTAGGCTTAGGCTTAAGTTCTAGTTTTTATGCTTCATTTCTCAAGGGCGGGCCTCTGCGTGCACGTGGCAAAAAGCGGCCGGGTGTTGTCACGCGAGGAAGTCGTGGCTTTAATCGGGCAAGCGGTGCGAAGGGCCGATTCTTCACTTCATAACATCTACCACATCTACAAGATCGTTTCGGTTGAGGTGGGCGGCTTTTAGGCTAGTTTCAAGGGAGGGTGCCAGCAAAGAAAAGGTCTAAAACTCAATTTTCAGGCCTGTACGCCATCGACGAAAAAGCATGACCGATTGAGGAGCAGCTCGATTTCGAACTCGGTCAGTTTTTGGAGGGATTTACTGTCTGGCGCTATCGTAGCCTACCGTAAGCTACCATAGAAGTTTCTAGTGTCTAGCGTAGCTTAACCTAGGGTATGTCATCTACCGTAGCCTACTGTAGCCTACCATAATCTACCGCAGCCTACCTTACCGTAGTCTACCGTAACCGACTACTATAAGCTAGCTGAGTCTCGTGTAACCGACCGTTCAGCGTAGCATAACGTAGCCTATCCAAGGATTTTATAAACTACCTTCGCGGACCACTGCATACCGTAGTCTACCGTAGCCTAGCGTACCGACATGTTCGACCGTGGTCTACTGTAACCTGTCATATCCTACCGTATTCCAGTGGCTATTCTTGCTCTGCATCACCAGTGTCGCTCTCCTCGTGATGTTCGCCGTCACTTCTTACTACTGCCTGGTGCATAGATATCGAGTACGGGCCCAGGAGAAGCACCGCATGCGAGTGCAAAAAGGTGCGTCTCGTAGTCGAGCGTGGTTGTTTTAAACGAAGCGTTGGAAATCGATCGTTATCCCCTGAATTTCAGGCCCATACCCGAGTGGCACGCTCCCAGCGCTACCTCCGTCGCATCTTGGGTAGGTTTGATTGATTTATTTGGTTTTTAAGGGGCGATGAAGGCAAAATAGGCCTATGGCTTACGCGCTAGGCTTAGTTAAACTTGGCTTAGGCTTAGGTGTAAACTTAGGCTTAGGCTTAGGCTTGGCCCAGGCTCGGCTTAGGCTAGGCTTCGCTTACGATGAGGCTTGGTAGGCTTAGGATTAGACTTAGCCTTATGCTTGGCTTAGGCTTATGGTTACTGGTTATTTAGGCTGGATTCCTTAATGTTAGTATCAATTAACGATTTCAGGCTACCTCCAATGTATTAATCGTCTCGACCTACCGGTGTTTGTGCGTTTCTATGCAGCGAATCTCAAGGCCAAAGAAATTACCATTAATCCGAATATTAATAAAATTGAAAAATTACAAACAAGAGAGCGAGAGAGAGACAGAGAAAGAGAGAGAAAGAGAGTTAGACAGGGAGAGACAGGGAGAGAGAGGGAGAGAGAGAGAGAGAGAGAGAGAAAGAGAGAGAGCGAGAGAGCGAGAGAGAGAAGAGTGAGAGAGACAAACAGACAGACAGAGAGTGAGTGATAGAGAGAGAGAGAGCGAGAGCGAGAGATAGAAAGATTCATAGACAGACAGTCAAAAAAGCCGCACCTTCCCAGCTATATGTCCTCATTTTTGGCGGGCCATGGGGGATGGTTATGTCGCTGCGTCCCAGGATAATCTATGAGATCCCTGGGGACCCAGCAGAAGACGTAGAAGCCGCCCAATCATTTCGTCGTGCCCTAACAATTTTGGGTGTGTGGCTAGTTCCGGTTGTCCCAATCGCATTGTTGCTTTTTCCGGCCTGCGATTCCGTAAAGAATCCCTGCTAGCTACCCTATTTTTTGCTTTTCCTAGACTAGCCAATTGGCAGCATAATACCGTCTTTGTAAAGCCGGGCTTTTAATGCCAATTTTTTACAAGAAAATTTAAGTAAGATTGTATTTTAAATTTTGATAAGGCGACCTCCGCAAATCCACCATTTTCCAGCCAAGCGATCAAACCCTGAAAGGCACCCAAAGCCCCAGAATCGTGCCCTAATCAGGAAATGGCTGACCTTATGGCGTCGTCCGCCGGGAAAGGCCACAAAATAACGGGGGCGAAAAATCGGATTTTATTCGGTCGGGCCATCGGGCGGGGCTTTGGCCCTCCGAATGGACCCATCTCCGATTGCCCTTCAGTGCTTCGGGCTTCTGGTTCCCAGAGCTCTTCCCTCCGAAGCCGATTTTCGGGGTCTGCATTGTTGGTTCCGTTTTTTGTGGCAGAGTCTAGGGAGATTAATGTAGTTTCGTACGGGGTGAAATCATCAAAAAGGCGGGCTTAGGCTGAGGCTTATGCTTGGCTTAGGCTTGGCTAAGGCTTAGGCTTAGGTTAGGCTTAGGTTTAGTATGCGTAGGCCTAGGCTTAGGCTTAGGCTTATGCTTAGGCCTATATTTAGAATAGGCTTAAGCTTGGGCTCGGGCTTGGGCTTAGGCTTAAGCTTGGATTCGGGGTTAGCGGGCGTAGCCCGCTAACCCCTTTTGGTTTGAGGTGCCCCCCCATACGACTCTTTTGGGGTCCTTTTCCGGATTTAAAAAAGAACCACGCATCGGATCGCAAAATTGAATACACCATCGGAACCGGCGACACTTTTTACATACTATAAGCTTTTAAAAATTGAAAAAGAGTGAAATTTCGAATTTTAACAGCCGATTTAAATTGCGTTTCGAGGGGGGGGTCTGCGTTTGTTTGTATGTATGCACGCAAAACCTATGTAGTCGTCAAAAAGTGCCTTCCCACCATCCGTTTGGGCTGAAATTTTTTACAGTTATTGGGTAAATGATAATCTCGGACCGCAAGAAGAGTTTTTTTCAAAATAGGCTTTAAAAAATTTATATTTAATTTTTAAGTTTAAAAGCTAAATCGCGGTCAAAACAATGGTTAGTGATGTCCGTTTGGGCTGAAATTTTGCTCAAATATGCATTAGACCATGCCGGAATAAGTAAAAAAGAAATTGCAACGAAAGAATGCTTCTTCTCTGAGATATTATAACTTTAAACCTTCGCCATACGGGGCGCCGCCCTCCCCTTTGGCGGCCCCAGTCCCGACTAAGGGCGGGCGGGTCTAGCTTCCCCAAGACAGGCCTCCAGTCTCCCCGTTGGCCTAGTGGTTAGCACGCTGTACTGGGAGACTTGTCTCCCGAGTTCGAATCCCACCCGAAGCATGGTTTTTGCCGATTGGCCCCCGTGCATCCTTATGGTTTCTAGTGCCGTCACAAAGCGCCGCAGGCAAATTTTTTTGAAGTTTTGCGTACAAGGGTTCATCTGAATAAGTATTCCTTGGCTTATTTTACGATCTTAACAATAAGATTGAGGCAAAAAGGGCTAAATTCTCTCTAAGGCTAAAAAGAGTCTTTTTAAAAAAGGGCTTTTGGTTTTCGCAAAAAGAGACGAGTTCTCGTGGCAACAAAAAGAGCTAAATTTCTTTCAAACTCTTAAAAATGCCACAAAATGTGGGATCAACCAAAAGTTGATGGCACTATTAAAACGGACCGATCTAGTTTCTAGCGGTTTCGGCTTGCAAATCATTTCTGTATTATGATCTATTTGCACTTTCTTGAAATTAATCTGTGCCCCTGACCTGTGATCTGGGATGGAACCGAGTTTATTAAGATTTTAAATAGCCAGCAACTTTTTGTTGTTCCCGCATTTTGTGGCATTTTTAAGAGTTTGAAAGAAATTTAGCTCTTTTTGTTGCCACGAGAACTCGTCTCTTTTTGCGAAAACCAAAAGCCCTTTTTTAAAAAGACTTTAGCTTTAGGATTGGGCTTAGGCTTAGGCTTAGGATCAGTTTAGGCTATGGCTTGGCTTAAGGGCGTTTAAAGTTCCTACCTGATCCTAATTTTGTTTAAACCGAATTCTAGTCTGAACCACCAAAAATGCTTCCGCCTTTTTTGCAGAAATTCCCACACTCGGCAAGCCGAACCACTTCTACTCGTCAGGCCACCAGAATTTAGAATTTCGCCCGCACCACTTTCTCTAGGTGTCCAGGCACCCAAATGGTCTCTGCTAGCCTACCCCCCCCGAAACTCTGACGTCTAACCACAAAACAAAAACAATAAAATAAACCGTAGAACTTCCCCCCTGCTAGCCCGCCCCCAGGCTCGCCCTAATCGCTTTGGGCTGCGGCTAATTTCCTGGGCCCAAACAACCCACCCGACTCGGGTTGCCCCCTCCAAATGACACGGCCTTTTTTGAACTTGGCGCACAGATCGATCCTTTTTTAGAAAAAGACGTCATAACGTTGCGAAATCGGTAAAACTTTGGAATTCCTATGCTTGCGCCGCGCATGCTACACGCGTAAGTGGCTTTTTCTCAAGATTTCGACATTTCATAATGAAGAAATTTCGAAATGTCGATATTTTCAGATGTCGAGATTTGGGTGGGATTTTTTGCCATAAAATTTGGTGGATTTTGAAGGGCATTTTGGTCAGGAAAACTTTGATTTTTTGAGGTTTCGACAATGTGAAAATTCAGCACTTTGAGATTTTGGCATTGTCAATCTTGAAATTCCGGTCAAAATTTACGCACGTTGGAGCGTACCGTCTTCCGTCCTTTGGCTACGACTGAGTCCAAAAAACGTTGCAAGTCTTTCCGCTTTTTACATATTTCACTTTTGGAGACTTTCCTTTTCACTTTTACACTTTTTGGTCTCGGAGTTACATTGCGTAACCGATTTTTAATGGGGGATAGCAAGCTAGAATAGGGGTTTTTATATTTTTCTATTTTCTGAAGCAAAAATAGATCCGAACAGAGTTACTCATCACATTTTGGAACCTCAAAAACCGCGATCGCACCCCCGGTAGACGCTCAAATTTCGCAGCCGACCTCACCCGGGGTAGACAACTGTCAAAAAGGGGCGCGTGTTTCTGATGCCCTGTAAGCCGAGAAGGGGCTGAACCTCACGAAAAGCTCAGTTTGTGTTGAAAAACACAAGATTTCGACCCAGAATTTCCCCTCATTGATTCCGCTACAGTACGCCGGGTACGGATGCTAGACGACTCGTTCGAAATGCCGTCATTTGGTGCGTTGCTTCGTAAATGGTCTCGGCTAGCTTGCCTGCTAAAATACCGTTTTCGTATTGAGCAGTACAGTTTTCGGTTCTGTGCTGTTAGCGGGGGGGAGGGGTGTAGCGAGGTGGGAAAGATGTCTAATACATTTTTTAGCATTTAACGGGATATTTTTCTGATTTTTTGATGCTACAGATTGCCACTAAGGTATAAAAAGCCATGAAACGTTTAAAAAATTTTAATTTTGGTTAATTTTTGACTATTTCGTACATTTCTGACAAAAAAAACCAATTTTTTTTAAAATTTTATGATTTTGATGAGCTTTTTACACAAAAAAATGTTGCTTCAAGCTATATAACCCTGTTTCTCGCGTTTTTGGGAGCTATACACGATACGCCAAAGTTAGGCATTGCCCCCCCCCCCTTAACAGAACAGAACCCGAATTACTTCTGGAAATTTAACATGAGCCGAGTGTCTCGTTGGAATCATCCCTGGCCAACCTTTACCCCCATTATCTGGCCGAATATAATTATCGTGACTTCCGCGAAACGGGATGAGAAGGTTGATGCCAGAATAAAGGGAATTACCCCGTGCAAAAACTGGAAGATTGGGGCGCGGGCATTTTGTGTTATTTCGCTCGGCAGTTCGGGGCTCGATTCCCGCGAAGGGGCCATTCGGCTCGGCGGCAATTGCCGAACGTCGGCTGCAAGTACTGGGGGCCACTTTTTCTTTAGCTGTTTCGGCTAGGTGTATTAAGGAATTACGTTCGAACTTTGCCGACCCATTTTGACGCACTTGAAGATATCGATGAGGATAGAAAGTTCTTGTTGCCTAGCGGGGGGGGTGTAATTCTTCATTCATCCTCATCACGTGTTATTAGTACTTCAGCTTACTAAAAACAGCTACAACATTTTTGCAGGTAAGACTCCAGATAACCCCCCCCCCCCTCAGGCGGCACCCAACTTTTGTATCTCGGCTCCTTGTTGGTCTACAGGTGTGTAAAGTATACCAAAATGTTCGTCTTGCTGTGGTGAGTATTTTGGTATGGTTTACACACCTGTAGATGAACAGGGAGCCGAGTTACGGTAGGTGGGGTCGGCTGAGGGGGGTATCTAGATTAGCCTTTATGCAAAACTACAAAAATTAGTAATCTTTTAAAGCCAACATTTTGCGAATTTAATAATTTTACAAACTTTTTCTATGTAAGCATGCGGCGTAAGGTGTTATTAG